AGCATTCTTAATTTGCCGCGTTTGTCGTCTCCTTTCTAATGTAGGCTGGGGTGTTTGGTGACCTCGTGGGCGAGATATTTAGGGCCTGTTCGGCAAAGAGTTGGAGTTAGAGTTACCGGCATTTCATGCCCAAATATAGTAATAATATCTCGGTTTTCGATTTCGAGAGAACTCGAGTTACTCGGGCGAGTGCATGCGTTCGGATGCCTCCCAGCAACTCCGGGCGGTTGTTATCAGCTCACGTCGTAATTTGTCTTGAGGCTCTACCCTTTTGGCAGCCTGCTTGATTCTCTCTGTATAGAGTATTGGGATGGCTATGATGACCGGTGTAGAATGTGATCAGACATCTGAGGCCATCCTACTTGAGGGATTAGAGCAGGCTACTACCAAGGCCTGCCCAGCCAAAATAATGACAGTTACTGCTATTATAGCCTGTCTTCGGCGCTCTATATGAGCCCGATGGATTGCTTGGTGAATTTTGACAGCTGCTCTTGTGTAGACCATGGTGAAGCAGGGATGAAGCAGAGCCCATCTGATAAGCCATAGCTATTGGTATACTAGATACATGTACGAGTTCAGGGCGCTTGTCTCCTCCGGATTTCACGGATACTCCGCTCCTGTAACTCTAACTCGCGCAGAAATTCTCGGAAGTGCCGCCACGTGACAAAATGCCGGTGACTCGTAACTCCAACTCTTTGCCGAACAGGCCCTTAGGGATTTCTCAAACACATGACGTTGACGTGTGGTTAAGCATGACGTCTAGACGCTGGTATAGTTGCGGTCACGTCGATCCTGTCCCCCACGATGCGTCCTCGCCCTGTCTTGCCCTCTGACCATCTCCATCTACTAGCACACGGGAGACTTTGTTGATAAATGGTACGCAAGGTCCCTTGCTCTACTACATTTCACGCCCTTACTCTATCCGCATTCCAACAGGCACCTCGAGGGCTTTCAGCGGAGGAGAAAAGAGTCAAGCTCTTGGAGATCTTCCATGAGACGGTGCGGGCTGTCTCAATCAACGCTCTTTGCAGAAGGTCTCTCAATGATTATTATCTGTATAGAAAGACTTCTTCCAGGTCGGCGGTGTTGCTGGTTGCTGGGCCGCATGCATGCGTACTTGATCTGCTTTCGTTCACTTAGCTCAAAGAACTTGAGAAAATGGGACCGAAAATGAAGGGGATAGGTACGCGTCGCGAATCTCTAGAAGCCGTGTGCTGAAGTGCTAGAGCAGTCTCGCAATCCGTCAAGGAGGTTCTACAGTCGTTGGTTGACGACGGGCTAGTCCAGATGGACAAGATTGGCTCCTCGAATTGTACTTCACAGCCTCACATCATCGTTCTAGCGTAATGTCCCATTGATGATATGCGCATATACGCAGTCTTCTGGAGTTTTCCTTCCCAACGCGGTGCCATTGTACGGTGTTACCGCTGAGTATATGCGCTTCCGAGCTGACTGCCTGCGTGCTAGATGCAAAACAGGCTGGCAGTGATCAAGGAACAGCACGTCTTGCTTCAAGCCCAGGTCACTGAGCTACGCGCTGCTGTCGAAATAGAGAAAGCGACGCGGCCGGAGAGTGTGAGTAGATTCGTGCACATTGCTCCCGTCTATTCAACTCAACTAGGTCTCTCTAGAGCGAACGCGCTGAGGCACTGGAAAAACTTGCAACGCTGAAGACGGAGTACGCCAAGTTAGAGACCGAGCTTGCTGCATATGGCGCGTGCGATCCAGCCAAAGTCGAAGAGAAGAAGCGCGCAGTCATCCTTGCGAAGGAAGCTGCGGTACGGTGGACAGGCAGGTACTAGCCTCTACCTATGCTGGCCGCCCACTGATGACGATATATCAGATAACTATCTCGTGCTCTTGTCGCACTTTACGCGCCAGAATGGCGTTGAGGCAGCTGACATACGAGCATACTTGGGGATTGACGAAGAGTATGAAGACCTGGACGCTTGAAACTGCGCTTGTCGTTCCCGCCTATCCTAATGCCTACCGTACGATGGGCAATATGATATGTCGTCGCCGTCTTATCGCACACGTCGGAATGGGAAGGCGTCTTGCACACACCACAGCGTATGGCAGGTAGTGTGAAGTTCATGGAACGTATCATCAGCCTCTATATATTCAGCTGGACCCTAGTGTCCCTAATTCGGCACGATCCTCGGTTTCCGATGTTGTTCTAGCTGTATACGCTCTCCGAACACATGTATCCAATTCCACGGCTACATAAGTTTGGCAAGAGTTGCTATATCGTGATACGAGTGTTCGCCTCGTATCCGTATGCCGTGAGAAGAGCAACCTCGAAGCGGCAGGAGGCATATTAGGGATGCACGAAAACGAAGCCTCGAGGCACGAAACGTGGGGACAACCTACTTCGTTATTCACAGCCGTTGCGGCCACATAGGCGGTAGTGTGCAGGGATAGTGTATATCTGCGAGTCTCCACACTAACATATGACTCGTGCCTCATGAGGCTGCGAACCTTCTGGCTGTTCGCAGGAAGGAGTCATCACGGTGAGTACCCTATGGGTTTGCCCTATGTCTTGATCGGCTATGCGCCGATGCGCAACACGGATGTCTTCTGGTCTCTCTTCTCAATTGTCTGAGGTGGCAATTGTATCCGTATCGAGGGCCACCCAGCTTTTGGATCCACAGCTCTGATTCCGGTAGTCGAGATCGACTTAGAATGGAGGATTGTCCGAGCTGTTCCAGCGAGCCGAATGCTAAACGTGTTGGGCGTCGGACGCGTCAGAGTGGATTTGACGCAGTCGATTTCGAGCATACCTGAGCATCAACGAAAAGTCAGAGTATCTAGACGTTAATTACCGTGTTGTTGACTCCCGCATTACCGGCCAGCGGTTGCACTACGGTAATGCTATACCTTGTGCTTGGCCTACCATGAGATATGCTACTAATCGCACATATACTTCTTCCTCTAGCTAGTCGGGACTCGAAAAAGGGGTGATGAAAGTGATGCACTTTAGAGAACCATAGGTTCATGGACGGCTCCCATGAGGGAAGGGACTCGAACCCCGTTCTCCTTTTGCGACGAAGGCGTCGGAACCATCCAACAATTCTGACTTTCGTCAGCGAACGCCATATTTCCCCAAGATCTTCTTGTAGGGATGCCATACTCTGTATTGTCGAATTTTGGCTCGGGTAGAGAACCATAGGAGGGGGCGTATCCGCTAGCTCGTTAGTGAACCACATAGGAAGTAGTAGGAACTTTTGACCCTAGAATGCATGACACAGCATGGCTCTGCTAGACATGCTAGTACAGCATCGCTCTCCTCCCCTACGAGGCCTACCCAGAAAGGATAGGCGATTCCATGTTCGCGGGCCTCATATCTCGCTCGATATGAGGACAAAGCAAGGGACCAAACCGATTTGTCTTCCGTGAGAAGAGCGGCAGATTTGAACAGGCGTACCGCCGAAACTACTACAACGACAACGGTTACAGAAGGATCCGTGGAGCCTGAGAATGATCTCTCTAACTTACTGTTCAAAATGATGTTCGATCATCAGTAAACCGTGCATTTGTTAGAAGATACCCTTTGCCTTTCACGGGGGGGGGGGTGAAGAAGTTCGAGGGCAAGCGGGGACACAAATGGGATTCGCGTTTGGCCGGTGCAAACGCGTGCCGTACACAGTAGATACAATCAGGCTTATATACGTAGCTAAATAGGGGTAGATAAGGGCGCGGGTATCCGTCGAGGGGGCGGGACCTGTGGCGCTCGTTCCGCGAGCTCGCCATCTTGACGCCAGGATTCCAACAGGGGGCTCCTTCTAGGCTACTTGGATTCATCGGTCTTATTGTATACTCATAGTACAGGCCGGTCGCCGTGGGACGCGCCCTGTGATTGTAATGTGTTTTGACGTAAGCAACACTCCGAAGTCCGTCATCCAATGTCAGGATCTATTTAGTAGATAACAAGTCGGTTCTGCGCCACCGATGCTATTGCAGTCATGTTTGTCACGACCTGGAAAAATTGTGGGCTTTAACATGTTTCCGTGAGGGACACCGTTCATGCCGCGTGAACAATGGGCACACGTAGACTTGGCGGTGACACTGACGGCGAGAGCGCGACATCACATGATCGTGGTGAAGTTGACATAAGGAAATCGCTGGCTGCGGTGACAGTGACACACCCCTTCGTGACTCTCCATACACCAACGATTGTGTACTGAACCTCGCTGCACCCACCACCGACATGGAGCAGCACTCGAATCTTCGAGATACCGCGTCCGAAGAGATTCCCGATGTGAGATCATCTTGTTCACATCGCCTAAGCTCAAATCCTGATCCTTGCGACTCCTCCAGATCCCCTCGTTGGTTGAATTTGATTCAGGTACATACTTTTGGGAGTCTGCTAGACCATGGTTGTCTCGGAGAGGTGTAGAACTATACGAAATACGCCCCGATGAGAATCCTCTGCATAACTGGAAAAACTGGTGGACGCCCTTGGTTAGCACGCCCGCGCCTCTGCCTTTTGCACGGTGCGTGTTCGACACACCGAGCAAACAGAACATTTTCTCTCCCGCTGTGAGTGGCGAACATCAATTCGACCGTGGGGAGACTCATTGTTTTGCCAGCTGAAATTGGCATGCGGCCAAGACTCCCTAGGCAGAGACGTTATGTTGAAGCTCGTCGAGAAGGACAGCCCGGAATACAGCATTTACCAGCTTTTGATCCAGCGCGAGGATTCGTTTACAGACCGGAGCACGTTTCCATGTGTTCTTCCGCCTCTTGCCATCCTCGATACCCCTCATCAATACTCCATCGTTACGATGCCTACGTGAGTTCTTGCCGTATTGGCCGACCTGCTTATGATTGACGCAAGTTGATAGTTGGGGAAGTCCTTTCCACATCGAAGAATTCCGAACTGTACGTGAAGCGCTGCGCTTCATGGAGTGTATACTTCAGGTACGCTAGAAGGTTTCATGCTTGTGCATTCTGTAACGCCTCCATGTCATTTCAGGGTCTCGTCTATTTACATGCTAATCGGATAGCACACCGAGTGAGTCGGACCTGATCACCCTTCTACTGCTATGCCATCTCATGCACAACTAGGACATCTTTGAGTTCAATATCGTTGTCAACTGCTATAGGCTTGACCGGGATATGGAACGTCTTTCCGAGGACTTGGTCGACCATCGACGACGGGCGGACGTTTTATACGCTCTTATGGACTATGATCAGTCTATATACCTTCCTCATGTTACCTCCGTGAAGCACTGCTCTCGCCCTGCCAAGGAAGCGTGGGTGGGGTACGGTATGTACAAGCCAGATGACATTTATACTGGCGAACCGACGTACAACCCCTTCGCATTTGACGTTGGCATGCTGGGTAACTTGTTCCGAACCAACTTCTCAGTAAGTCAGTGTGATTGAACTGATGCTAGTACTGATTGGTGTCTTTGCAGAAAGCGGTCCCATTCGTGACGGCCTTGCCAGCACTGTTTGACAAGATGACAACTCACATTGTCTCACAGAGATTCAGTGCCGAAGAAGCGCTCGCGTTCTTCAAAGCTTCGACGAAGGATCTCACCCAAGACGCACTCGAGGCATCCCTGGAACTGACTATGGAGTACGAGCCTCTGTATGACTCCGACGTATATTGGTCGCGGTTACCTTCAGAACTCCAAGCGAGATGGATATGTCATAGGACTCCCCCACTCCCACGTTGGTTCTATGTTTTGAATCGGTTGATTCAGATCCCCGTTTGTCGTAGGATAATACTTCCCGTCCGTCGCTGCTTGGGAATTTAGATCCTCTCTCTGCTTATCACTCGCCAGGCGAAATCATACGCCGGAACCCAGCCTATGTTCACTCTGGCGGTGGCACTCTTCTGACCCACATATACACGTGTATGTTACAGTTCCGTGCCGTTCCCATCTATCCTCATGCGGATGTTGTAGATCTGCGCCCAGAAAATTTGATGATATTGGCCCCTACATGGAACTCAGTTCGATCGTCCTATCTCTTGGTATGATATTACCCCTTTGTTCCAAATGACTCCACATAACCCATCCTGAAACTCTCACATCGCCCAGGCTGACGATTGTGCAGTGCCATGCCCAACTCTCAATGACTACCGGGCGAGCCGTCATATATAAGAGCGAGCCATGCCCGAAACCCTCTTCATTGACCAGACCCTCTATCGTGCCGACACGCTTTACTGCCCGTGTCTGTGCTTACCATGCATCCTCACCGCTCTCAGCTGCCAAACCAAGGCCAAGGCCGCCACCATTCCTCCTCCGGAAACACACGCGTTCCTGGAGGCAACAACCGTCAGCAGGGAAATCTCGCTCGTGACGGCGCACAGTCCGGCGCTGTGCCCACTCAAGGACGCGAAAGTGTTGTTACACCCGTTCCACAGCTCTCTTTCAGCGTGCGTATCCTCCCACATGGTCCGTGTTCAACTGCTAATGTGGCAGCTCAGGTCGGGCAACTTGTGTGGTTGGAGCATTATGTCAACCGCGAGTTCCGCGGCCAGCACGTTGTGCAGATCACGCACGTCGAACACCAGGTTCAGAGTCCAACGGCGGTAGGTCCTCTCAACAATCTATATTCGGGATGCACCGGGGAACTAATGACATACTCTATCCAGAGACCCGGCCAATCCAATGAATGGCAGAGGGCCGACTATGACACTGTGTACCGCTTCAAGATGGCGACTGTCAAATGGGAAGAGGCCTCCCTTTCCTCTCCCTCTCAGGTCAACCCAGTCCGTCACGATCAGCTTTCCTATGAGAAGGGCGGACAGCCTTCCCATCAGCGATACGGGGTGAACCAATTGGTGAGTCACACAAGGTGATTGTACGCATTGACATCAAGTGACACGCAGTTTGCCTTTGCGTCAGGTGTACCTGAGAGAGACGCTGAACTTCAAGGTAGACGGAGCAAGGATTCAGATTCCAGTCCGTAGCGGCACCCGTTGTTGTGTCGTCAGTATCACCAGTCGTGCGGTGCGTACATAGAAACTTGACCACATGCTCGCAAAGGCTAACAGTATATGTTCCAGGGCGGCGAGGAATATGCGAGGACGGAGGTACAGTCAGCGACTGGTGTAACGAGGACCTGCTATATCTTGAAGGCCAAGTATCGCAAGCAGTGCATCAGGGAGGAACGCTGCAGTGTTGGGAAGGAAGCCCATTATTTCCGCATTGCGACCCAGCAGGAGATAGCTGCGTACAACGCTATGCAAAATGCAGCGAACCTCCAAACCCGGGTGGTCGACTTCGATGCCGCCTGAAACCTGGCGCGCGTTGCCAGCCTCTCTTTGTGTCGCTGGCCGCGGCACTAGAATCAGATGAAGATCTTGGTCTGATGCTTTTGTACTCCCTAGTCAACGCCAGTACTACTGTGCTATTCTCGTTTGTCTCGTCTGTATGTTGTCTGCGAAATGTGTTCAATTGATGTTGACGTTTATCAATCACAAACCGCTTGTACCGAACGTCCAAACATTAGGAATCGTGTTTGTGGCGGATTGCTCTATGGCCAGCACAAGATCTTGATTGAAAGATGACAGGCACGGGTGTTGTGCAGGGTGCGGCTGGCGTGAGATGAAGGTGGGGACACGGAGATATATGGTCACTGTCTTAACGTGGCTCAGGTCACGATCCCTCTACGATGGGACACGTTGTCCAATAGTTCAATGCCCCCGGTGAAGCACGCGAAACCCAGGCGGACCGAGACGGGGTTAGCTTTGACACACTTGCAGATCTCACCAGCTGAAGGATTCCTGCTCCACAAGAGAAAGATATGGAGCTAGGCTGGATTGCAGGCACCGATGCGTCACACATTCGTCCTCGACTTTCTGTGCCTATTGTTGTCTCTCACTATAGTCCGACTCGCCTCCGCAGCAAGTCTATCCTCGGCATTGGAGTATGTCTCTCATGATTATATGCACACACGACAAAGTCAACAAAGAGCGAGCAAAGGCCACGATCCCATTTTAATCCCATAACCTGACACCTACACTCGTGGTACTCCCTGGACAACCTGCGGGTACGTCTGTGCAATCAACTAGAAAGCAGTCTCGTATGAGTACTCATAGTAGACCAGCGACCGTGCAAAGACGTACAGCGAACAGCTCAGGTGCGCGAATGGCAAGAACTTGTGGGTCTTCCCCAAGGCCAACGAAGCTGTGTAGGTGCCCAGCCATCAGTTCGGAAGCGCATGGAGGAGGGCAGGACAGGGCGTACATCGTGGAAACACCGGCCTCAATGGCAGACATCAGCGTCAGCGCTGTTCAGAATCAATGTCAATGTTCTGTGTGACCTTGACTAAAGCGGTCCGAGCAACTTACAGCTCTGTAGTCCGATGAGGAAGGCGAACAGAAGGACGGGAGCCGTATATTGCCCGTCCGCGTTGTAGCTTGGATGTGTGTCTATAAGAAAAGCAACCTCAGCTAGCGCGTTTTGACGTACTCTTTCTCAGACACTTACAACGTAGGTAGAGGTACCCGAATAGGGAGCAGAGTAGGCCTGTCACGTACGCGCCCCAGGTGAGAGCTATCGCGAACTCGTCAGATCAAGGATCACAGTACAGAATGGCTTCTTACTCATGCCGACGAGAGAGTCATTGACGAGAGCATCAATGCCACGGTCCTTGAACAGCCGCCAGGTATCCTTCGCCGCCTGGATGTAGGGTTTGCCGTACAGCGCTGTGATCATGATGAGCAGATATATTATCACGTCTGTCATATCACTCACCGATCTCGATGTACGCATAGCTACCACGATGGGAAGATGTAGTCAGCGGCGTCGAGCAGAGAGGATGAGAAGCGAGCAATCGCACCGGTTGAAGTACTCGACGGCACTTTCGATGCATCCGATGAAGCACTCCGCGCACAGCGCCAGGCAAGCTTCGACGGCTGGAGAGATTAGGTCGCAGCGTCAGCGCCCATGTTCGTAGCCACGATAAGCACAGTAGCAGACGACAGATGGAAGACACGCACGGTGACCGTCCGCGTTGGCACTGTTTTTTGCCGCATTCAAGACCATCTTGACGAGCTCGAGGAGGGTGACGATCAAAGATCCGAAAGCGATCGAGCCGAGCGAGAGGGTCGACGCGCGGACGAAGGCCGAGAGCGTGGGGTGCTTGGGCTGGCGGATGCTATGCTCAGTTTATCGCTTCTTTGACGTGAGTGAGAGGATTCCTGACCATCAGCCCGGCATCGCGAGGACCGAAATAGTACCAGCCTGGGTGGGGAATGTAAGATCCAGATAGAGCGTAGAAGGAGCATCAGCTCTTACTGCCGAAGGGCCCGCCGGCGAGCGTCGCTAGCGCGACGTTGCCAATCACCTGGGATGTCCAAAGGAAGGAGAAGGTTTCGAAGATGATGAAGCCGATGACCTTGGCTGTGGAGCACGACTGGCCGAAATCGCAGGCTGTACGGATGCGCGTCAGTCGGGATCAAGCCGCAAGGGGCTGTCATGATACACACTCGGGCTACCAGGGGTGTATCGGACATAGCTGTGGAACTGACGTTAGATGGAGCGAAGAGCGGTGCATTTAGATGCGCTTACGTCGCAATGACTGTGAAGGTGTACCACCTTTATTCGCATGAGGATTAGCCGCGAGGAGACGTGCTAGAACGGGGCAGGCTTCACTCACACACTAAGCGCAGCTTGCAAGATGAGCGATGTGAATGCCACGAAGTACACGCTCGGATGGTGCTTGGTCACGTCCATGACGACCTGAAGGAGCAGGGAGGCCAGTGGGATCCGCGAGCGGTATCCCCAGTACGACAAGACAGAGAATAGTGCGATGACAGTGAAGATGATTGCTCCCGCTAGAATAGACGGAGCGTCAGTGTCGCCGCTGTCTGGTTGGGCGAATGGCATACAGTAGTACTTGGTAATCCAGTAATATACGCAGATTCCACTAGAAGGCACAGGTCAGAGCCGGCCAGGACGAGGGTGGGTTTATTGGGACGCACATGTTCAGTAGGATGGACAAGATCAATGTTATGTGCATGATTGCTCTCGTAAATGCGCGTGTCAGGATGAGGTATATTGCGGACAAAATTATAGCTGCTCCTGTTACAAACAGGAGCAGGATGACGGTATGGCTGCGAGCGACAGGGTCGGGTCATGGGCCGCCACGGACTGGAAGGATGGGCAAGTACGCACTAGTTCAAGGTGACACTCTTCCCTGTGTTGTCCGATCCGACACCTCCACCGAGCCCCCCAGCATTTCCAAACTTTGACACTGTGACGACCGAGATGACGACGAATCCGACCAGCTAACCCGTTCGACGCGATATCAGTCAATGAGTCAGTCTCAAGCTGACAATGAACCACTGCTCACCTGGGCGATGAAGAGAATGAGGAAGATGGGATCGTTGATCCTCTTCTTCGGCTTGAACCTTTCGCCCTCGTAAGGCGATTTGGTGTCTCCGCTATATCCCTGGTTAGGGCCCTGGCCGTGTCCGTAACCATACTGTCCGGGCTGTGGCGGGGCGTATGGGTTCTCAGCATAGTAAGGGGCAGGTCCAGGAGCAGGAGTGCCGATAGGCTTGTATGGGTTTGGGGAGAAAGACATGGAGACCGTTGCGTCCTACACTTGCAATGGATAATTTAGGGGTCGTACACAGGTTGCTTGATCGTAGTGCGAGACGAGCAGTTGAAGATCTCGAGGTCAGCAGAGACTAGTCGTATAGGGTCGTGTCGTTGTATGTGTCAGGGGTAAGGTCAGAGTCAACGGTTACAGAATGGCGGCGGCCAAAGGCCTGAATTTGTATAGCGGCGGCAGACTGCAGTGATGTCTGCAGCAGACGGGGCTCATGTTGCAGACACATGCAGTGCAGCAGGCACATCGCGTTCGCATGACGTCCGAGCGCCCCCGGCCGCGTGCTTTGATGATCCTAATCTCAATCTTCTCGCCATCGGCCATTCAAATGACCGTTAACCTCGTTCGTGCATCGTTTGATCGTATCTGTGAGTCGGCAAGGAGAACACACTGGCACGTCCGTGCTGCTAGAAGATAAATGTCGGACTTGTTGCATCCACATGTCGCCGTGAGTACAATACAACTAGTGCACGGTCATCTACACCCCTAGTAGGTCGTTTGCCCGGACTTTGCAGAGTAGAATTAGCGCGGAAGCTTCTCTATCGACATTCCCCCTTCGACTTAGAAACAGCCAGGAGTACGTCAAGCTCTAAGGCGAATAGCGACCAGTAGTTCGGGGACGAGCTCCCTGAGTGGCATTGGAAGACCCGTGAGCATCTGCTTCTCCATTCTTGCGTATCTGCAGATGGCTAGTGCGCCTGTGCATCGCGCATTGTGCTCGAGCGACAGGTACAAGCTAGTCAGGATCGTCCTTGCCAGCGACGTAGGCTCCGGAGGTTATCAAGGAGAACGAGTCTTTCAATCAACTTAGCCGCAGACACCCGCCCCATGCCGTGGAACGACCGAAGAGTTCGTCGACACATTTTCACACCCAGAGAGTGCCCTGGTTCTCTCCTCTCCAACTCCTCTCCGACTCCAACTAACCTGTATGATCTCTTCGCAAACGGGCAGGTTGAAGTGACCCCCCATCCGATTGCATGTTATTCGTTGGGTACTTCGAGTGCACCTGAGGCACCCCTCCCCTACTCATCTCGCCAACTCACATCCCATGTAAGGCATTCTTTTACCTGACGGAGGGATCGTCGCGGTCTTCGAAGTAATACACGCGCATGCAGGAAATCACAGCGCCCGCTCTGCTTGCTTCTTCAGCATACATTGCCTCAATCGAGGTTGCTCTCGAGCCACGTTCTCGTAGCGGGCTGCGATTTGTACATATATCTACAAGCGTCCCAAGGTGCATGTCTCGGCTCACCTGACCATGCCGAGAGAGGGGCCTTCTGCTGGAGTTGCGTCCAGGTTGCGTCATTATACGAGTCTATGGCAATCACCGGACGTAGTCCGGCTACTTACTTCGTCTACCTTCGTCGTTCGAGGCCCGTGAATACTATATGTGTAGGTCCTTCCGAACCTAACTCCTCAACGCAGGAGGGATCTAGACCTGATGACCTGGGTTGCCTCCTTCCTCCAGATGTCATTCCTGAGACGTTCAAACGGGCACGTTCCGCATAATTGTGTCTGGACCCTAACCCTGGTGCCGAGCGATGACGATGGAGTTAGGCGCCCATTATGAGACAAGGCAGGCGACCGCCGTGGGTAATGCCGAGTCCGCTCCAATCACTCTAACGACCTTCCGTGCCTCCGCCCCCCGCAACTGCCTCCTCTCAGCCACCCATTCATTCACCTACTACCTGCTTCACTTCTTCTTATCATAAATACATGGCTTCAGCGGCTGGATCCTGTGAGTTCTACCAAAATATGAGCAATGTTCCGACTGTGGTCTGATTGTGGCGATCTCGCTCCGCTAGCCCAGGCCTCATCCCAGTGAGTTTACATCCAACATGCCGTGCGCAGCCATCTCACACAAGCATCATATCCAGGGTCTCCGACGATGCAGCACTTTCGCCGCGTCTGTCCTTCAAGTGTGCTGTAACCGATTCCAAGGGACCCCGGCGTTCCATGGAAGATGCACATTCTATCGTCGTTCCCTTCGGCGGAGTCCGCGGTCAAGGGTTCTTTGCGATTTTCGATGGTCACGCAGGGAAGCAGGCCGCACAATGGTGCGGGCAGAACTTTGCTCTGGTACGGCATTCTCACTCCCTTTTCTACTCCACAACCGCCCACTCGTCTACTCTGCTCCTTAGTGCCTCTTGCACGCGCTGCGGAGAGACAGGTCTGCGACCATCCCCGATGTGCTCAACCAGACGTTCCACAACGTCGACATGAACCTCTCGAGGTTGTCGGAGGAGTCGGATGGGAAGATGCACTCCGGCTGTACGGTTGTGACCGCGTTCCTCCGACTCGAGGATGAGAACGGTAGCCAGGCTTTCCTTCCGCCCGACTTTGACCTCGTCGCTCCGCCGCTCCCCGCATCAGCGGCCGACCCAACGGCTTTGGTGGACCACGATCGAGACGAAACCCCAGACGACGATACCGACTCCCACCCTAATGATAATGTCCACGGGCCCAGCAGTAGCGACAAGGACTCGAAGTCGAAGGGCACGACAAGTAAGCTCCTGCATGCTATCAAGAGCTTGGGTGGCGTCGCTCATCATCGTCGCTCTACCTCTTCTACCTCCGCCCCGGGTCACCCAGACTCGCCGAACAGCCCGTCGCCTGTTCAGGAGAAGATCGTCATGCCTCCGGAGAACCTACGGCGGGTGCTGTATTGCGCGAATGCGGGCGACGCTCGTGGAGTGCTCTGTCGCGCGGGCAAGGCAGTACGGTTGACGTACGACCACAAGGGATCGGACAAGCAGGAGGCGAAGCGCATCACCGACGCCGGTGGTTTCGTTATGAGTGGGCGTGTCAATGGCGTACTCAACGTTACGCGCAGTCTCGGAGACTCATCGATGAAGGAGTTCGTGGTTGGCTCTCCGTACACCACTGAGACGGAGCTTAGCGAGCAGGACGAGTTCCTGATCTTGGCATGTGATGGCGTCAGTCCGCTTCCTCCGTCATGCTGTCTGCATGTGTACTGATCTGCCCCCTCTAGTTGTGGGACGTGGTGAACGACCAGGGGGCCGTCAACCTCGTGCGCGCGATTGCAGATCCGCGGCAAGCGGCGGAGGAGCTGCTTGATCACGCTTACAAGAACTACTCGACGGACAACGTGACTGTCCTCGTCGTCCGGTTCCGAGACCCCCCTGAGAGCGTCCGTGCGGATTGACGGTGGCTCTTCCGACTCATGCATGGGTACGCTATATTGCTTCCACACGAAATGCCTAGCTAACGGTGCTGTTGCGCATCACTTAAGGTTTCGGAAGTACTCTCGTCGATTTCTGCACAACCTACCGCCCAAGTCGTCATCGCTCGTCATAGATGCAGACGCGACGTACATCACACCCGACCCCGCACGAGTCCTCGTAGCATCCGTCGTGTGATGTCAGCATCGTTGCTTCCTGCTCCCCCCTTGTAGTCGCTCGTCACCACGGTCTCGCAGCCCCTGTTTCACTTCCTTAGGGTCTTATCATGTGCACGCGCCATTCCACTCGTCTATACGTCCTCGATTTCTTGTCATTCATGTCGAACATCGAACAGGCCGTACAAGTACATCTGTATCATATACATTATGGACAGGCATGGTAACTTACCCTACTTCCTACAATTGATAGTCGTAGCCTCGTCCTTCCCTGAAGTCGGCGACGCAACTTCACGAATCGGTGAGTATTGTTCGCCGAGCGTTGGCATCTTTGCAGGATTAAAAGATCGGAAGTCCCGCGAAGGATGATCTCGAATAAGACGAGAGAAGGCTGCAGGCACCGCGCCAGGGCGACCGCGACTTCGAATCTACTTCCGTCTGTATCACGTTATCAATCAGGAACCCATTTGATGTTCTACCTCTCCCTCCGACAGTGGCACACGTCCCCCTTGAGATCACTGTCGCGCTGTCTTCTCACCCTCTGGGCTGATAGCGTTCGAAGATCCTCAAGGTCGCATCGCACCTGGCCTTGCTCATCATGATGTTCGGTGGGTTTGTAGGTTTGGACTGCTTTCTTCGCTCGTAGAGTCGATCGTCTACGATGAGCTATCGGAGGCGATCAACTCGACGAGCAAAAGAAGAGGCCTTGTTGCGCAACACGCGGTGCTTCGGTTCGAAGGGAGATCTGGAGTTTCCAAACGATGTCAGGAATGCACTGCAGTATTCTTGCTGGTGCATATCTCCATCCTAGGAGTCAGCATATGGGCACGCCACAACCAGGGACTCGAACCACCTGTCGTGGCGAGTAATGCTATCGCAGTGCAAGTGGAGGTGATCAGTGACTGATCCTTGACGCGTCTTGATGAGGAGTCAGCGCAAACCGCACACTTCATGCTCAACACACCTTCTGAACATGCGAGAATTTGCTGCGTCTATGTGACGCTGCCGATGAGAGTAGGAGAGACGAGAATGAGGGGGCCATATAGAGGTGTCACCGAAGCCTTAATAAGCGATTTCCCGTGCGCAACTTCACCACGGTCATGTGGCACTATATATGTACCTACTTCGTGGGACAGCTTGAATTGGATGGCGCCGCCACTACATGGATGGTTACCGTGATGCAAGTACGCACCTGCCTTCGCCCTGGGACAGTATCCAATACGTCCACGAGGACATCATGAGCCATGATGAAGGTGGTCGCACTCGCATCCCATTGCGAATATATCGTGACTAGCACCTGATACCAGCCTCGACAGGAAAACACAACGATCGAGGATCGGGACCCTTCGATGCGATGGAAGGCCACGCGTCGCCTTCCAACGGAATATACATTTCAGAAACCAAGAAATCGAGACGATTTAACCCATGTACGAAGCAAACACAGGAGAAGGATGGACTAGAGATTCAACATCCGACGCACAGCTCGCAGGATCTTCCACCCCAGGTCCGTCTCCGCTATCCAGCCTAACACCCAATGGCTCCAGGGTCTGGGAGGGACTCGAAAAGCGTGCCACCGCCCACGATCTTCTGGTGAGAGAAGAGACCAGTAGACATCCGGGTTGCACAAGGGCTCAAAGCCTGCAGACAGAGTCAGAGGATGCGCAAGCAAGTCGTCTGGCAATCGAGACAGGAATTCGTTGTAGAAGGACAAAGCCTCAGCGGCGTTGAAGCGCTGGGAGGCGATATGAGTTGTCATTCTGGCGAAGAGAGGTGCCAATTCGGGCACCACCTTTATGGCATCCTATCCGATACACCATCATCATTCTTACGCCCCTGGACAGGGAAACGTCGAGGGATACTCACGGTGAAGTGGTACAAAAACATATTGCCTAAGCATGCGACGTCGAATGCGAACGGATTGTACTCCGGCTGTGCGAAACAAATGTCATGCAGTGGATGAAATTGCGGGGAGCCACGGTTGCCTTCCCAAGCTGGTCGACGTGAGTCCTTTACTGACACGTTGCCTGGTAGTTGTATGGCAAGGTCGTAATCGAAGAAGCTGAAGGCCACATCGGGAGAGTGCAAATGCTTTCCGACAATGGCCTTGGATTCGAATCTTTCCAGTTCGGGGCAGTACCCATTGACTAAGGTGTTGTCCTCCCGGATGTCCTGAAATATTTTGAGTAATGGCCTTGTGCTACCATGAGAAGGCATTGAAACTCACCCGGTGAGCAATTCGATGGTCGTGCAAGGATGACAGCCCCTGAAAGCCGCGTCAGAAGCAGATGCAATTGAGAATGAGTGGGACGTACCGTCAAAAGACACCGGGTGAAGGTTATCACGAGACGCACGGAGTCAAATGATCCCACTACGAAGGCATTACTCCATCTACAACGGTCGGCGTCCATGACGTACAGAGGAATTGCTGGGACTCACATCGGCATCACTACGAAAGAGAAATGATACGGGGAATCAAGGACCGCCACAGGAGGAAGAACGTTAGAGAGCGGCGCATTTGTGGATGAACTGAACTGTTCGAGGAGATAGCGATTATTTTGATGCTCGGCAGACCCTTAGATCGTTAGCTTGATGCAAACATCACGGCCAACGAGGTCTTGTCCGAAACCGAATCTGTACTGCCAGATCGCGAACTTGTGAACACAACGGTACGAGGCAGTGTCACAAACCCTCACCCGCACGCTCCTCGCTAATGGCGTGGTGGAGACGACATCCAGCCGAGTGGCAAGGGGAAATTGAGAAGGTGTTGTCGACTGAGGCGGATACCATTGTTCCGACGGTACAAACTCGCTCACTATCCGGAGATCGTACAGGAAGATACCGTGGGCACGGAGCCGGATTCTGTACCCTCGCCAGAAGGCTATCGGCCACTTAGGCAGGCAGCTCTGTTTGCCATTGCTCCTCAGTGATCTGCTCAAGATGTCGTTATTGATAAAACCAAAGCTAACATAAACCGCCGAACGGTACTCACGTTCGGAAGCTGCTCCTCTAACTTCTCGGCTGCCGAGTAGTCAGAATCCTTCAGCCATATCGAAGGCATGAGCGCAAAGCAGAGGCGTACGGCGTGAATTCGTCATCTATTCTGCTACAGTGGCAACAAACAACGTTGCCAGACGCTCATGGTCTCAACCGCGTTGATGCGTGCGAATAAACGGTTTGATGGCTCCGCCTCTGGGCGCTATGAACGTCCACGCGGTCGTTATTTCAACGTCAACACTGAACGTCCTTGAAGGCTTGCAGTCTGATTACTGGCACGGACTAGACGACATCTCTCGGACAATACCTCTTCGTGCCACTCTCAAATTAAGGCATCATGTCTAGAAACGACCGCAACTCTGGAACAGTCAAGATATCGCATGTTGAAAAGTTGCTTCCGAACGTAAGCATCGCTGTATTCATAATGCTGGGTTTAAATTGTGAACTTTCGGGCAGATCTCCGAGGAACAATTGGAGTCAGACAACCTATCGCCCGAGGAATGGGTGATCTTCTGGGAGGGCTACAGAGGCTGGCTCCGCGCACATGGGGTATCTCTGTATGATCTGCGGATTGTGAGCGAGAACATCCTGTCAGAACGGTGGTATCCGCCTCCTGTGACAAATTCTGCTTCATATCCCTTCGCCACTCGGCTGGATTCTGGTACAACCACACCACTCGGGAGGGGTGTACGGGTGATGCGTTTTGTTTTCCTGCTGTATCGATGATGATGACCAACCAGCAATCCCCGCAGTCTAAATTCGGATTCGGGCAAGATCTCGCCGGTCGTGATGTCTGCATAAAGTTAACAATCAGAGGGTCCGCCGAACACCAAATCAACAAATACCTTCTTGAGCAATCGAGCACCAATTCACAAGCGCCGTTTCCTTACGTGCTTCCTGCGGTGGCAGTTATTGACTCTCCCTATCACTTCTCCTTCATAGTCATGCCACTGTGAGTCAGTGTAACCCTTCTTCACGCCTAAGAGCTAACTAGAACAGGTGGGGCACTGGCTTCCGGGTGCGATCGTTTGATTCTGTGCGCCTTATGTTGATCTTCATCCGGTGCCTCCTGACGGTGTGTCCACCATTTCTCTCTACGGCTTCGAGTTCTGAAGCAGCTCTCAGGGCCTGTCGTATTTACATAGTCATCGGATAGCTCACCGAGTAAGTGGTGAAGTTTGTTCAATGTCTATAGATCCCCGAAAACCATTTCATTCGTAGGATATCCGACAGACTAACGTCTTAGTTGATGGCTACTGCCCTGAGTTAGAAGAAACCCAGTCGATAGTCATCGTCAAGGAGCACGTGACTTCTCCTGACGTGGCCTTCTGCTTTTTCGACTACGATCTCGCCATCCAACTGCCAAAAGACGTTTCTCTAAGGGACGCGCGTAGACCAGCTTGGGAAGGGAACCGCGGTTCCCTCGAATATCATCCGCATGATATCTCTCTCGCACAACCGGAATACAATCCGTTCGCATACGATGTTGCATGCTTGGGAAATTTGTTTTTGCACCACTTTACTGTGAGTTTTCTCTCGATTCTTCCTCGCCCCGTGACATGACGAGGTCTATACAGGATGCCATACCAGTGGTGCCGCAATTGGCACCTCTCTTTTCCAGGATGACGACGCATGTCATCAACGAGCGCTTCACCGCTGCTGAAGCTTTATCCTTCTACGACGAGAACCTCTCTCGACTACCAGACGATTTACTTGCGCATCCTCTGGCTCTATCCACAGGCTTTGAGCAGTTGTGGGACCCAGATGTGTACTGGTCTCTTCTTGCTCCACAAGATCGTCAGCGGTGGCAATTGTATCGGGTGCCGCCCAGATCCTGGGGTCAACAGCTCTTAGCCTGGGTAGTTGAAACTGAGATGGGGTGGAGGATTATCCGGGGTCTTCGCCGGATACTCAATGTCTAGACCCTCGACGTCTCCTGTACTCGGTTTCCTAGTACGCTAGAATTTGATTCATTCTGCCATCATAAGCCCACATGATCAGTTAGCCGTTCACATTCCCACATGGAACCTTGTGTTATTGCAGGACAAGAAATCTGCAATAACACTATCAAGATATTCAAAACATCGTGAGAAGCAGCGGCGGACCGAAACAGGTGGTGTTGGACTCCTTCCCTTCTGGGAGCTTCAGTGACTCATCGCGTGCCGCCAGATCTAGAGGATGTGGTGGTGAGAAGGGAGACTCTATCTCTGGGCAGGCTATAAAGGCTGCGCCAGGTCTGCGGCTCTTCCAACACAGTCGAGCCCTCGTCCTCAGTCTGTCCTGCATATCCTCGGTTGACCATGAACACCGCTGCACGCCATAACGTGCGCACTCCGCTCCCTGCGGGGAGCAATTTTGACTTGGACGAAAGCGCTCTGACATTCAAGGTTAGTGGCTATCGACAACTCATCTGTATTGTTGTGCTCTAGCTCATCATGTCTACAGCCATCTCAGCTGCCGTGGGTTAAGTTAGCCGCACACTTCACGGCAATTGATGGCTTCGCCCCCGGAGACATTGTCCAAATCTACGATGTGAAGCGCAGCTATATATCTCCGTCTGCTGTACGTATATCGGTTGTTGTGTCATGCACGATTCCCTTATCAATACCTACATCCAGTCTGGCCTGACGGGCAATTGGGTTCCCAATGACGACGACGCCCTATATCGCTTCCAAAAGCGCTGCATCCGGTGGAGATATCACGTAGCTGCATTAAAGCCAGTTGCCCATCGTAAGCTGCATACGACCCTCACGGTGCCGGGTAGACCGGGCACGTATAAGGCCCGTGGGTCATATGAGGCGAACAGCGTGGTATGTGAGAGCAGAAATTGCTTATAGCGTGTTAGCTGACAAGGAAAATGGCAGGTATACTTGACCGAACCCATGCAGGTGCAGTGGAGGAACCAGACACTTAACGTCAAGCAGGGCACTGCGGTTACCATCACTGGTCCGAGTTCTAAGAGTGTGCGTACATTGTACATGTTGTAGCTGCCTCCCTGAGTCCTTCTTCCGTTAACATATCTCGATATGCAGGGTCGTGACAGCGACAAAGCCTCGACGTTGTTCAATGTTGAAAGCATATACTACACTGTGAGCGTCTACATCAGATTTGCTGAGGAGTGGACCACCAGGACCTGCGCCCATGGCAGGCACTCCAGTTGTTTCGAATCGCTCTCTCAGGAGGAACTCGACATAGTCCATGGGAATTTGAGCAGAGTTCTGGACACGACGCCTCACATTAAATCCGCGGTGGAGCTTCCCGAAGCCTTGCGCGAACATGGCGCGAGTCAGACGGAGGACGTTCAGATGCTTAAGAAATAGTCAATTTGCGAAAATGTATCTGCGTATTCCAACAATGTTTTTGCCAAATCGTACTTGGTGAAGTATACATCAGGCAAGGGTTCGCTTCCGGGCACACAGGTGTCCACCAGGTTCTCAGGGGACATCTCTTATAGTTCTAATCCTCTGCGAGAGAGCCATGGCCTAGCAGCCTCCCAGGAGGATGTTATCGAGACAAACTCAACCACCGACTTGAAGGGGTTGTGGACGACGTGAACAAGGTGTCACATTGGGAACGTCCTCTCAGGACGCGAGATCTCGAACATTCGAGTCACCTGCTCCCCACTGTTGGTGGGTATGGCGAGGTCAGTACAGTACACCATCGGTGGCGAAAGGGAGAGTAATTGAACGTGGAAGCACGGTAGGTCAACTTCACCACAGTCATGCGACAGTGGAATCCTGGTCACCTCGTCCTCTCCTTGGTAACGTAGGGCGGCCAGGAACTTCGATCGAATCCAAAGATGTCTTAGATAGGAGACATATCCATCTGGCACTCACTATCCCTTTATTATTGGCCCGCAAATTCCCAGCATTATGAGGCAGAAGTCGTGAATAGGGTACAGCACCGGTACCGCCCGACCGAAACACTAGCTCTTATAGATTAGTCACCGCGGGCGCATTAATTGATGAGGGGAATTTGTTGCACTTGCCGCTGTGTAGTCACTGAAACGGATGAATGGGAGTCACTCGGAACAAAGCGGTAGGACTGTACCAAGAGATAGGATAACCGAAAGAGCTTTCGTGGGCGGCACGCCATCCTGCAGCTTCTCGGGCGCACATCCACGTCTATCTGATGATATTCGGTAGCTGCGGTGCGGGCGTTCGACGTACACGTGTATATGTGGGTCTGAAGAGTGGCACTACCGACAGAACCATCGGAGGCCAATTTCCGGCTCCAAGCTCCGCCGAACCAGTGATGAAGGTACATATAGCATCTATATTCCCAAGAAGCGACGACCGGGAACTATGACCCGGCGAAAGATGGGGATCTGAATCAACCAATTCAGAATCCAAAAGGAGCGAGGTAACGGGGGAGCCCTGTAATCCGTCCAGCTGGCTTGGAGCCCTGGAGGTAGTCTCGACCAGTACACTTCGGAGTCAAACATGGCACCGTACTCCATGCCCAACTCCAAGGGTGCCTCGAGCGCGTCCTGGGGGACATCCATCGCCGAGTCATTCAAGAATTTGAGTGCTTCCTCCGCAGTGAACCTCTGTGAGACGATGTGAGTTGTCATCTTGTCAAACAATGCTGGCAACGCCGGCATGAGTGGAACCGCCCTCTGCAAAGACACGGATCAGTATTGGCACTGTGTGAACGGGACCGACTTACTGAGAAGTTGACTCGGAATAGATTACCCAACATGGCAACGTCGTACGCAAAAGGGTTGTATGTCGGTTCGCCGACACAAACGTCGTCTGGCCGGTACATGTCGGCGCCTGCCCACGCTTCTTGGGCAGGGCGACGGCAGTGCTCCAACGAAGTGACTTGTGGGAGGTATATAGACTGGTCATAGTCCATGAGAGCATATAGAACGTCTGGTCGTCTTCGATGATCAACCAAGTCTTCAGACAGACGATCCATATCTCGGTCAAGCCTGTAACAATTCACGACGACATTATACTCGAAGATGTCCTAGTTATGCGTGAGTGGGCATAGCATTCACGGAACATTTGAACACGACTCACTCGGTGCGCTATGCGATTCGCATGCAGGAAGACAAGGCCCTAGTACGATAGGGGGTGTTAAGAAGGCAATCAAGTACGACAGGTCTCGGCATACCTGAAGCAAACATTTCATGAAGTGCAAGACTTCACGCATCGTTTGGAACTCTTCGATGTAGAAGGGGCTTCCCCACCTATCGCCGCTCGTCAATAAGTAGCAGATCGGCCGGTCCGGCGACAACTGACGTGGGCATCGTGACAATGGAATACTGATGAGGGGTATCGAGGATGGCAAGAGGAGGAAGAACACATGGGAACGTGCTCGGGTCGGTAAACAAGTCCTGTTGCTGCATAAGACACTGAAAAATGCTGTATTCCGGACTGTTCTTGTCGACGAGCTTCAACATAACGTCTCTGCCTACGGAGTCCTGACCACATGCTAATTTGATCTGAAAGGGTAGTGTAAATTCGTATCGCGTCAGATTGCTTTCGAGGGCTTACCATATAATCAAAAACTTTCTGTGTGTTCGGTGCGTCGATCACGCACCGAGCAAAAGGTAGCGACGCAGGTGTGCTAACGGAGGGTGTCCACCAGGTTCTCCGGAACTTTGCAGGATTCTCCTGAGGGGGTTTCTCATATAGTTCTATTCCTCTGCGAGAGAGCCATGGCCTGGCAGCCTCCCAGAAGGATGTTGTCGAGACAAACTCAACCACCGAGGGGATCTAGACATTCAGACAGGATGAGAACTCGGCCACTACGTAACGCAAACAAAAGATCTCACGTCCGGAATCTGAGGCTCAAACGCAGTGTATCGATGACCCGGGTCCTGCGCCATGTATGCCAATGGTCGATGATGTGAGCTTCAGTATATCATTATTATTGGTGGCGTATGGAGAGTCGCTAACAAAGGTGTTGTCGAAGCCATCAGCCGTATGTCAACTTCACCACGGTCATGTGATACTAATTAGCCCCCATTTCAACTGTTCATGCGCGTTCAGCTACGCACTTTCACCGGTACCGGTCATCTAGGAGGGAAGATGTAGCAAAGGACCTGCCGGCGTCACGACCCGGCGTCACGACCCGGCGTCGCTCGCATGCTCGTCTGACAAGACGCGTGACAAGTGGGGCACACGTGGCTACTATACGTCTCCCTTCACCAATTGGACGCGTCAACCCGATCATGTTCAACCATGGCCTAACCTGAGCTCTATGACATATAGCTGATCTTGCTTCAGCACTACCACATTCATACCTCGCCTTCCCGAAACCTGGTTATTCAGCCTCATGAGCGATACCATGAGCGTCGATTCCGACAAGGCGTCCCCCCAGCCCACGGATGGTCTCCATGTGAGTTGGAAGTTTCAAAGTCAAAGAACATTTCTCACCATTGAAGGCTTTGGCAGCATTACGTATTGCAAGCCCAACTAGCTTCAGGATCAATATCTCAGGTTTTCCGCGCTGTGTGCAAACGCGGCCGTATGCGTAACAGGTTTGTCGCAGTGAAGAAAGTGGGTCCGCTAGCACTGTCATAGTCACATTGATGTCCATGCGATGTTATCTGATTCAGATATCATACGAAACTCACCGCGATACCTCTCGTTCCGCCAAGGATCTTGTATCTGCTGCCTCAATTCACTCTGCCCTATGCCATCCTACCATTGTCACCCTTATATCCTCCTTTGTCGCACCATCCGGGTATTATCACGTCCTAGAGCTCTGTGAGAATGGCAATTTGGCCGACTTCTTGCATGCGAGGGATCCTCAAGCTCTCACGGAAGAGGAGTTGCGAGGGGTGGCCAGGACTCTTGTCGACGCCTTGCTCTACCTCAAGAAGGAACGTGTTGTGCATCGCGATATCAAGCCAAGCAACGTTCTCATCACTGGGAACTACCGACTGGTGAGTAATGTAATTGCGGGGAAGACTGTAGATCTCACTATGTCTCAGAAACTATCCGGACTCAACTCCGCAATCCGACTGCCACGGCCGGACGCAACGGAGACCGCTTTCTGCGGCTCACCAAACTACGTGTCCCCGTAAGTCAGATGGAGCTTTGTTGCCGCGCATATACTCACTGCCTGGCGCAGGGAAATCCTTTCCGGGCTGCCCTATCGCTTTACAACGGACCTCTGGTCAGTTGGTGCCGTGTTAGTGACTTGTCTCACCGGGCAACCGGCGTTCCATGTACGTGACGATTGCATGTTACGCATATCTCCATACTGGAACCACGCAGCAGGCCCCGACTCCCGCGGAGGTTTTCGACAACATATGCTGCGCCAGGTATATGCTTCCCGATGGTGCATCGTATGAAGTTGTAGACCTCATCGCCGGTCTCCTGCAGAAGGTAAGGCCGTTCCGCGGATTCTGCAGCACTATAATTTGACTACAGAAATCATCAGGTTCCTGAGGATCGTATGCCCCTTCATCGAATATTTACCCATCCCTTCTTCAAGCCTTCCCTTATCACACACCCGCTTACTACAGAACGTGTCAGACATGGGTGCGACGACAACTCTGGCAAGGATGTTCTGAAACCCTACGAACCTAGCCATCTATCATCTCAGCGATATCCGGCCCTCCTGTCGACAGACCCTGCACGACTCCGCCCCATGACGGACAACAAACGGCAGCTTGCTTTCAAGTTCAAACGAGCTCCTTTAGAGGATATCACAAATTTCTTCCAAGACGACCCGCAAGACGATACCAGTTTAGTGCCACCTCCTCGACGGACAGCGTCGGCTCCTGCGAACTCTCCACTTGCTCACTTGTACAACGAGGACTCGAGGCCGCCTACACCTGCTCTCACGACTGACTCTGGCACGCCTAGTGTCTCATCTATTGCCAGTCTTGCGGAGAACCAGGCTCGTGGCTTAGGGGCTAGCGGCGTGCCCGCATCGCCTCGGACTGAGCTGAAGCGCGTATTGTCTGATCCTTGCGGTTCTACTAAATTACATCTTGCTACTGGGGCGCCTCTATCCAATCAACTCGTTCCATCCTCTCATCACACAAAGCTCCCTATGCACAGAATCGTCTCTCAAGCGACGAGCTCCACCGCGGTCTCCCACCGCGGAAACGGCTCTGTCAATATCGCCCGGTTCAGCACTCGTCGATTGAAATCCCAAACACACAAGGTGTCGCGCGGGCAATTAGTCGTCCTGCCTTCGAAGGCTCTACTGGTCGACTTCCGGGAAGGCGAGCGTAGAAAGGGATATGATGGAAAGCAAGTACTCATGATCAGCTCGGACGGTGATATGGTACGCCAGTTTATGACTCTCCAGGCTCTAGAATACTAAATGTGAGTCTGGCAGGTCGAAGTCTATGACGCTCCTCATTTGAGCACTCCATGCTGTCTTGCGGAGCCCGTTGCGATCTACACCTCGAAACAGCTACCTCCTGAGTACGCAAAGCAATATGAGGATGCGATGAAAATCGTCAACCAGTTGAATGCTCGTGTCCCCAAGGTTAGCATATTTACTGACATTGACGACTTCTTTCTCCAACCTCCGCTACACAGCTCGTTCACTTCGCCGAAGACGCAAAGTGCACGCTCATGGCGAACGGTCCGCCTGGAGACGTGGAGATCCACATGCCCTCGGAAGAAGCCGAGGGCGGTGACGACAGGGAAGCTATTCGTCTCCGTCTGCAACGCAGCAAACACATCCTAGAGATCTCTCGTCATGTCAACAAGGCTAGCGGAACGCGAAGAGATATTGGGGAATGGACGAAAAAGGTCATCCCTCTCAGCCACATGCTGGAACTCCCAGAAGACGACTGGCGATCATTTGACGGTCTAGAACGAGTAGCGATGGCCCGATTGGAAGACTTCCTGCGCATATGTGACGCGGCGGAGATGGTAGAGGCCGGTGGTGGAACAACTGCCATAGCCACAGATCAGTCCAAATACGGGGGCGACGGCCGGGAACGTCTAGAGCGGGTTTTGCGCCACATGGAGATAAAGGCTACAGACAAGACTCCTGAAGATGGCGGGAGGCCGCCTTCTCGGAGTGGGTCGTGTGCGAGCGTGGTGGCTTCGGTGGTTGTGCGCCCACGCCCAAGGAAGTTCTCGAGCACTGCCATGTTACGTTAGATGTTGTTGGAGTTTGGAGACCTCTTGTAAGACAGAGACTCATTACGTGCAGGATGCGGTGCCAGTCGGTGGCAGAGAGACAAGAAGATCAGGAGGAACTGGTAACGGGAGTTGCCTAAACGGGAGAGCGATGAGATCAAGCTTGATCAAGGGAGCCGCCGAAGGTTTTGAGGACATAGCGAGCTGTCCTTTTCTCCCTTCTCTTCCACATCTTTCGACCCTAGGACATCGAAACCTGTGGATGTCTCAGCAATCAGCTGCTGCAAAGCCTTCGCTGCAGGGGGTCCGTCTCAAAGCCAGGAAACGTGCCGTCAAGGCCTCAGCCAAACACGAACCCAACGGTAAGCACAAGCACAGCATACACCCCCTCCGCCTCCAGCAGGGTGCTCATAGGCACGGTCTTGCCCACAGTCTTCCGAGACCAGCTCCTCAAGCATCTTGAGAACGTCCCGCCCACCGATTTTGACGCTGTCACGAATAAATTGGTCCAAGCTGGTTCCACCCTCGAGTTCCTGAAGTATGCAGATGCCCTCTTCGAGATTCTCCTCGTCGGTGGCCTCCTCCAGCCCGGCGGCCAGTATGTCGAGGATGGCGCACCGCTCTCGCCGTTCTCACTCCTCAACGCCAAAGAGCCTGTGGAGGTGGCAGACGTGAAGCAATATGTCGAGGTCCTCAACAAACTAATCCGCAGGTGAGTGGCCCCTCACTCGCTTCCCCCGCCCCCTCGTCCGCTTCCGGTATCTGGTGTCGTGAGCGAACGCCGACGGTGTGGCTGCGTAGATACAAGTACCTACAGCGGCCTCTTGAAGAGAGCACGCTGCCGAACTTGTTGCAATACCTGAACCGCCTGCCAGAAGCCCAGAGGGAGAAGATAGCCGTTGCTATCGGCCTTTTCCTGGCCCAGGGCCTTGCGAGCGCGAGCTGCCTGCAGAGTCTGACGAAGGATCATCTCGTCAAGAACGGTGCGTCCTCTAACTCGCTTCCGTTGTATGTACTTTAAGCCTGACGACCGACTCGTTCCCTGCCAGACCTGTCGGCGAACGTCATCACGCTCGTCTTCCGCGCGTACCTGAGCATGCAGTCCATGGAGCACCTCGCGGGCACGCTCAAGCGCGGCGGCATCAAGGACCTCATCCTCTTCTTCCCGCCCAACAAGCGTGACGACAAGGCGCTCGATGAGCACTTCCGGAAGGCGGGGCTCCCCCAGGTCGCCGAGTGGTGGACGAAGCGCCAGTTCGCGTCCCTCAAGGACGAGGTCATCAAGCAGCTCAAGGAGATGCTGGCCAACGGCAACTCGCACGGGGATATCGTGATCGCGATCAAGACAAAGCAGGAGGAGCAGCCCCTGCCCGAGGCCGAGCTTGTGTCCTGCATTTGGCAGGGTCTCATCTCGAGCATCGAGTGGAGCGCACGCCAGGACCAGAACGAGGCGCTTGCGTTGAGAGAGATCACTGTACGCGTCTTGTTCTATTCTGTGCACCTGCCTGGCGGCTGACCGAAGGATCGACGGTGCGCAGAGCTTTACTGATATACTCGAGCCGTTCTGCAATGGGCCGAAGACCGAAGTCGCTCTCATCAATACTGTACAAGTGTACAGTTACGAAGACACGCGCATCATGAAGGCGTTCCCTCAAATACTAAAGGTCAGCTCCCGCATGGCTGTGCCTTGCCGCACTTCGGTGGCTGACATCGTACCCACCAGGTTCTGTATAGTAAGGATTGTATTTCTGATCAGGCTATCATCTACTGGCACCAGAAGGGCTCCAAGCCGCAGGGCCGGCAGCACTTCCTCCAGGCCACTCAGTCCCTTGTCAAGGTAAGCTACCTTCCCGACTTGTCTTCGACGAGTGCTTACTTTGGGTCCTTTTGTTAGTTCCTGCAGGAGCAAGAGAGCGAGGACGAGGACGAGGAGTGACGGACTCCACCACGCATCGCACTATCTATATATGTTTCGGCTGCCTCGCATGTATCCTGAGAATTCGCATCGCCCACTTTCCAATTGATAGAAACAACATTCTTGCAAGCGTACGTGCGTTAGCCTCGCTGGCCGAATGCGACAACTGCTCAATTGCAGATATGGGACGAGAAGGGGATAAGCTAGACTCGACAACAAGAGGAACAAGAGCCAAATCGACTTCGGTAACGCCACACAGCGAAGGTTCACAAGACAATACAGCGTAATCGGAACGTAGACAAGCGGTGGAAACGATAGTATACAGTACCTTACGCCTAACGGAGCATACACCTACTTTTCAAAAGTTGGCAGGGAAAACGGCGGACAAAGGTCGGACGAGCCGCATGCGACACTCGCTCAGAAAAAGATTTTGTTCCATCTGCCGACGGGTCTCCAGCATCGCGGCTGCGAGGTGCGGAGAGACCCTCTCTCCCCCTCCCCTCCCCGCGGGAACTACATCTACCACGCCTCCGGCATCTGCGGAAAGTCGCCCATCCACCCGTTCTGGCCGCCCATCTGGAGGAAGATCCCGTCCGAGCCGTTCACGGGCAGCCCGAGGTCCGTCAGGCTCTGCTCCTGCAGCCAGAGCGGGATCGCCTGCGGGTTGAACATCCGCTGGTCGTGCGCCCACGGGCCGACCTCCTCGACCGTGAACGGCGGCGCGGGGCCCGCGATGCTCGGGTCGATGAACGGTGCGCCGCCGCCGCCGCCGGGCATGCCGGGGGGCACGTCACCGGGGCCGCCGGTGGTCGTGGGCATGTGGGCGTTCTGCGGGCCGGGGCCGCCGCCCATGCCGGCAGCGGCGGCGGCGGCGGCGAGGCCTACCTTGCGGCGGAGGTTGGCGAGCATGATGCGGAGCGTGAGGGCGTAGCGCTCTGCGGCGACGTCGGAGAGGAGCTGGGCGAGCTGCTCGACCTGGACGGAGATCGCGCCGAGGTCGAGCTCGGCGGGGAAGAGGTTCGCCATCTTGAGCAGGAAGAGGCCGGAGAAGGCGGCCATGACGAGCGTGTCGTGCACGGCGTAGCGGAGCGCGGCGCGGTAGGTGGGCGAGTCGAGCAGGTTCGAGAGGCAGTTCGAGGCGGCGTCCTTGGCCTGGAACGCGAGCTCGCGCTGCTCGAAGGGCATCTTGTCCCAGGAGACGCCGCGGAGAGCGACGCAGACGAGCCAGAGCTTCGCGTAGTGCAGCTCGCCGACGAGGATCTTGCGCGGGAGGGCCTCCTCGTCCATCGTTTGTCCTGCACGAGGAAGGGGTTAGCGTGCGAGGGCCAGAATGGGCGTGATCATCACCACTCACTGTGCAGCTCATCGCAGTCTGCCCACCACTTGTCGAGGGCGATGTTCGCGCGCCTGATGAATGACAACGTGTTGTGGTTGACCTGTCCGTTAAGCGGCGACAGCGTCTCGTATATTTGAGCTAGAAGGCGCGACAAAATTGGATATCAGTCATCCTGCTCGGTCCGAAAGTTGAGAAGCCCGGAACCACGCACTCTTCTGGGCGATCAACTCCACCTGAGAGATCAACCGCACGTCCGTGGGCGACGCCATCGGATGCGACAGCAGCACGCGACAGTGCCGGATGGAGCTCTCGTCGCGCAGGACGATGGGCCGACCGGTGCCCAGGCTCATCTGGTGGTCGAACCAGTACAAGCACAGCCAGATGCGGGCCGACACGACTGCGAAGATGCCACACCGTCAGCCCCACGAGCCCACAAGAACCTTTCGCGTAGCAACCACGCACCGAGGTTTCGCTCCTCATCCTCGCTCCGCTTCTTCTCGCCGTGGTCCGCGAGCTTCTCGAGCGCGCGGTGGAGGCCGAGGTCGAGCGCCATGCGCATCGCGTGCCCGCTGGGAAGCCAGCCGTTGGTGCTCCACGCCGCGAGGAGGAGCATGCCCTGGACGGCCTCCTTGCGCACGACCGGGCCGAAGAGGGACGAGCGGGCGATGCCCTGCGCCTCCTCGAGGCACTTGTAGAAGGCGGGGATGAGCGGGCCGGTCCCGCTCCGGATCTTCGCCGCCACGGCAAGGATGGCGTCGAACGTCCACGGGCTGCGCTCCATGAGCCCGTCGTAGGTGTCGTACGAGGGGTCGAAGACGGGGATGAAGATGTGGCAGCCGGAGAAGAAGCTGGGGGCGGGACGGAGGTGAGGAGGGGGAAGGTGGAAGTGGTTGGGGAGACGTACATATGATACAGCTCCCGAGCCTCGGTGTCTGAGACGAGTCCCTAGTGATTGATATGCTTCAGCACACTCGGGGTTGAGTTGAGAGATGGTTAGTAGTGTGCACCTTTTCAACGACGTGCGGGAAGGCGTTGCGGGGCGTCGGTTCGGCCCGCTTGCGCTTCTTCATCCTGCAAAATGCCACACGGTTAGAGTGTGAGCAGGTGTACCATGCACTCGGAAACTACTTGCCGTGGGGGAGACGCAGAGGGTGCAGCGGCAGCCTCGGCGGCGGCGTTGGCAAGACCCTGCAGGGCTTCGATTGGGGCATTGAGCGACGAACGCGGAAGGGTGTCCTCGGATTCGTCGTCTGACGACGGCGCGGTGCTGGGCACGATCCCATACGTCGCATACTTGTGCGGCTTCAAACGAGTTAGGCCACCGCCGGGACGGGCTCGAACGAACGGAGTACGCACCGGAGGGGCAAATCCGGGCAGCGGAGGGAACGTCCGGTTCCGGGGCACGGGCTCTACTTGGGAAGTGGTTATAATCAACGAAGCGAGGGAGAGGAGGAACCAACAAACCTGACATGCCGGGACTTTCGCGCGAGGACGTCGCTGGACCGTACGCGGGCGGCTGGACGTGGACCATGGCCTGGCTCTGGCTCTGGATGGCGGAGAGGATGCGGTCGAGGGACGACTGCATGCCGATCATCTGGCTCTGCATGACCTGCGCGCAGGGTGGCCACGTCAACGACATGAGCAGCCCTCGAGCGGGCGAGCGATCACGCACCAAATACTGGCCCTCAAGGCGGGAGAGGCGTCTGCGGGGAGAGGGAGGTGGTGGGGTGAGCATGAAACGGACACATGGGGTGCGGGGTTCGGTGGCGGGGGAGACAAGGGGAGAGCACTCACTCGACGCTGGCTGTGGACAAGGCCTGGACATTTTTCTTCTCTGGCTTCTCAAAGACGCATTGGGCGCCGCTAAGCTGGCAGCGACGACAGGGGGCCTGGAGAGGCGAGGACGGGAGAGGGCCCGGGCCGGGCGGATGGGCGGACAGACGGGACGGGCGAGAGGGAGGCTACGGGTCAGCATCCGAGGGCGGGGCGGGTGATGGGAGGAGCGGAGCGTACGGACCTCGCCTTCGCACCTGTTCTTGCCCTTGCGACAGTTGGTGCAGGCCCGCGCGCCCCGCTTCGGGATGTGGGCGGGCGTGGCGGGCGGCGACATTCCTAGCCCCGACGACGGGTCCTGGGGGGATGCCATTTCGGACCGGGGGCCGCCGTTGGGTGCGACGGTGAAACTGTGGGTGCGGCGGCGCTTTCCAGAGGGCTGGTCGTCGTAATTGGAGGTCGACGTCGTGGGCGAGAGGGACATCATCGACATGGGGGACGATGAGAGGAGACGGGGCGCAACGCAAGGCGGGACGCCGGTCCCTGGGCCTGTGACCCCCTTATCCGCTAATCTAACCCCCCCTTATCAAAACCTCAACTAAATGGTCAGCTGGCCTGGGCGCTGCGAGTCGATTCGCAGCGATCCGGTCTGTGCCCGCTTCCGGAAGGCCGGCGTGGCCCTCGGTGGTGAAGACAGCCGGGCGCTGTCGAACTGCAAGCATCGCTTCTTCTTGTGGCGTTTGAGTTACCTTCTGTCTGCACCCCCTCATTCCCCAGCCAAAGTTCACGTATCTGCAATTGGAGCTTTGATTACTTCATCGCACTCGAACATTCGTATAGTTGGACATCGCTGGTAATCGCAGCATGTTAAGATGTTTCATGCTAGGACCCACGACAAACCTTGTTACCTGGACTCAGGGTGTATCCACGTCAGTGGTAGGTCCAGCAGGCGACCCTCCCCGTCGTTCGTAGAACATCCGGCCGTCTTCTGTTCTTGTTCTCATCAAGTGGCCCTACCCATCGATGCTGCAACGGAGGTCATGACGGCAGCGAGCTCCCACACTCGTGCATTCACTCGCACCAGCTGACGGTCGACGGCCTCATCACCACCTCCCTGCCCCAAATAGCTCCGGTTCTAGCTCCAGCTGGCCAACCCCTCGCGCCTGCGGTACTCATGTCGCTCACCTCTGACGTCCCGCTTGCCCTAGCTGCGGTTCCAGACGTTGACGTCCGTCTCTCTACAGCACGCGGCGTGCACTAGCTCAGGGTCTGGCGCAGGCGGCACAACAGAACATCGAGTTGAAGTTATCGTCCCACGTCCCGGCAAGCTGCTAGGCTTAACCACGACCAGTTCCCCGGTATCGCGCTTCACTCGCTCGCACGGCGCAGCCCTCTCCTCCCGTGTTGATCGTGCACACCGGGGCGAACGGGAACGTGCGTTTGTCGTGGGACCGTCGTCCTTCTCTCTGCTCATCCAGGGCACCCCGACTGACACGCAGCGCTGCTGCTCGCGTACGTACAGGAAGAGCCTCACGTGGGTGTGCGCGTCATAGCTTGCAAGGCCTGGAATCGCATTCATATCCTGAAGGCTTCTTGCTTCTGGGGGTCCTCATGCACTCTCACTGCAGCCGCCTTTCATCCGCATCCGACGATAGAGCTCATTCTCAACCCACACCCCTCTTCTCATGGATTCTTTCGTGTCTGGAGGTCTCGACTATGACGCCCTCCATTTATGGATCGTCGTCGGACATACGGTGTGCTCGTCGCCGGCATTCTGCGCTTCTGGCCTCTATGTCATCAAAGTTCGGCGACTTGTTCGCTCTCCCGAGATCATCGCTCGCCAGTCTGTTGGCTCCCGATTACGCATGATTATCTGTCATTTTTTCGGGACAGTTCTAACGCGTCTTCTACACAGAGACATCAGCGTACGATCGTCGTAAGAGTACAAGGGACATGGCTCTGGCGTGCCTAACCGTATGGTGCTCATGGGAACCCGTCATCAGACGACTGGAACGTGTACGTACAGACGTAGTTATCTGCGGCAAATCCGTTTTACACGAAGCCTACAGCGGTACCCGTGAATAGTATCGCGAAGATGATGCGTCACGGTATCTTCAACACGGTAGATTCGTACGCAATACAGGAATAAGGACGTTATAACGTATTTGTCTTCAATCCCATGGTCTTAATACATCATCGGGCATCGTCCCTGCAAAATGCAACGGACCCGTTCCGAAACCCTTCTCATCGAAAAGCAAAACCTCACCAAAAGCAAAATGAAAGCGGCGCGGACACAAGCCCCGAATATCTCACATTCCAGGGACACGTTTGGCTACGGTTGCCACTACAGACAGGCCGGAGGAACACACCAAGGCCATCAGCGGCGAGAATAAATACTGTGCGAATCGAAGTTAGTCGGTCAGCTTCAGCCGGCTCAAGAACGAGCGACGGGAGGGGGACACGTACAGAAACGGTGAGATACCCTGCAATCTCTCCCTGGTCGACGTTCACGAGCTCTGCGACGCTGACGAGCAACATAGCAGAAGGCCCCGCTGGGATCAAGACGAGTAAGAACCTGCAATGACGGACCACAGTATTCAGTGCTTCGGCTCGAGACAGATATCACGAGCGCAATACAACATACCATACCAGGCGATCGTCCACGTACAGCCCGCGCCCGGCAGACAGGAAGACGAAGAGGAGTGCCAAGCCGGGCATGACAATGAACCGCACAAAGAGCACCCACACGGTAGGGAGCTTGCCGGGATCCGACGACTTTACGAGAGCGAGCTCGGCGCCGACGGTGAACGCTTGGAGCGCGACGAAGAGCTCGCCGAGGTTGATAACACTTTGCGTGAGGCTGGAATACAGTACGCCGTCTCCATCAAGGATAGCGTGGTGCAAGGGCGGGGTGGCCTGTAAGGACTCCCTATCAGTCTCTGTTACGTGCGCAGGCTGCGACTCCAAAATGTCGGTCGAGCACAGTCCTCTGACGCTAGCTTACCCCGATGATGAACGCTACAACAGCACTGAGAAGCACTGGGCTGACGTGCTTCGCGACATTTTTGACTGGATTTTCAAGAAATTGGAGGCGATGAGGCCAATGGTAGTCCGGTCGGTCTGCGATGCCGTCGAGCGCGTGCCTGTACGCGTCTCCAGTCCGCGTGCGCTCCGAGTCGTCCGAGTCCTCGGGGTGGTGGTCGATGTCATCAAGCAGCCCGACGCGCTCAGCGTTGTGCAGAGCAGGATTGATCCGTCCGGGGCCCGGGCGCAACCTGTCCTGCCCGCCGCCCTGGCGCTCTACGGCGTCTTCGTCGACCGGCTTGTCACGCGCGATTATGCCTGGCACGAGCTGGAAGGTGAAGGTCTGCTGGACGACGGCGTTGAGCAGGATGAGGCTCTTTGCGCGGCGGAGCAGCGTAGAGGAGCCCTCGCCGTCGCGCGAGATGGCGCCGAGCACGCCTGAGCTATCGAGAGACTGCAGGAGGAGGAGCGGGAGGACGTTCGAGTTCGGACGGCCGCAGGCCGCGATGGTCCAGTACGGGAGCTTCATCACGCGGTGGCCGACGTAACCGATCGCATGCGCAAGGAGGGTGGATGCAAGACCCCATATGGGGATGATCCAGTCTTTGGAGAGGTGCGTCAAGGTGAGGTCGGGTCCCATTGCCTCGATGATGAGGCAGGGGAGGAAGAGGTTCGTGCACAGCTTGGTAATGTGCCTGACGCTCTTGTGGTCCAGGTACCCGATTTTAGCCATGACAAAACCTGAGAAGAGGGTGAGGAGGACGGATATTGAGCCCTCGAGTGCGCCTACGAGCGTTGGGATTAGGGTCGACTCCGACAACGTGCCGCCGCCGGGGTTCGCCATGATGGTTTGCGAGGCCACGTCCATTGCCTAGGCTGCAAGAGGTGTAAGGTTGGAAGGGCGAAAGGCGTCGTGTGGGGATGAGTATCGAGGCTCTTCAGTCGGCGATGAGGAGGAGGGCATGCGCTGGGGCCCCACATTGTGCTCTTGGTGGTGGCTGTCAAGAAACAAGCCCCGCACGAGTCGTATCCTGACGTCACACCCGTTGATGGCATCGAGATCCAGGTGGGACATACCTTCTGATACTTATACACTATCGGCGCCTACAGGAGATCCGGGCACAAAGATGTATTCGTTGCGGTCTCTCAGAAACAATATAGAGTACATGAGAACCCATCGAATCATACGTATGCCTTCTCCGAGTAGAAAAAAGATACTAGTACAGGATGGAGAGAGAAAGACCGTCCACATTCGAGAGCGTCATATGTCGCACAGTTCATGTTCAGGATACTATTGTCCAACCGTTCGAGACCTACACGCGGATTGCCCAATTCCAAGGGCTTGGCCGAGCACCATGTTCACGAGCGATCTCCTCCAGCTCCCTAACCGGCTGGTTGGTCGCAAGCAAATTGTGGTGCGAACCCCCAATGGCCTCTCCGCACTCATTACAGAATGATTGCTGCATTGCGCCGCCGCACTGCACCATAACTCGTGAGCAACACTCCTTAGCAGATCAAAAAACAAGACACACTTCACCGATGACGAATACGTGACCATTCGGGCATTTGTAGAAGTGTCCAACGTGCGCTACGATGACAAGTCACGTCAGTACCACGCTCAAACGACTTCAAGCGGAATACTTACTGAAGCCTAGACTCTGGACAACTTGCGTCAGTTCGTCTAGAGACACAGGCTGATAGAACGTCGCATCGCGTAGCGACCTCTCAAATGCCCTCCAGTCATCCAGAATCGTCTGCGCTGGAGCAACGAACTCCGCCTGCATCCAGTCCGTCTCCTCGGGCCTCCGCTTTCGTGCAGCTGAGCGCCTGCGAAGGTCGGACACCCGGTCGTGTGCATTGGAGATCTTCTCGAGAGCGCTGTCCGCCATCTTGGTACGATTCTCCGGAGACATCTTCCCATTCTGTTCCATCATGCGGACGTTGAAGCGGAACTGCTCCAGCTCAACGCGCATGATCAGCAGCGCGGTCTTTGCCTCCTGACGGTTGCTCTCCGACTCCTGGGTGATGCGCAGCGCTAGCTCCGCGTCGGCAGCGCAGGAGCGAAGGAGGAAGTGGACGTAGGTCGCCCAGACACGTCGGTTCTCGGGAGGGTACTTCTGGCGCTTTGTGAGGGCTTCGAGCCAGGTCCGCGCGAGGCTTGCGATGGTCAGGCGGATATTGATCGTTGCCCAGAACGCCTCTACGAGGAAGCGCTTGTCCGCTCGCGGCGGCGGCTGCCCGACTTTCATCCTAGCGGCGCGTATGGCGTACTCTTGTGGGTTCCGCGGAGCTGCGATGGGATTCGCGACGATGTCGTCCATTTCCTTTTGGTACAAGTACGCGAAGGATGCTTCCCAAGCATGGGAATGTGCGGAGCGAGTCTGGGACGCAGTGATGGTGTCCTTGTACGCCGTAAATAGTCCTAAGACGACCTTCTTCCAGGCCCTCGCCTCGTCCGAAGGCAGACCGTGGAGAGCAGCATTGAGTGGGTCGATCTCCGGAAGCGTGAAGGGAACTGAGCGAATACTTTTGATCCGAGCGCCTTGTTCGCGTTGCAACGCCTTCAACACCTTCGTGGAGACTTTCAAAGGGGCGAAGGTCAGCTCCGAAGCAACTGCCTTCGACTTGGTTTCCAACTGCGGCGTCGAGATGGCAGCCAGCTTGGCCTGCACCGCCCTCAGCGACTTGGACATGTGGAACGCGACGTTGTTCTCGAGTATGTCAAGGTCAGCTCGCTTGAAAGCGCGGCCATAGCGAGGAGCGGTGATCGCCCCGCGGCAAGTAGGACACGTAGGCGGCTTCTTGAAGCCAGGTGGCGGCGCCTCCAGTCCGATCCACTTCCCGTCAGGACCGTCACGTTGGTAGTACTCGGTGAGCTCGCAGTGGCCGTCCAGTGTTTCCACCGTGAAGACGTGTCCGCAGTTGGGAATCGTGATGAGCAAATTGTCTAGGCTCTCGCTTTCGTAGTCCAAGTCGGCCATGGTGGTTTGCATGACGAGATCGACGACGTTCGACTTGACTTCGTCCCCGGCGCAGAGCGGGCAGACTTGGATAGAGCAATCTTCTCCGCAGACTTCAACAATATCAGAAGACAGATTGTCACGGTTGCTACGCATAGACCTACCAGACGGACAACGATGACCACAGTCAAGGAGCTGGTCGCATCGCTTGTCACATGGGAGGCGAGCACAAATCTGGGCAGCATGTCAGTTCTGCACACTTTTACGGAAGCATCATGCTTACAGCACCACAAGGAAGAGGGCATGAGAAGTGGGCGCAGCGCCTGTGAGGTCGTGAGTACTGCGCCTAACAATCGCGAAGGCGAGACGTACCAAGTGCACGGCTCCTGGCATGGCGCACAAGGGACAGAGCAGTAGTTCCTGCAACGTGCATGGGCGCACACCTGCCGGCAAGCCTCTTTGCATTCCGTCGTACATTCATGATCAGAGGAGCATTGTTTGCCGCAAAGATGACCGCAGAAGAGGCTCCTCTCGCACGGATGACCGACATGAGTAAGCCTCTCGACAGGGAGCAGCTCCTCCGCGACTTCGTCCTCCTTGTCGTCTCGGGGTTCAGGAGCAGTGTTAAGGAACTGGCATTCGTGACAATTCGCCTTGCATGGACGTCCGCAACACGACATGATCCCACCACATTTTGCTCGACATGGGTATCGGCGGGGATTGTCGGAGCATCGCATCGTCGCTTCGTGCTCGCATCCGGGGAGCTTCTTCGTGACAAGCTCAGGGCAGAATACATTCTCGAGGCTGTCGTATTCGAAGCTGAAACCGACTCATGTCAGAATCAAGCACATTACAGAATCTCGCCTGACGAACCAAAACACCCGAGGAATTGTGTGACCACAAGGTAGTTGCACGTTCGTGATTTCCGCCCGACACTCTCCGCAGGGCTCTGCGCATTGCTTCGTACAGGGATGTTGACGCGGACAGATGCGAGTGCATCGTTGGACACACGATACGGATACGTGTCTCGGATCATCAGAATGACACTGTGAATGCGTGAGATCAGTCCGGAAAAAGCGCAATCAGAACATAGTGCGTGCCTTGTAGGGGCAAAGGTGACCGCATTTGAGACGTGTGTCACATTGAAGAAGACATCCACCTGCAAGAGAAAAGGCTCGTGACGATCGCTCAACAAGGGTGAGCAGGCACATCAGTATCTTACCATCTGGTGCGATACGGGGCAGCTGTCCTGGCTTCGATATGGACTCAACGGTATGCGGGTGCCGTTGACAAGCGATTGGGAAAGCAGTACCCAGGCAGTCGCGTCGGCCTAGCTCCTCAATGACCTCACGCCACATCTTACTCCTCGCCGAAAGGTTCGTTGCGTTCCCCATGATGTACATCCCTTCACGAGCGCGAGAAAGAGCAACTACGTCGCTCGTTGTGAGCAGATATGTCATCTGACAAGATATAGATTGGTCATACCGTTCGTCCTGTTCTCGGACTGTAACGCATATCATGGTAATCAGCGCGACAAGAACAATCGCTGATATCTGGTGAACTGACTCGCAGGAATCCGATGTTTGCGCGTCCTTTTGGCTGGTGCCCATAGACCTCATCTTCTTCCGAACCGCCCGAGTTCCGGACAAGAGATAGTATTACGATCTGTGGCGTGCTCAGTCAGGTAGTCGGGGCATTGCAGTAATGACCCACCTTCGCCTCTTCGCCCTGGAAATTGTCGATGGTGCGGAGCAGAACCTAAAGCATTTAGGTGAGCTAACACTCTTCAGAACTAGACATCAGCCATACCCTGTGTGACACCTTCACGCGCTCAAACGCGCTCGTGGATTGACTGACGTCCTCGGCTTCTGCATTCCGATCATCGAGCTCTGCTTGATCACGCTCGTCGAGCACGACAGCGACCTCGTTCGATAGAGCGTCCCGCAACCGCGACAGCTGTCCTAGGTAGGCACAGAGAACAACGATGTCTCCTTCAGCCGAGTATGGCCCTTGCCTGTAAATTCGAAGGGTGAGTAACAAGACTCGGGGGAAAAAGCTGTCCTCACCGGAGGAGGTAGAGGACAAGATCCTTGATCATATCGACCTATTGCAATAGATCAACATAGCACCAGCTGAAGTGGCCGATCTGGTACAGACCTCAAACTGATTGTACTTGCTGACAAAGTCGTCCTCTCCGCCATTCTCCTTGTGGTCGTGAGTGAAGAAGAAGACGTCCTTGGCCATGCCTTGCACGTGCGGGTAGTTCTTCACTAGCTCGTGATCCTCGAGTTTGGGATACAAGGTCATCCTACGAGAATGTGAGACAGGTCTTCATTAACCGGCAATATACCCTGGTATACCTGACAAGGTCTGCAATTTCAGGTCGCATACGTCGTTGGACGTTGATTTGAGACATAGGAAGTCCAGAGGATGACAGGCGTTCCATCAGAGACATGTCGAGCTTGTAGACGAGCTTTCCATGATGATGATCCATAGAAAGCGCTTCGAGAAAATAATTGAGTCGGTCTTGTGAAGGATCCTGCGATGCTAGCAGACTCACTATAATTGTTGAGGGTTGGGCGGAGCTGAAGAGGATCTCCGATGAGGATCATGTGCTGGACACTGGGCACCAAGCTTCCCAGAACGTGTGCCTCAAGTACTTGTCCCGCCTCCTCGACCAGCAGAACCTTAGGGCCGATGCCTTTGAGGAGAGCCGTCAACTTCGCCGCACCTGCGTCACCAGGACGAATGTGGATCAGTCTCAAAGACAATCATCATAAAACGGAATACTGACCAGTCGTAGTGCAACCAATGATGTCGACGTTCCTCAGCAGCTGCTTGCGGATCTGATGTAGCAGAGCTCAGTTGGATGTCCACTTCGGAGTGAACAATATACACTCACTTCGGCCTGACCCTCGGAGAACTCTTGCGCCGCTCGCTCGTGCTTCTCTCGGAGCCTTCGGAATTCCTGGGTCTGAGTATCTTGACTCGCAATCCGCACTTCGTCTGACCACATCGCATGGAGCTGCTGCCGCTCAACTGAGGACATGAGCCAAACGTTATCCGCTTCGAGAAGCTCGGGGATTGGCCGAGTGGACGCGGGCACGGGTGGGATGTCCGGGCATCCATATGCAGCAAAGAACTCGCGAATGTCTGTGAAGTCGTCTGGGCGAATAGCCTCCGATCGCACATCGGGATGTGGTTCTGGTATGGCGTGGGGTTGGGGCATGGTGTGGATTTGGGGCATGGCGTGGGGTTGGGGCGGAACGTTGGATGTAGGCGAAGACCCGGATGAATCCGCTGCTACAGGTATCAGCTGGGGCGAACGTGGATGTTCTTCCTCCTCCATGGTCATGAGCTCATCGAGATCTGGGAGGACGGCGTCATTAAGCCATTCCTCTTCTGCAGATGCGTCTGACATGGCAAAATCGCTCTCAGCGTCACTGTCAGCGTCCACGTTGCGGTCGGTCACTGCAACATTCTCGGTGGTGATAGGGGTAGATTGCATTTGTGGCTCCTGAACTTGATCGACTTCTGGCTGTTCGGGCTGTAGAAGCTCATACCGATTGGCCGGACGCTTTTGAGCAGTCAATTGAGACGTGGTTTCCTGTCGGTAACGCATCGCGTAGTGCGTGTCGTGTAGGAATTTGATGTCCCCTCCACGCAACCAGAATCCATACAGCGAGTTGTCGACTTCCCTGACGTCCTTGCCGTTCCGGCCGGCGACATTCCACTCCTCCTGCTCCGCTGCAGTCAAGCTGTGAATCGCTGCGATCCATGGCGGCGGTAGCTCGAAGGAGTCGACTAAACCCGGGCACTGGAAACACAGATGGGAGAGAATTTTCTCGGTGCCGACTTCCGTCTTGAAGAAATCCTTCATGAACTCTTTGATCTCATCCTCGACATCACGAAGGGCGCGACGATATGTGTAGAAGGCCGAAGAGAGACGGGTTCTGCCCGCAATGTTCTCCTGGTGCTCGAGGGAGAACTCGGCGATGCGCTCGTCTGCGGAACGTGACCCCAGCCGAACAATTTGCTTGGTTATATCAGCATCGAGGACAGACCGGAGCATGTGGTCGAGAGCATGGTTCGTGAAGGCGATCATGAGGATGGGTCCAGCGTGATTCTTGATTAGGACTCGCAGGAGCTCGACGCCAGTGTAGCTCTGATCATGTACACGGTTCAGTAGAGAATCTTCGATGCTCTAGGAGCAGCTTACCTTTCCAGTCCCCGGCGGCCTGGCATAAACGGTCATCATCGGAAACTGCGAGCTCTGAAAATAGAAGGATGACCTACCCTTGGATCAGGCTAACCTCTCTCGTCAACGTGTCAACCATTGCATCTGCCTGGCTGGGATCGAGCCGACTGCTCCGCTTTAAGACGTCTCGTGCAGTCTCTATGGAGGTGGGGTCGTTGACGATGAGCTTGAGGTCTTCCACCCCGGATTCAGAGGGGAAGAGTGAAGCGAGCTGGAAAGAATAGCCTGGCAGGGTGGCGTACGCAGGAGGAGAGATAGTGAAGGTCTCGAAGAACTTAGGAGGGCGGTGGACGAGATACCGTCCGAACGGGACACTCTCGGGCTCGACGCGCAACGCCTCCAGGAAAGGGCGGACGGACTCGAACATGACGGTCGCCTCGACGAGCAGCATAGTCGAGCGCCGCTCCTTGGCGGGAAGTCGCAGCTCCTGGAGGATCCGCAGCTCGACCTCAGGGGAGAAGAAGGAGAGTCGGATGCCGACGCGGTCCGCGCTCTGCTTCGCGGACTCTGTGAGGTCCTTGAGCGAGCTGGCGACGGTGCCGAGGTGGACCTCGATCGTCTCCCCGCGCTGCCAGATGAGGGCAACAAGACCGCCTTGCATGAGTCGCTTGCTGCTCATGCTCTCCCAAAAGTGCGCACGGGAGCCAGCCTGAGACGCACGAGCGCGACCGGGAGGGGCGTCGATGGAGATGCCTACAGTCAGCCCGCGCTGGGTAGGTGCGATGGTGAGGAATTCGGCGTTAGTATAGACGTTGAAGAGCACCGTATCTTGGCCGACGGCGTGTCCACGATACTTCCCGCCACGCTTCTTGAGGATGTCGTCCAGCTGAGTCCGCCCGCTTTCCTGCTTGAGATCGGAAAGGATTGCTTGCGCCGAAGTGCGCAGAGAAGCTCTGTCCGACAATGATCAGATATGATACATGTGAAGTATCGTCGAACGTACGTAAGCTCCTCGCGCAGCAACCTGAATTGAACATCGAGCAGTTGCTCCATCGACTCGGACGGGAGAGGGTGCGGAGCCCCATAGAGGTTCGCGGGGAGGAAGGGCTGTAGCAGAGACGTGAGTTCCTCGTGCGTAGGAGCAATCTGGATATCAGCGATGTTGACGAAATCGTTGTTATGGCGTGGACCACCGGGGCGGAGGATTCCAGGTCCCTCGTATGCATTGTGCAAGGCCGCCAGAATACCCTCGTTGGAAGCGCTCATCGCGACAATCGGATTGCGAAGTGGTTGCTTGCCACGCTCATTGTCCCTGTGCTTTCGGTCCACGATGGCTACTAGACGGTCAACGAGCCCGCGGAGGCGCTCAATGACGAAGTGACGAGCTAGCTGAGGAGCTTTCGCAATCGGATCGTCGAAGGTAGGAGGGTCTGCTGAGATGCCTTCGATCCAAGCCTCTGTCCAGCCGTGGAGACTTGTCACGAAGTCACGCAAGGATGGATGGGTTGCTACAGCGTTTTTGTAACGTGTTATGTACCTGTGGCAAGTCGTATCGAAATCATGATCCCACTGATCTCATGGACAGATCGAAAAACGTACTCAAAGAGAACTTGCGCAATAGACGACAGTACGGAGCTTCCCATTACATCCGCTTGTCCAGGCTCCTTGAACGACTTGTAGATAGTGAATGCGTCTTCCATGCACGACTTCACGATCTCCGAGAACCGATCGAAGTGCTCCATGATGAGGGAATAGAGGGAACTGAAGACGGGGTTGAGATCCATCGGAACGCATAGACCAGACCCGCCCATAGGCTTACTTCACCGTCTTGCTTGTGATGCTTTTAACAACGTACTCCGAGGACAGGTACTACCCAACACATGAGGGGGCGAACTGAAGTGACATCTGCACAGGACTTACGCGCAGCAGGGGGATATATCCTCGTCCGAATGAGAGAGACGTCCGATCTCTGGGACGGATGGCTACACCATGAGTCCAGCCCAAGATGTCTCCGATCCTAAGCAGACCATTGCCCTGATGACGTGTGTTAGGGGTTTGACGACATTGCATGAGAACGTGCACGGACCGTTCCGACACGAGACAAGAACAACTAGCTTCAACGTCAACACAGACCAAGAACAACAATGTATCGATGTGCTTACTTGACCGTCTTCGGGGGACTGGCCTGATAGTCAGCTAGACTGCTGTCACCAGAAGGGAGCCAATACTCACCCAAGAACTATTCCCGGAGCTTGCATTGTTCATCAGGGCGACAAATCCATACGCGTCCGCTGCGAGCTTGAACCTAAAGCTATCCTCGAGGAAACGGCGGAGATGATAGTCGACCTCCGAAGGCTTCATCTCCTTGGTTGAGGAGATGAAGAATCCGTCAGTGCCAGGGCCTTGGATCCGAGCAAGGGCGGCTGGAGTTAGTAAGGAGGAGACGTCGACAGCAGGTGTGCTTGAGGGTTGAATTGTTCCTTGACTTGGACTCTCATGTCGAAAGCGACAGTCCGAGCCCCTGTTACAGAACCCTCTGGAGTAGTAGAAGTCACATACACCGTGCGGTGCACGAGGGATGGCAGGACGAGGCGCCCCCCCGCGTGGTGCGCCACGACCGCGAGAGGAGCCGCTGGATATATTGCTTTCGCTAGATCCTCCATCAACGTGCTGGAAATGACAATCTGAGCCGCGAGAGCAGCCGCCAGGTTTGCCGTAGAATCTGCAGGGACCGCGATTGGACATGGTGGGTGGGTCTCAAGATGGTGCACGAGGCAACACGTTTCGGCGGAACTTTATGGGATAAGAGAGCGCTAGAAGACCGCTGTCCTCGGGGCCAAATGCAAGGTAGAGATGCTGGTCCGGAATTGGATGCGCGTCCATCACTTCAGACTCGCTTTAGCTTGCCTGACGGCCTCTTAGACACATGCAGGCATGCATCAGAACGGTCTGGAACATCGCAATTTGAGCCTACGTCAATACAGGCAATCGCGAATGCGATCTCCGCACCCTAGGGAGACTATCTCGCAGGAGGCAGTTATCGCGACCTACATTTTCAAACTGAGTATTATGAGAGTCACCTTGCCACATTCTCCTCACCTCAATGCAATCGCAACAGTACGAATGTTCCCTGGCGTGGGATGATCGTGCAAGCAACCCAAGCCCATCGCAGAGGGAATGCCAACCGCGGGGCACATCATCTACCGCAGCACAAAGTCCTGGGAACGTCCGTTGTGGGCGACGCCACCTGCCGTGGAACTCGCGGCCGCAGAAGCGCAACAATTGAACCTTGTATACTCAGACCTGGACCATGAGCGTTGTGAGTGACCGATAGTCTGCAAAATTGCGAGGCACGTACACGGAGGCTTGTCCCCCTGGACCCTTGTAACGGTATCTGCCGCCAAGAAGAGTCTAGGCATCCCTTGAACCTTGTTCTCGGAGGCAGTCCAACGCAAAGCCCCATGGTTAATTGGCATTTTCGAGCCGATGTCGTTGAAGCCCACCTGTGCTTGTGATGGCAAGTTGTGGGTGCAGGAGAAGGTGGGCCCCCCAGAGGCTGGGCACGTGAATGCGAATAGATCAGCGGAAGCGGATCGGGAACGCGCACTGAGTGGGGGATGCGGGGCAACCGGTCTTTCGCACTCACCATCACTATGCTCCGCGTACGCCCCGCTCTTCATTGCAGATCGTTGCTCAGACGATATGCGACTGTATCAGGCCCGCATGCCTTGGTTTTCCTGGAGCATCGCGAGGGGGTCATCGACTCGGGCTCGCTTTCTGCACTGACGGCAGCCCAGCAGCTCGGAGGACAGGTTACCGGCATCGTCATTGGAGCCCCAGACCAAGTGAAAGGCGTGGTAGAGAAGGCGAAGACGTGAGTGAGCAGCACATGCATTCGTCGCCCTACGTTGAGACCGCGATGTAGGCTGAAGGGGCTGAACACCGTCATTCACTCTGCGTCCGAACAGTACGCGCACTCCCTCCCTGAGGCGGTATCTCCTCTCTTTGAGAAGCTACTTGGCGAGAGCAGCCCTTACACCCACGTTGTCTCAGCCCATTCATCCTCCGCCAAGTCCATCCTGCCTCGCGTTGCTGCCAGGCTTGACCTCCCCGCGGTCTCTGACATCACTTCGCTGGAGCACGATGCCTCTTCTAACGCGACCACCTTTACGCGCCCCATCTACGCTGGAAACGCGATCGCTACTGTGAAGGCACCCTCCTCACTCCGGTTGAAGTTTTTCACTGTACGGTCGACCGCGTTCAAGGCGGCTGCCGCCGACGAAAGCGTCCAAGCAGAGGAACAGACAGTCGACCCTGTCGAGGTCCCCAATCTGCCCACGCAGCATGTACGGACAGACTTGACCAAGTCGGACCGCCCCGAACTTGGCTCTGCGAGCCGTGTTGTGTCCGGTGGTCGTGCGCTGAAGAACGCTGAAACGTTCAATTCGACGCTGGAGCCCCTCGCGGACGTGCTTGGTGCTGCCATTGGCGCGTCGCGCGCTGCCGTGGACGCAGGCTATGCGGATAACTCATTGCAGGTCGGTCAGACGGGCAAGGTCGTCGCGCCAGAGCTGTACATAGCTATTGGTATCTCCGGTGCCATTCAGCATTTGGCGGGAATGAAGGACTCTAAATTGATTGTGGCAATCAACAAGGCGAGTACTCTCGATATTCGCTTGCGATCTAGTACTGATGTTTGAATGGGTCAAATCTCAGGATCCTGAAGCCCCGATCTTCCAAGTCGCTGACATCGGTCTCGTCGCGGATCTGTATCAGGCAGTACCGGAACTAGTGGAGAAGCTCAAGCAATAGACAGCAGTCTAGACGCAATACATCATCGCAGATTTCTACGTCTTGCGCTACAAGGATGCTTTCTGTTGGGTCAACAATTCGAATGCCCGAATCCGCTCAGTTTGAGGCGTCGACGTCCACAGCCAATCCCATTGATGTCCAATCTGCAGACCCAACGGTACCAAGTTGTCTTCCAGTGGACCGTTGAACTCGTACATGTCCCCGGATTGTTTTGAGCCCTGCAGTACGTGATTCGCCATGGGCAGTCGTACGCGTTCATATGTCACCAGCGCTTTGGGCAGACTTGCGAGGGTGGTGTTGGGATGCCCGAGCACTTCAGCCAAGATGTATGCGTCCTACTTGCGTGAGATGACATCCGAGCTAGAGGGGAAGCAATTGACTTACCTCAATGGCTTGGCCTGCCCCAGCTCCTTGGTGTGGCGTCATACCATGTGCCTGAACACAGACCATGAGCCTAATGACTCGAAATGCACATCATCATGTTTCTACGCACCGCGTCTCCCACGAGGACTACACGGTCCTTCGTATAGAATGGAAGCGGTTTGAGTTCATGAATGGCCCACTTTGTAGCTCGATCTAGGCACTATGGCCTTGTCACCTTTGCTTCATAGCCTGTTTGAAGGCAACCGGCTCACCCCCAGCATTTCCTGTACTTCCGGCTCCCAACCCTTGAAACACTCCTGTATTTCCGAAGGGCTGCATTCAGTCACCCATGGGCCTTTCCACGGGGCTCCATAGAGTTGTAGGTTCGTTTCCATCGCCACGACGTTGACTATCGACCCGGCGGAGATGGAGTAGCTCACAATGTGCTGCAACCAGTCATATCTAAGAATGGGAGTGTCCACCTCATCGTACTCGTGTACTTGCCTTGCTCTTCCCGCAATACTGACTCACGTCATCTAAAGCGTCAGCGATGTCTTCCAGGGATTTCGAAAAGGGAGGCACGCACCATCATGGGACTCCGTATCGTACGATGTTCCGTCCCATCGGCTTCCTTGAGTCGTTCCACTGGGATCAGCCCCCGATACGCAACCATCCCGCTCCAGATCGGCTCGATGTGTTCGAGTAAGCCGGGGTCCCCTCCCTGCTTGTAGACGTGGTCCTCGAGCAGCTGCTTGCGAATGACAGACTTGATGCCATCACATCCGACCAACAAGTCACAGGTGGCGGCGGAGCCGTCTGCGAACTGCAAGAATATTTGTGGCTCTCTGCGCTGCGCAACAGGTATGTAGGTGTATGAGGTGAGGCGTTTGCCAAAGTGCGCTATACCGGCTGGGAGATGCGCGACGAGGGCGTCGAGGAAGTGCGCGCGGTGGAAGCGAATGCAGCCGTCTTGCGGTGATGACGGTGTCGTCAGGTGTTCGTGCTCTTTTCGTCCCAAGGCATAGAACAGACAACTCACATGGCATCTGGAACAGATAAAAGCGGGATCCAACTTCAGGCTTATCGGACCTGCGGTAATCAAATCCTATGCCTTGGTGGATTGTCAGTCCCCAGCGGCAAGCGAAGGAAGTGGAAAATCAACCCAAAGACCCGTCTGGGGGTGCATGCGCAATGCGGGAGAAGTCTTGGGCCATTCCAAGTAACGAAAGGATCTCCCAGGTCCGGGCGTATATCATCACCCCTGCTCCGATCTCTTTGAATTGGCCTGTCGCCTCGTATACATGTACCTGAATATCGGGGTATTTGGAAAGTGCCACGGCCAATGTAAGGCCACTGATCCCACCACCACTACAAAGCCATGTTTGTTGGGGCCTTTTCAAGAAGAGGCTGTTGACGTACCAGATTGCTACGCGGAACTTCTTCGCCATGACGAAACACTGGGGAGGATGGGGATACGAGGCCAGACGGGACGATGACACCACCTGTGCCTAAATGCTCGAGATATACTCCCAGATACGCGGGAACGCTCAATCAATCGGCCCCTGTAACCTGGTCCAGGCACACCTGTAGGCCTGGCGTTTTCCTCTGTTCACATGTATGCCTAGGGTTGCCGGCTTTGGCGTCACATTCGCACCCGCGCTTCTCAAGCTAAGCTTGTTGGGATAAACCCAATCCAAAATCTATGGGAATACACCTGATACTTGATATAGACTGCAACGATGACTCCGTGACCAGTGCCAAGATAACACTCAGCGTTTGCCTGCGATACCAATCCGGCTGCCTCGATTCTGCTTCTTCGCAGCCTGCGAGAGAGACAAGTAGGCGTATGGGTCCACGCCTCCCTTTTTGACGTCTCCGCCGGCTTTCTGTTAACAGTGAACGGAATAGGTTCAGTGGCAAGAACGGACGACGAACCTGTGAAGTGATAAGAGAAGTGCGGACTGACCTTCGCCTTGAACTCGTGCCCCAACTTTGGCTCCATCTTCCGCTTCGTCTTCTTTCCAGCTGCCTTCTGAGCCTCTCCATCTGCCATCTCAATGTCCCCATCCGCTTCCTCGTTCTCTCGTCTGCGCTTTTTCGTGTCCTTGTTGAACTTAATCTTGCCATTCGGCCCGCGCGTGAAGCCGTCGACTGACGTGAGGTGCTCGCGATAAGCATTGCCCTCTACGTCTTCGTCACCTGCGGCTGCTGCTCCTTCCTCGTCGGAGTCATCGATGACCATCTTGCCCGTGTCTCCGTCTATCTTGAAGTGCGCAGCGTCTTGTCCTGGCTTCTTGCGCTTACCAGCGTTGGCGGCTTGACGCATGAGTATCAGTAACCGTCTCCTTGAAATCTCGACAACACATACTGGTGACGCGAGATGCAGCTCCAGACAGAAGATCCATGGGCTCATCGTCGTCCACCCTCAGCCTCGCGCCGGCATCCTTGCCCTTGCGCTTCACCTGGCCTGCACTCTGGGCGGGAGCGTCCTCCTCGTCGCTGTCCTCGATCTCGCTCTCACTGCCATAGAGCACGTCCTCGAACGCGTCGCCCGCTGCCGGCTTCGCCTTCGGCACGTCTTCGTCTTCGTCGTCAGCCGCATTCGCGCGTTTACGCTTGGCGCGGTCCTTGCGCTTCTTAATGTTCAGCAGCACCTTGCGCGCCTCTTCCTCCTGCGCGCACGCGTAGACGTCCTCCCAGCCGAAGCGCCGGAGCATGCGCTCGAAGATGTGCCGAACCTTGGCCTTAAAGTGGTTCTTGTGGTCGTGCGACCACTTCAGCAGCGCGGGGACGAGGTCCTTGAGGTGCGGGCGGATCAGATCGGCGGGCATGGTGTGTATGGCGAGCTTAACGAAGCCAAGGACGGACTTGACAATTTCGCGGTTGGCGGATGTAACAAAGACGAGAAGAGTAGTAAAGATCTCGGATTGCATGTTGGCAGAGATGCTATCTATACAATCGTTGGCGGCATGACTTGAGCAGGCGAAGAAAGCAACTCACTTTTGAACTCAAAGATGAGACGAGAGACCGCGGTGACAGTTGCGCTAATCATGTGCGGGGACGCGCCAGCCAGTCCACCACAGACCATCGTCAGGTATTCCTCAATGTTACCGGCGGCTTTCGAACCATCTTGAGCAACAGTAAATGAGAGACATGGCGAGCACATACCTTCGCCAGCTCCATCGTCAGCCATATCCTCAAGCATCTGGCGCTTCACAACACCACCAGCAGCCATCTTCCTGCCCATAGCCACAATGACGTCGAACGCTGCATTTCGCGCCTTCTCCGACGGCTCCTTCGTACCCAGAACCGCCTCCGGAATGATCGAAGGAATTAGGTGCAGCGCATCCTGTGGAATGACAGCGATGAGTGCCGCGAGTAGCTGGAATCGGTCCTTCTTGGCCGCCGCCGCGAGGTCCTCGACTAGCCCCTCGAGCTTCTTGAGCACGACCGCCGCGTCCACCTGCACCTTGCCAGACTCCACGAGGCGCGTCAGGACTTTGTAGCCGCGCTTTTGGACGCCGTTGTCCCGGCTCTCGAGCACGTCGCTCGTGAGGAACATGGCGAACAGCGCCGTCGCGTCCTCGGGCGACAGGTACGGGAGCGCGAGCAAGAGGAGGTCCTGGCTCATGACTGTCACGCTGTCAGACGTAGGCCCCCTGGGAGCGGGTGCGGATTGCGCCTTGACGAGGTTCTGCTTGAAGAGCGTGACAAGCTTATGGTATGCCTGTGTTACTTCCTAGAAAGACGGTCAATCTCAGGGAGGTGACAGGTCTTCAGGGGGTGAGGCACACCTTCGCATCCGCTATAGCGATCCACGAGCTGATCACGTCCCCGACCATATGCTGGTTATCTCGACCAACGCTACCGAAGACGTTGAACAACACGGCGAGCCAGCTCTCCGCCTGAGAACGGAGGAAGTCTATATTCGCTTGTGCTTCGGCCGCGGTGATAGGGTCGGTGCGGACACTCTCGGGGAGCTTGGCGATTCTGTCCGGGTCCTCACTGGCAAGGGCAACGTTCGAGTCAACCATGACCTTTAGTGCTCGGAGCACAGCGGGACGGAGCGCTGGCTGGCCGTACAAGAGCTGCGACAGCAGCTGCGAGAACTGCGCCGTGAGGGACTATTGTCATGTGAGAAACTGATATACGGACAGCAACATGCGGACACAAACCTGCTTGAGATCAGGAGCGCCCCAGCAGTATCCGGGAAGACCAACCCAGATCTGCTCGATAAGAACGCTCCAGACCTTGGCTTCCGATTGGCGACCTTCGGTTTCGGCAGTACTCTGGAGCTCGAACATTCGTTCTGTCAGTGGGACGAAGTACGACACGAAGTGGCCAAGGGGCGAAGGGTGTGGTTGGGCGAGTAGCGGTAGTAAGAAAGCCCGAGGCTCGCGGCCGGCTTGCCTACATTGGCGTCGTTTTTTGAGTCGGGCGGTCCAGAAAGGATGAGATGGTGCACCTACCTATCGACTTGCTCCAAGTTGAGAGGCAATACGCGTAGCAATACTGCCGGCCCGAGAACACGCATAGCGACACCGAGTGTTGCGTCTGCGGTCTCCTTGTACTCGAAGGTCTTCTGTACTCTGAGGTCTGCGACCTTCGTGATGAGAGGCAACAACAGCTGTTCGGCTGCAGTTGTGTTCTTCCTCGACCCGTTACGAGACTTGAGGTTCTCGATGAGGGATGCAACGACGGCGAGAATGTCAGGTATTGCGCGGGCGTATGCAAGCGAGTCCAGTGCCTTCGTAGACTGCGCGATAATCTTGCCGATGGCAGATTTCGGCTCATCTGAGCTTTTCTCCTTGACAGCTGCTTTGATGAGAGTCGTCGTGAAGCATTGTCCAAGCGTAGCTAGAGCATCGGCAGCTGCCTTGCGCGTCGCAGCATCGGACGATTCGAGCAGGTTCCAAATCGCCTTCCAAACCTTCCCCAGCTCTGCAGCGCATTCTTCCGGATTCGCTTGGTGGTATGCGAGCATCGTGCTTCCGAGGACGTTGGCCCATGCAGCAGTGAGGGCAGCGTCGCTACGGAGAGGTGGGGCCGAGAGAATGACTTTCAGGAGCTCAGACATATGAGACTGCAGGTTCACGGTCGGGTCGTCCATTGAGAGTGCCAGAAGTTCGGAGAGGATAGAATATGCCGATTGGGATAGGTACGGGTTCCCTAAGCGAGGAAACAGTAGGAGCGAAGACGTGATAGAGGACAATGACTGCTCGGCTTTGCTAAGGTTTCTGCTTTGCACAGTCAATAACCGAGATAACACTCACCTCAGAGGGCAAGGAGGGGAGCACGGGACGGAGAAAGGCCAGAAGATGAATGGCGGCGTCGGACCCCTCAGTCTCTGCCTTCTTTCCCTTGAATTTTGGGAGGCCGCCCGCGCAGACTTCTTCGAGAGCTGCCTTGACCCACTCTGCTACTTTCTCGGCATAAGGATGCTTCAGAGAAGGAGGCGGGGGCGCGGCGAGGACGTCCTTAACAATTTCTGCCGCCTTCTTTCTCACTTTTGGACGAGGGTCAAGGGTTAGCTGCAAGATGGTCATGAAGGCCTGCCGGAGGCCCTGACTGTCGAGCTGAGAGCGATCAAGAGCAAGAATCACAGTCCCATAGAGAGTGAGTTGAGAGCGGAGAGGCGGGGCATGTGCAGACAGAGCAGGGAAGAGTGGGGAAGTCAAGGTGATGATAGTCGATAGATGTGAGCGAATCACTGGTTGAGGGATATACGGAGTGACTGCTGCGAGAAGGTAGAGCACGGCGGGAAGGAGATCGCCATCCCCAAGAGCAGGGCCTGAAGCTCGCGAAGACTGAAGGGAGCCATCAAGGGAAGTTAGAAGAGCAGCGAAATATGCTGTCGCAGAGGGCTCGGTGTTTTGTTCGCGGAAGGTAGCCTCGATCGCACGGAGGAGGGTCGCAGGAGCCTTTTGGTGCGCGAGGGCAGAGGATGTGTGCGGACGGATTTTTGCAAGGGCGGTTTCAACGTTATCGGCCATGTTGTGCACGGCTAGCGGACGTATAGTCGTCGCTGTGGCCGACGGCGAGCAGGGCGTGGTCGATCTCGGCGTCGAAAAACTTGCGATCTGCTGCTAAATCTTGCGCACGTGACGCAAACGCGCTTCCCCAATAATTCCGTCGGGCCGAGTCGCCACATGCATCTCTCGTCTGGGCCAAATACTTACATTATATACTTAGTATGACCGCGCAGAGAGGCCTTGCACCTGACCTCTCACTCACACCTCTACCTCTGCGACCATACGAAACTTCCGGCGTCACCCTGGCCTTTCCTAGTCCACCCAAGCACTTGGCATAACCCCGAAGCACGTCTCATAGCCATGGCGGCGTTGGCAGGATCCCCAACGCCATGGGCCTATATGTTCATCCGGTACGGTATTGTCACCTAGGTATCGACTCGACGACCCTTAGTATCTATGCAGTTTGCTCTTCAAGTTTGTGCTCAAGATATTTTACGGGACCATCGTTGTGGAGAACGTGGATAATATCCCACCGAGAGGCGTGCCTTGGTATGTCCCTCGCCAGTGGCATGAGCTCCGCCGTCTGACCGTGAACCAGCATAGTATGTGCTAACCATAGCAACTCTCTGACTGATGCGCTGTAAGTCTGTACTTGTATTGAGCTCATCCCTCCTTGTAACCCGACCCGGCCCAGGCTTCTGGTCACTTCTATTCCATCAAGGGTCCGCCGCAGTCCTCTCTATTACCGCACAATGATAGGGCTCACTATCTCTCCATAGAAACGAAACCTCCTCAGGCTCACGGCGAAATCGACTCAGTTCGGGAGAAAGACCTTCACCAGCTGGCTTATTGAGTCTGCGGGCACCGTCCCAATCAAGAGACGCAAGGACTTTGGAGACCAACAAGTGGACAATTCCAATGCTATGCAGTTTCTCGTGGAGGTATGTGCCAACATTCCCTCGACACTTATTATCACCAATGTGGCGTCCATGTAGGCTGTGGAACTGGGAGATGCAGTATGCTTGTTCCCTGAGGGTATGAGCCGGTACCATCCAACAATTGCACCGCTCAAGACTGGTGGTATGTTTTTGACATCCTGTATTCTACGACGTACTTACCAAGGGTACGGCAGTCGCGAGGATGGTCTCAGACGTCCTCTCGCGGAACCGACACAATCCCGACTTTGAGATAGATGTTCTGACCTGTTCAATCACCTACATGTGGGTCCCATTCCTGAGTGGCTACGTTTCGCAGTGTTAACGTCACAGTTCTGCAGGCATCGAGAACACTTTCGCTCGGATGTGCTCGTGACGTTCCATCCACCAATGAAATTTACGCCAAAGGTACCTCCCACGCGCCTGACTAACGATCGTGTGCTTACGCCGAAGTCCCAGAACAACCCTGAATTGCTCACGCCAATCGACTACAACGAAATTCGTTCTCTAACTGCGAAGATGCATCAGCAAATCAGCTCGGGAACGCTCGATGCACCATCTTGGAGGCTGATCCGGAATGCCAAACTTGCTGCTAGGATGTACGCACCGCTCGGTACGTCCATGTCGCTAGGCGACTACATCCGCGTCGTCAGGACGTTCCTGGAGGCTTTCAAGTTGGCGGAGGCGCCACGCGCAGACACCTCCAGTGACGGCGAGGCTCCGCCGCCTGAGCAGGTCGCGCGAGAGGACATGAAGATCGTCCAGCTCGGCCGTGACCTCAAGGTCCGTCTCCCTCCCTGAGCTGTCGTTACACTCCAGAACTGACAACCTTGTAGGAATATCAAGATCAGCTTGCACGCTGGGGAATCAAGGACGACCGCATACGCCGGCCACTCTCCCGGCCCGTCATCCTCTACCGCGTCCTCCTCCGCGCCGCTTGGGCGCTCGTCCTCCTCGCGCTCTCCCTCCCCGGCCTGCTGCTCTGGCTCCCTGTCTTCGCCACGACCGTCATCGCCGTGCACCAGTTCAAGCGCACCGGCCCCGTCTGGGACACGTACGACGAGATCGCGCAGTACAAGCTCACATACGGCTTCCTCTCCGGGCTCTGCATCTGGCTCTTCACCACGCTCGTCACGCTCCCCTTCGCCCCGCTCACCGCCGTGCTCGTCCCCGCGGTGATGTGGCTCAGCCTGCGCTGGATGGAGGACGCCATCGCGGCGTTCCGGGCGCTCGCTTCGCTTACGCGGCTGCTCCTGATCGGGAAGCCTGCGCTCGCTCAGATGCGCTCGAGGCGCGAGGATCTGCATCGGCGCGTAATGGAGCTTGCGGTGAGCACACTTGGGCTGCCGGGCGAGCCAGAGAGGTACTTTGCGGAAAGCGGAGGAAGGGAGAAGGGCCGGGTGCAGGGGAGATGGGCGAGCAAGGCGAAGTACTTTTCTGTGAGGCGGAGGAGAAAACGGGACTGGAATGAGACGCTTAGGCTTTATGACCAGGTAGACTATCCGGGGGACTGACGATTAGGTCTTTGTGGATGAGGTATCGGCGATACGAACGATATGATATATATACAAGGTCCTGCAATGACAACATACACGATCACAAAGGAAGGCATAGAGGGGTAAATCATCGTACAACGCGAAGCACAGACTAGTAGACTAAAACGATGCAACGAGAGATAGAGGGCTAGAGGAGCGTACGGAACTACGTTGAGTGGACGCGACGAACATTTTTGTGTGACCAGGCAGAAGATGCACCACTCTCATCCTGAAATAGGACGATAAGCACGATTGCCGGCGGCCCACTGGTGGCCATGCTTGGCAGCGTTTCCAGTAATCACAATGCCGGCGGTAACTAAGATGCCCAAAACCCAGGACACGACGTTCAGGACGTATGCAAGGCCTGTGACTCAAGTCAGCCACCCCTCATAAGACTCCCCATACGAGCAACTTACCTGGACGAGCACGCTCGAAGGTAGGGAAAGAATCGCGACGGTACAGATCCGTAACGATAGCGAAGGCGACAATTTGGGATATGACTGGTGAAAGTTCAGTCACACGACCCCCGTATCCACCCTAGTCGTCCACTCACCATGTAGCGCAACTAAGAACGAGGCCGACTTCCAGATGCGCCTCCTACGCGAGTGAGTTGTGACGCCAAATATGATAGCGAGACAAGCTACGACGGCAAAGCCGATGCCGAGCTCTGCAAAGTAGCTCGAGGTGCCCCAGATCATGCAGAAGGCCTTGTTCTCCTTCTCGCAGCCATCCTCGACGCGCTTCGGGAACGGCCGACAATCGTAGCTGGTGTAGGTGAGCGTGCCGCCGCTCGGGGCGGGGACCTCCATGACGCGAAGCTCGCAGCGGCTGGCGAGGCCATAGGAGACAACGACCTCCTTGTGGATGATGTCTGGTCTCTTCGTGACGAGCCTAGGAGAGCGGTCCGTGTGAGCACTCACTCTACCTTGAACCGGGGCCGGACACAGACCAATCAGGGCGCTGGACGGAGAGGATGTTCTGGAGGGGAAAGGGTGGGTTGAGTTTCCCGCTTACGCATACTTGGAGCACAGGCGGGCCCCAGACATACCAGGATCATAGTCCCAATGACGGCGAAGAAGGCGACGACATAGGATAGCTTCCTCATTGTAGTCGACGATCCTCCAGATGGTGGTGGGAGGACAAGGAAGGATGCTGGTACAGCATCCGCAAGCCGGGGCGAGACCTGGGAGCTGGACTGGAACTCAGCGCGATTTCCGCCACTCACTGACACTGCAGTCGCGCTCGGCGGAAACGCGCAGCGGCATCGCCGATCATAAGTGACGTAGAGGGTCCTTCTTGGGCCTGCGCACATTATGAGTGCAACAAAGCGAGGCCTCATACGGTCCTTGTCGATTAGTGGTTAGATCATCACGTTGTGGCAACGCAAGCCCGTGAAGACGGAGGCTCGAATCCTCCCTGGGACATGCTTTTGCTTCGTGTGGCTTTTGTGTTGCACCGCCACCCATGATCACGAGTATTGCGCCCGGACTATTTTGCAGATTCGATCTCGCTTCTAACGCACCGCAGTCTTGAAAAGTCTTGATACTTCGGCCACTCACCAAATCGCCTTCGAATTGGGCTCAGATGCTCCTCTTTGAGCATGGTTCTGCTGCAATCGAGTTGGTTCCATGAGCGGTATAGGATGCTGTTTTCCGGGCTCGACCCTGTTGCGAGTTCGCATGTACGTACTCTCACGCTTACTAGCGGCCAGAATGTCCCATCTCGCCGCAACTGTAGCTAAATGGTGTTGTCACTGGCAGCTAGACCTTTGTAGTAGCGGGTCATTATCTGCTGTCGGCGAAGGCGACCACGACTTATCAGCTGGTGGACTGGCGGCAGGGCAACAACTGACTGCCGGCTCTGGTCTGTACAGGGCCTTCCTGCTGTCCAGTTGCTCCTGATCCCAAAGCACGTCTACTGCATCGCGAGCGATGTACCGCACAAGGCTACTCCAGGCAATCTTCTCCACGTTGATACGCTTCTTGAACAGCAGGATGGCATCTGGGGCATCTACGGTGAGTTTTCGCAACTATTCGCAGTGATATCAATAGCTCATGTGAGTCATGTCGACCCCAACGTCACCAATTCGACTGGTCGATGGGCTCTTAGCCTTCATTCACGGCACCTATTGAGTCCCTTTTGACTGTGCCTTTCTTGAAGTACCATTGTATTGGCACGATTTCTCTACTCTGATCAGGTCAAAGCAAGGGCACTTCGTTAGCCGATCCAGGTCAGACACAATCCCCGAGTGATGCCCACGATGGTTGCCGACTTCGCTAGTTTGTCAGACGGCCTTGGAAAATGTGGTGTAGCAGACGTCACGCTCCACGCTCAATACTACCTGACACTGGCGGATATTTGCATATAGTCAGCTGGGACCCCCGCGGTATCAACCTGGACACAAAGTAAGCTTCCAAATGAATTGTACATCTCTCATATTCCTGGAACACATCTCGCGCTCAGTCCGAGCCAAGTGATGTGCTTCCAGAGCGCATCGGAGTACTTGTCACTCATCACTAACATTATTCAAGGAAAAGGAAAAGGCATCGAATGCAGCGGCGTAGTGAATGGTGCTATGCTCAAGCATGTCGGAACGTCGGGCAACGCGAGGGATGTTGTCGCCGTGACGGACGCTCTCGATGGCCTGGGAAGCCCGGTAAAAGTCTGGGGCGTATCATGTACCTGGTACGTTGCGGTATACATCCATAGTACAACCCAGCGTCGACATCACCAACCTCTTCATTTATTAGCGGTTTCCCAACCTTCGCCTGACAACGCGTCGGACAATTGCTACTTGACGGGATCGTGCAGATAGCCGAGCAATTGAACAATGTCGTGAGCTCTGGTTATTGCCGATATCCCCCCTTTGATGTTCATCTCGTGTTGCCTACAGCGATGGGCGCGTTGATGGCGCGCTTTAGGTCAAGCATCGGAAAGTGGCAAACATCCCCACGAATGGGGTGTATTTCCCCGATGCCGCGATCAATTGCAGTAACAGCATAGACCCGAACAGTGCAACCATGGTCGATGTCTTTACCGAGCTAATCAGAAATACTCTGACTATACGATTACTTTTGTACATTTCCGCCTGGAGATGTGTAAGAGCAATTGTATGGTCAGTATTCAGATCTGAACCAAGCAAAGCGGTCAGCCGCCTAGTTTGCTCTGGGCCGGATTGGCACTCACGTATAAGCCTTTCGCGACTTGTATTGCCGCTCCTCACATCCTGCCATACACCTCCCACTACCTGCTTTAACCTATTGCACCCATACTGCTGCGCAGTCACTTTATCTGTCAGGATGTCTTACCTCACTAGCGCGATTGCTCCTGAAGTCTTCGAGTCTGCTCTTGGCACCCCCTTCTGGCTGTGGAACGGCCGGGAGTACGTCAAGCTCGCAGGCGAGCAGCTCCGCGAGGAAATGAAACTCTGGGAAGAATTGCCGGAGTGGCATCGGAAGATCCGTGAGTGTCTGGACGCCGTCGACTGACCGCCCTTGGGCTCGCTGACACTCCTCAACACTTTGCAGTGTGCAGGCACGACAGGTTCAAAGGCCCCAGGACCCTTCGTACACGCCGGGATCCCAGAATTTTCACCCCCGCCAAGAAAGTCAAGGCCGCCTCGACTCCGTCGTCAGCAGTCGGTCGTCCCGTCGTTGAGTGCTCTGGCGGTGCTGAGTCGGTGCGTGAGGGTGGCGGCTCCCTCTCCCGCACTTGCTCAGATGCTGCTGGGTCGCAAAACGTCGAGATGGTCGGCGAACCCTCAAGCCCCGACAGCGTTGTTCTCCGTCCGAGCGTCGACCGGCCAGATGGTACTGCTGCTGCGCCCGCAAGGAGTGGCTCTTCTTCGGACGCTATGGCAGGCATCGTCGAACTGCGAGATGTGGAGATGGCGGACGACGCCTCAAGCCCGCCCCTGGTCAGTGTCGTCTGTCCGAGCGTTGAGCTCCTCGGTACCGTCATAGTGGCAGGACAGGCGGGTTATCCTTGCGTCATTGTGACGGACACTGCCGAGTTGCAAGACGTGGAGATGGCCGACGCAACACCGGAGGCCCCCTCGACCCCGACCCCGACCCCGACCCCGACCCCGACCCGCACCTCGATCGCGACCCCGACAGCCCTCGGTGTCGGCTTCCCGCCCAGAGCGACGGTCGCACGCCGAGCGGTCTCCGCTCCGGCCACCTACAGCTCCCCGTCCCCCAACCTCATCGGTCAAGACCTCCTCAAGCGCCTCCGGGCCCAGTTGGACGCGCCTCAAGCTCGACGCAAGGCATTCTCGGGGCCGGAGAAGGGTGAGAAGATGCTGAACAGGCCGCGGCCCATGCTCCCACTGCGGTTCGAGAAGAAACGTCCGACGAAGGGCGCGACGCCCGTCAAGCTCACGACACCCGTCAAGCGCGAATTGCAATGCTCTGCCGAAGACAAGGAGAACGTCAGCCCCGCGACCGCCAACGGCGTCGACGTCACGGTCAAGGCCCCCGCCGGGGTTGTCCCCCGCAAGCCAAAGGGGATCCTGAAGAAGCCTCGGCGCGCCGAACGGCCCCCGCCGGCGGTCATCAAGCGCGCGAAGCCAGGCCAGCAGCTGCAGGTTCAGGTCCAAGTTCCGGTCAAGAAGTCCGTGCGCTGGGCTCCGGAGGTCATCGCGAAGGTCAGCGTTCTCCTACTCCGATCTCCCAGGAACGCGCATCTGACACGCAACGTGAACAAGTTCGCGCAAACGGACCTCGAGATGATCGTCCAAGCCGCAAAGTCTCCCGCGCCCGCGCAACGCCTCGAACGTCTGCAGCAGCTCGTCAACACGTACTTCTGAAGGCCCTCAAGATCGAATGAGGGTGGACGCGCTGGTCGCGTTCGTCCATAGGTTCATCTCACGATCGTTCGCGCGGACAGGCTGAACGCGTTCGATTGCATCTTTGAATTAGGTACTTGGCCGAGGGAAGGCAGGCGTGGTTCGGCGGCCCCGTCTGTTTTCTGTCGTCCCGGATATTCCTGAGGTGAGTGTTTCCTTTTTCTCTTTTCCCGAGGGAGGGACCGCAACGGTCCTGGCGCATACCTCTCCGTGGTCCTCGGGACGAGTACCCGTGCAAGCGGGGAAACCGAAATGCGTATTCTCGTAGTCCAGCGTCGCCGCATGTCAAACATGCCCCGCAACCGCCAATGTTGATAGAGTCGTGCGGTGTTTTGTGTCGATTGCGATGAAATCGACATTGTTCCGATATCGGATGCACTCGGGCCGCTCTTACCTGGCCTCGCCCTCAGGCTGATCAGCAACGTAGAGTGTTCGGTGATGCTTCATGTTTCCCGTTTGGCAAGTGTATCTCGGTGTGAGTGCGGTTGCAAGGCTTCCCTTGGCTAGCGACAGAGTCTTGCATTGAGGATGATGGCTGAACGGCGAAGAGATCATGGTTAATTAGCTGGTTTGATCAGTCATGTGACCGCGTCGTACATACCTGGCGAACGGGCGATCGGTGCATATGGCAGCCGTAACCGTCCCACTTTCCCCTATCCCTTTGGCCTATAGCAAGCGACTCGTGTATGCGAAACAGGTAGACTTTGCCACCGCGGCTTGATGGCTCTCGTACCTGATTGAGGAGGATCGAAACGCAAACGAGATTGTTGCGATCTCCAAGCATTCAGAGTAATCGACCGCATTGGTCGGACGATGTTGGCAGTACAATCCAACCGTCGGTATCAATTTGATAACGCCACCATGGTCAGAAACTGCTGCGACTCCGATGGCACAAGATTAGCTTGGATATAGGAATCGTAAATAATACTGCGACCTGTCGATACAATGTCGACCATCATCCGGGATGGCGTCATTGACCCTCTGAGCAAGGATGGAGAAGGATGGCTGATCATTCTAAGAAGCCACGGCAACACTGCAGCGTAAACAAGCATCTAGATTCCATCGGGAACATAGACCCTGCGCGCGTGCGCACGCCTACAATCCAAAAGCACCCTGGGCGCGCACGTGGAAATAGAGTGCTGCCGGGCACCCGAAAGGCGGTGGAAGATTCCGTCGCACGTCGACATCCGGGCACGGTGACAAGCATATGAGACAAAGCGGTCGTCGGCCGACAGGCAAGGGATCAGCATGGCTGTCCTCGATGGTCTCGAAGTCCCATGCAAGCACTGGCGGTGGTGACGGCTGAGAAGTCAATCGCGGGCACTCAGACGCTTCCCACCAAGCCGCCATGCAGGCCGCGGTGGATAAACTCTAGAGTGACACCTCAGTTCACGGCCGGTGGAAAGCACCGGAGATGACTGAAGACGACGAGCTTGGGCGCGAGGCACGCCTGTGCGCCTCGAGGAGTGAATGTTGGGGAGCGTCGGAGGCGGCCAGGAGGACACTTGCATTGTCGGAGGGCGAAGCAAGGCATCACCGACAAGGCCGCGGGGGTCGTGAACGTGGTGGGAGGAAATGACTGCGGAAGCACCGAAGCAGTAGGGTGATGTGGTCGCAGGGGGCCGCGATTGGTGGTCGTGGATGGTCGCGGGCGGCGGCTTGCCTTGGAAACGCAGTGGTGGGCTGTCAACGACGGGAGGCGGGAGGTGGGAGAATACAACGCACACAGTGCCATACCTAGTACAGTAAGTACTCGCAGGACACCGTCGACAGGCTGGACAGGCTGGGGTCCGCGGACGCCAACCGGCCCGCCCGCTTACGTAAGAGCCAATTGACCCGGAAAAGGAAACAAGCGGCCACCGATCATCAAGACTCTGCGCTCAGCGCTCAGCTTTGGCCCACTCAGTCTCTGGCGGCCGGCTGTCCCCTACCTCTGCCTCTGCTACTTCTGCCTTCGCCTCTCGCTCCAGCCGGCGACAAAGTTCTTGCATCCACCGCCTCCTCGCAAGCAGCTGTGGAGGCAGCCGACGGCCTTACTCATGCCGAATCCTGTCTCTCCCACCTCCTCTCCGACATCGCTTCCCCTCCAAGGCCCGCACGCTATGCAGGCCGATTCCTACCTCAACTCCTACCCTACGTCCATTCGCATCTCCAGAGACTTCTCCAGCACCTCGCATGACCAGGACTTCGTCGACCGCGACTCCTTGTCCACCTTTACCCTCACCGACGATGCCAACATTACGGAAATCGCCCCGTGGGCTGCCAACAACAATGACTCGGAACCTGTACGTCTTGTGCTCTGACTGTTGATGAGGACGCCAAACGTCGGGAAAAGCTCCGCTTGAGTTATCTGGCAGGTGTCGCATATACGATGGGTGCGGGGCTCCGTGCGCTTGTCTTTGTCCAGGCTTGCAGCCAGGTGCCGTGTCTCGGACTCTGCCAACTGCTTATCGGTCCAGCTCGCTGTGCGACTCAGACCCTGCTGGTCATATGGGCAACTCGCCCAGAATTTGCGTCAGCGGGAGGATGGAAGCTTCGCGGTGGGGAAGGGGACTATTGCATCCCCCCCTCTCGCCTCGCAGCTTTCGGACTCGCTCGGTGTTGTACGCATCCAGCCCAGACTGCCATCGTTTTAGCTCATAACAACGCAACTCACGCTGTCTAGCGATGGGGGCTGAATCATGCGATGCTTCGTGCTCGGCCGATGCAGTACGCTGTCTGTGTCATGTCCTCTGCTCTGGAGCTTATCCACAGAAGCCTGTGACGAGGTTCGGACCGCTACGGCGCCGCCGCGGTGGAGAAGGAGGAAGCGGTAGTCACGAGCCTTCTTTTGTTTGCCAAAGACCACGTATTGTCCGCTGCCGCGATCGCGGCCTGGTCGAGTCGTCCATTTCGCGGAAGAGATTGAGGCCAGAAATGTGCTACGCACTGAGGGCTTGACTACTCATACACGTTCTATTTCGCAGCCTACTCCTCCGCCCAAGTCATCGTCACACCGGTTTGGCTTAATCCACAAGCCGTCATTCGGTTCTTTCACTCTCCCTCGCCACGAAAGCACATCGAATATCAGTGTGGCCTCTACTGCGCGGCCATCGGAGACCTTTAGCGTCCACTCCGCCGAGTCGAGCCGAACTCTAGACTCGCGCAAGAAGACTTCCTTGAATCCGCTCAGCTTGCTCAGGTCGAAGAGGTCGCGCAGCCGCCTACGGTCTGAGCCCCTTCCCGTGGAGCCCCCTCCACCGATCCCATCTCCCGATCTTTCGTTCCACCCCACGCCTACGGCCCCTTCCGGATCATCCTTCCCTACCAAGCAGCACAAGAAGAAGAAACCAGCCTATGTGACTCCGCCGCCGCCGCCACCCAAGGAGAACCTATATACGCTCGACACAAACCTCAATGACATGGAGGGCGTCGTCGACCTCTCCGTCCTACCCACAGCCGAGGGAGGCGTGCACAGCAGCAGCTCACCCGGGAGCGGCTTCGAGACCTCGACATACCACTCGAGCTCGGACGTGTCGTCTATGCACTTTGGCTCCGTCAACACCTCGCAGCACAGCATGTTCAGCAACCCCAACCCGTTCCAATCCACCAGCCAGCGGCGGCTAGCCCCCGGGGCGCTCGTGTTCGATCACCGGAGGATCTCGCCCAAGGCACGCGCGCCTGGGGTCTATCAGAACGGCGTGGGGGACGTGGACTCGCCGTCGTGGACGGCGCCCGAGAGCTGGGCGGTGGAGAAGGAGGGCGAGGACCCGCTCGGGGGGCAGGCGTACTCGTCCTCGGACGAGAGCGTACGCGGCAAGTCGGCCCGCAAGCGGCGGAAGCGGGGGACGTCGTCCAAGGCGCTGTACCACGTCCGGATCTACCGCGCGAACAATTCGTACCACGTCGTCCAGTGCGGCCTGGACGTCACCGTGTCGCAGCTGACGCCGCAGCTGAACAAGAAGCTGCTGCTCGACCCGGGGGTGGAGCCGCACAGGCTGTACTTGAAGGAGAGAGGAAGAGGTGCGAGTCGGGGACGACGTGATACTTCTTTTAGGTCAGACGAGAAGATTGACGTTCGGAAATTGCAGAACGAGTGCTCGCGCCGACGGAGCGCCCTGCTGATATCGTCCGTAGACGATTAGAGCAAGCAGGATATGATATCGCCGACGGGTTGGACATGCTGGGTGCGGACGACATACAATTCCTGCTGAAGTTCGTCTACAAGAGTAATGTGCTCGGGCCGCCGGTACGCTTTCTGTCTCATGGATGCATGGGTCGGGATGCTGACGCTCATCTGCTTTGCAGGAGGAAGAGATGCAATTCGACACGTTCGACCTCATAGACCTCACGTCTCGCAGCCTGAAGGCAGTTCCGGTCTCATTATACGCCCATGCGGAAGTGATCGTCTCGCTCAACCTCTCGCGAAACCCTATGCTCGAGATTCCTCTTGATTTTATCCAGTCATGCTCGAGTTTGAAGGAGCTCCGGCTATCGCATATGGCGTTGAAGAAGGTCCCGCAGAGCGTCCGGCATTGTCGGACGCTCGAGTGGCTCGACCTATCATGCAATCGAATAGCAGACTTGGAAGACGCGGGGCTCGATCAAATACCGGGGCTGTCGCATCTGAAGCTCGAAAACAATCGGATGGAGAACCTTCCCTACTACTTCCCTCGCCTTCGGAAGCTGGGCTACCTCAACATCTCGAACAACAAGTTCAAGCATATTCCTGCCGGCGTGTGCGAGCTTCGGTCGCTTGTGGACCTCGACGCGTCATTCAACTCTATCTCGGAGCTACCGGAAGAGCTGGGCCAACTAACAGAACTCGACCACCTCACCATCGTCGGCAACCGTGTGGCGAAGATCCCCGAGCAATGCGCGAATCTCAAGAACCTTCGCGTGCTCGACTGTCGGCGGAACCACATCACGGATATCTCCGTCGTCTGCACGCTGCCGAAGATCGAGCAGCTCCTCGCGGATCACAACCAGCTGCACGCGCTGGACATCTCGTTCGGGCCCGCGCTCAAGCAGCTCGACGCGTCGCACAATGACATCACCCAGCTCAACCCCGTGCCAGGCCCGCTTGGGCGGCCGTACGCGCTCACGGAGCTGAATCTGTCGTACGCGAAGCTGTCCACGCTCGACGACCTTGCGCTTGCGCAGCTCACCGCGCTCGAGTCGCTGTATATCGACCACAATTCCCTGCGCTCGCTTCCGGAGAGTCTCGGGGGGCTCAGCAAGCTGAAGCATCTCTCGTGCTCGAACAACCACCTGTTCACGCTCCCGAGCAGCCTTGGGCGTCTGCAGTGGCTGGAGGTGTTGGAGGCACACAACAATGACCTCTCCGAGCTGCCCATGAGCCTGTGGAACTGCTCCTCGCTCCAGGTTATCAACGTCACTTCCAATGTCATCAGCACTTGGAATCTGCCTCCCGGGTCTATAGACCTGGAGGTCCACGCGACGCAGACTTGGGGTAGCACAGTCAGCCTCCTCTCGGACAGGAAGGCATCGAGCAGCTCGATCACTGGGTCCACGCTCCCCGCTCTCGCGGCGTCGCTCGAGAAGCTCTACGTTGGGGAGAATAGTCTGACTGCGGACTCGCTGCACCCGTTGGCGCTCTTGAAAGAGCTTCGGGTCCTGAACCTGTCGTTCAACAACATTCAGCAGCTGCCGGGCAGCTTCTTCCGGAATTTGACGCAGCTGAGGGAGCTCTACCTGAGCGGCAACACGATCTCGGCGATCCCGACGGAGAATTTGCAGCATATGACGAAGCTCGAGGTCCTCTTTTTGAACGGGAACAAGCTGCAGACGCTGCCGCGCGAGATCAGCAAATTGGTGAACCTGACGGTCATGGATGTGGGGAGTAACGTGTTGAAGTACAACATCAGTAACTGGGAGTACGACTGGAATTGGTGGGTGTACTGCTAGCGGAGCACGAACGCATGTCGATGCTCACTTATCCGTTAACGCAGGAACTTCAACACGAACCTGCGGTACCTCAACTTGTCGGGTAACAAGCGTCTGGAGATCAAGCCGGACATGAACCACCGACAGTCCAGGAACCAGCAACAGCTCTCTGACTTTTCCAGTTTGACGCAGCTCCGCATCCTCGGTCTCATGGACGTCACCATAGGCATGCAGACGAATATCCCGGAGGAAGGTGACGATCGTCGCGTGCGAACGTCCATGGCCGACGTCAATGGCATGGCGTATGGTATCGCCGACACGCTAGGGATGACGGAGCACCTTACCATGATCGACTTGGTCTCACCCCACTTCCGCGGTAAACACGACGAGGCGATCTTCGCCATGTTCGGACGCGCGTCGCACATCGCGAGCAACAACCGACTGACGAAATTTCTCCATGACAACTTCCTGAACCTCTTCGTCGCGGAGCTCAATAAGCTCAGGCGCAGCGAGGGAGTCCCAGACGCCATGCGGCGGTCGTTCCTGAAGCTCAACAAACACTTGCACGACCACCTGTACTCAAACTCGGGGCGGAAGATGTCGCACGTCAGCGCATCGGCGACGGCCCAAAGTATCCATGACAAGATCGGCGCCTCGGGCATCGTTCTTTACCTCGTTGATCGCACGCTCTACGTCGCGAACGCCGGTAACGCACTTGCGGTCATCTCTCGCCAGGGCATTGCACAGCTTGTCTCTCGCAAGCACGACCCGTTTGACCGGAATGAGACTCAACGTATCCGAGCCGCTGAAGGTTGGGTGTCTCCGAAGGGATTCGTCAATGACGAGATCGACGTCTCGCGGTCCTTCGGATTCTATTACCTCCTCCCTGTTGTCAACGCTCGTCCAGACATATTCATGTACGATCTCACTGAGATGGACGAGTTCGTCATTGTCGGCAACCGTGGCCTCTGGGACTATGTCTCCTTCCAGACGGCGGTCGACATCGCACGCAAGGAGCGGGACCCAATGATCGCTGCTCAGAAGCTCCGCGACTTCGCCATCTGTTACGGCGCAGAGGGCACGACGATGATTATGGTCATCAAGGTCTCCGACTTGTTCAACCGTCATATAGCTCGCGATGTATTCTCCAGTCAGGAGCCCGTCATCCCCGAGGAAGTCATACAGAGCTTGGCGAAGGCAAAACGCACGGCGATCATCAACAGAGATATCTCTCGCCTGGAAGACGAAGTCCCTCCGCCCACCGGCCACGTCGCGCTGGTGTTCACTGACATTCGGAACTCGACGCATCTCTGGGAAGTCAACCCCGGGATGCAATCTGCCATGGTCCTCCACAACAACCTCCTACGTCGCTTGCTACGCTTCTGCGGTGGCTACGAAGTCAAGACGGAAGGTGATGCGTTCATGTGCTCCTTCCCGACGACGCTCTCCGCACTCTGGTGGTGTATGAGCGTCCAGTCGCAGCTGCTCAGCTGTGCGTGGCCTTTGGAGCTTCTCGAGTGCGAGGATGGGAAGGAGATACGCGATACGGCAGGCCGCGTCATCGCCCGTGGGCTCTCGCTGCGCATGGGTATCCATTGTGGCACGCCCGTTTGCGAGCCTGACCCTGTTACCGGGCGTATGGACTACTTCGGTCCCATGGTCAACCGTGCAGCACGAGTGAACGCCGTTGCAGCAGGTGGCCAGATCATGTGCAGTGCGGACGTCACCAAAGAGATCAATGCACTGATCCTCAACTCGGGTCCGAAGACAGAACGGTCATACGCCCAACCCCAAAACGCCATCGATGCGATTCAAAGGATGGGTGTCAAGATCTTCCCTATCGGCGAGCGCAAGCTCAAGGGCCTAGAAGTTCCCGAGTACCTTTCGGTTCTGTACCCCGCTGACCTTGCTGCCCGGCACGACCTAGAGGCCTTCGAGACCGCGCCTACTGCGTCAGGCTCACGCGTGCAATTCAGCGTGGAACAGATGCGGGAGCTTGGTCTCCTCTGTGTTCGCTTGGAAACCCTGGCTAACTCCCGTGTTTTCCGGCCTATCCCCATCCGCAAAGACAGTATCGCGTCTGCGACAGGCCAGCTCCAGCAACCTACCAACCCACCTGAGTCCTCCATCGTGGTATACGACGACCCCAGCCTCTATCTGCCCGTCATGGACAAGTCCTCGACTGATGCGCACCTCACGACCGTACTCCACTCCCTGTCACTGCGTATTGACAACGCGTTGACCAAACTGGCGTTCATGCAAATGTCCAACATCGAAACCCAGCTTGGGCCGCAAGCCGAGCTGCGGAACAGGGTCTTCGACCTGTGCCGACCTGTCCCGGTGTGAGGCCCACCGATCGCCACCTCCCATCTTCTCCACTATCGGACTATAGTTAACTTATTCCATCTAGTCCTTGGCATGTCGCAATTGTATTCTTCAGCTCATTCATGCCCACTACCATCCGATAGAGATGCATTCCTCCTGTATACCCTGTAGTATCTGCACGCTCCACGCATAGCACTGTATACTGCTGTAAACGATATCATTATTCACTCGGTTCGTAAGCTCAACTCATCGCAGGCACGGCTTGAAGACGGGGGGAGGGTAACGAACGGAAAGTACAACAGCATTCCGACCTAAGATATGAGTAAGGCGAGATTAGTATGTGAGAAGAAAACGAGAACGATCCCATACATGAGCATGCACGACCCCCGTAAATGACCGTGCAACCGGTTCTCGATTCGTATCCAATAATACCGTATGAAAAGCTCCATGACCTCACGGACGTCAAAACACGCCCCAGCCCTCACTGCCGGCTCGGGGGTACCCACACGATGTCATCCATCTCGGATGTGCTGACACCCTCGCTCTCGTACCCCTCTCCCTCGCTGCTCAGCGCCGCCCAGTCGCCCTCGACCCGGGCCTCGAGCGCCCGGAACTTGGCACCGCGCGAGCGCAGGAACGCGACGACCTCCCGCGCGCTCCGCCAACCCTGCGGCTCGGGCACGGTCTCGACCCCGGCCGACGTCTCGCGACTCGGTTCCTTGGGGGTCTCGACATACCCGCCAAAGGCTTGCGCGAGATGCACGGATGCACAGACGTGCTTGCCCTCAGGGGCACGCTCGAGCTGCGCGAAGAGCGAGGCGAGCGCCTTGGCGGCCTCGACGCGGGCGCGGAGGACATGCCGGATGAGCCGGTGCGAGGGCGGACGCCGCCGCCTACCTGGGCCCGAACCCGCGCTCGTGCTAGGACCCGCGGGTGTCGACGTGGGCGTGGATGAAGCGGGGGACTCGGCAGGTCCTCGCGTCACGGAAGGCGATGACGAGGCGGGTGTGACCGGCCGGGACGTCGCTTTGGCTTTGGAGCGGTCTATCCAGGGGTTCTCTGGCGGAATTCTGGGGACGGTGTACTGGGCGACCGCGGAGAGCGACAGGTCCCATCGCTTCGGGGCCCAGACGCCGACGAGGACCCGCCAGGCGGCAACGAGACGTTTGGCACTGCAGATACGGAAACAGGGATGAGAACCGCTGTCACACAGGGTCTTGGCAGAAATGCACGGGGTGGGCCTGCGGCGCGTAGCACTCACCGATCATAAGAGACTGCGTGAAGGGGTGAAAAAGACAATGCCGGCATGAAGGTAAGAGAGCGTTAAAACCAAAAACGGGAGAACTCGGACCACAGGATAACGAAAGAGACATACCGTTGATCAGCCGATTGTGGTACATCGCGAAGAGAAACACCAAGAACCCTGCAACGAGGGCGCCTACCGGAGTGTACCAGAGGAATGCCCAGAGGAAGAAGAACGCAGCAGGGTATATCATTAGCAGGAGCAGCAAGCCGAACACGACCTTGTTTTGCGCCTGTGTCTCCTCCTCGTCCTCCACCAGACGTGCGCCAAAGCGGCCCATTGCATAGGCGGGAGCATGAAGTATCACAGGCACAATATAGAACGGAAGAGGCAAAAGAAGTGCGATTGAGTCCCGGATGAGAACGCTCAATGTCAGCAGGCGGCTAGGAAGAGGCACAGGTTGGCGCGGATCGAGGGTAGCTGGCAGAGGCAGGGAAGACAGGACAGAGTTCGTGAGGTGCGTGGACTCAAGGAGGGAATAGTACGTGAGGAGGTAGCGTTTGATTGCGTTAATATTCGGGACGAGGTCGGGGGTAGAGAAGAGGTCGACAAGGCTGCATGCATGGAGTCAGTTTGGTAGAAACCTTCGGAGAAGGTACCGGACTCATAACCTACGTCTGAGAGATGGTGACGAATTCATCAATGTTGATAGAACGTTCACCCTGCCAAAGCAGGTCTCGAGCCATCCGAGCTGCGTAAAGTGTGTCCCTGTATCGAGTGACAGACGAGGGTCGGTGAGAGGATACACACGAGTAATGAGTCCACCAACCAATCGGGTGCGTTGATCGTCAACTGAGTGAGCTCTTTCTCAATTGCCGCCGTCAAGCGCTTGACGGCTGCCCGGGGTGCTCCCTCTTCCCCGGACATGAACTGTTCAAGATAGCCCTCCATCCTGATTGGCTGTCCAAATCTGACGAGAAAAGTATGAAACTCTGGACGTTGCAAGGGAAACGGCGAAACTCACTCCATAATCACCTAAGACGTAAGGATGTCAGTGCAAGCTCGTTACGCATGGACGTCGACGTCACCAACCTGACTACGGTACTTCGACTTGTTCGTGTAGACGATGGCAGCCGGGACGATCATGACGTTCTCGGCGCCCTTTCCCACTTTGTCTGGATTCTCTTGCGCCCATTTCACGTATTCTAGCGCGGCCCACGCAGCACCGTCTTTGACCTGCATGATGTGGGGTTCTGTATAACTTGTACCCTCGGGAAATAACGCCACCGCCTTGCCCTTGGCTAGAGCCCGGAACGTCCCACGGAAGAGAAGACGCTTGTCCTGAGCCTTGCGGTCCACGGGAATGTTACCGGCGGACGTCAGGACATACTTCATAACAGGATTGGCAAATAGGGACGCTAGAAGAGCACGTTGAACTTCCAGCGAAGCCTCGTTTAAGTGCAAGCCCATACCTTTCGCCCAATAGTGTAGGATTCTCTTGTACGGAAATGCGATAGCTACGTGGAGGTGAGCAGGCGAGAATGGGTAGAGGAATGTGTCACATACACAAAATGGCCGGGTCGAGCATCATATTATGGTGCGTCGCGGTTCTAATTGCAAGAAGCTGTCAGAATACGAACACCTCGTTGAACCGCCAATCACAGAGTCGTGGATAAAAAGCTCCGGCGTACACGTTTGGAACGATCTCGAGATTTGGTTCAACGAGCGCACCGAGTTTCAGACAGGCTAGAGAGCGTTTGAAGCGTGGCAGACACTTCTGGAGTGTACCGATTACGAATGCGATTCAGAGACGGATATGCCATGTTGGCCCTTAAGCTAGAAGCTAGGATGCTGGCAACTGCGAGGCTTGAGACCGAAAGCCGAAGTTCCAGTAGAGTAGCGTACCAACAGCGTACGTAGGCAATAGGAAAGCTTATTTCATGAGTGGTTCTGAGCCTCGTGTTCAGAGAACGTGCCCACGCATCTAGCTAAGATGTCCAGGTACGTGGAGTAAAGGGGCAGGATAATGACATGCCACGCGACTAGGGGGACGTGGGCACGCTGCCTCCGTGCGGGGAGGAGCAAACTGCTATCTTATGGGATGGCTGCTGAATGAAACAGCAGATTGTGTGCTGTGGGCGATGGCGACACGAACGGGGAGAAGAGGGAGATGAGAGAGCACTCACACAAGAATTGGACCATCCTTCGGGACATTCTCGCCCCCAACGACGTGGATCTCGGAGAAGAATGAGATGACAGCCCAGCCTGCTATGCGACGGATAACCCTGTGGGCTACGTAGGCATCCGACATGGCGAGCAAGCAACAGGCGACAGCAGCAAGAGCGGTGGGGAGAAGAAAGGCAGCCGTCGGTGCAGGAGCGACGCCGTGCAAGTCTTGGCCTCCGCTGCCGGTGCTCCATGTCCCTATCTCCGCCCAAAACGGAAGGCAGAGTCCCGGGCCGCCCTCCCGCCTCCGCCTGCTACTGCCACGTGCGCCCAGGATGCGGACGTGTCTCGGCGCTGGGGCAGAGCGAATGCTCGTCTTTCACTGCGACTCTCATCGTATCTCACCCTGCTCCCGTCCATTGGCTTTGATCTAGACGGTTACGATGCACTCCATCTACTCTAGAATCAATAATGTCTCCGCTATGCTCTCGACGTGTCTAATGGTCCTCCTTGGCGCCATCTCCCTGTCCTCGTTCCTCTTCACCTCGACGCCTCCACCAGGAACCCTGGCCGTGACCAACGTGAAAGTGTATGCGATTGAGTCTGAAACGCTTCTTGAAATCTGATTTATGTACACCAGCTTCCCGGGCAATGCGCGTCGATACGCGAATAAGTACCAAGACTTTGCCTTCGTCAACTTCAACCTTACAGCGGGTAAAGACGTTGCCCGCCACTTCGAATGGCTTTGCACTGAGACACTTGAACTTATACTGTGCATTCAGATCTCAAGCCATTATTCAACTGGAACACCAAGCAACTCTTCATCTACGTTAGCGCGGAGTATGAGAACAGGCAGGGGGTAAGGGTGGAATGCACCCTTATTCCTGAATTCCATTCCTCATGCTCATTTGCAGACGAAAAACGAGGTCGTGATATTTGATCGTATTGTTCAAAACAAGGAAGATGCATACATCGATATTGCTGGCCGAAACAAATACGTGTTCCGCGATGTGAGCGCGTCGTTCGAGTGAGTACTTCCGGGCAGCTGTAACTTGTCAACATTCGTCTGCCCGTCAAGGTGTCGGAGATGGGTCATATAGCCGCACCTGCCGAACTCAATGACTGAAGCAATCTGAGAACATCCCTCGGTCTGATGGTCATTACTCGGCACCCTGAGGCTTTATGACTTGCAGCATCCTTCGTAGCTCGGCTTGCCATTCAGCGATTCTAGCATCGCCCAAATTCCCCTTCATAGTCGAAGGAGCGGCTGCACTTATGCATTGTGGTCGCTGTGAATGACAGCAGTCTCCTTCCGCTTCCGTTCCTGTTACTCATCACATATGATGATGGTGCTGACGAGTTGTAACCCTATAGGGACTCAACGCCGGCACACTACAGTCTCAAGTACAACGTGATGCCCTACGTCGGGATCCTCACATATGGCGAGGCTGCACGCACTGTCGACCCTGTTCCATTCCCCGAAAGTCAGGATCTCTCGTGACGTGATCCCGACGATTGTTCCCATGTGTCGAATAAGTTACAGGCCATTCTGGGATTTCGCAGCCATGTGTTTTATTATATCATATTGCAGCACCATGCTTATCATGGTGGGAGATTTGACAAGGAACGCAATCGAGCCTCACCCTACTTAGACTGCGCCGACAACAAGACACTTCTTGTCCGCGGCCTTCCCTCCCCTGTGCGAAGCCCGCACCCAACATTCGACTCTCGGTGCGTCGTGTACTTCACATGGACGTGGAACGCGGTGAATGGGAGACGGTATACGCCGAACGTCGAAACGCATGTTTCAACGTACGATGAGCCCGTGACGGGCGTTGTGCGGTCTCGTCGCAACTCATTTACCAGTGCTGTGGCATGGGCACATAATAATGAAAGGCACGATCCGGGGTCCTCGCACGCTTCGTTGTACGTCGTCCATACTGACTGTTTTCATGTACCTCAGGACACGTTCTTCGCTGCCCGAGCCGACCCGCCGGTCGGGGTTGTGCCTGCATGAGTGAACGAAAAGCCGCTGCTCCGACACCGCCTGCCTGCGCAACGTTGCGAGACGGCTGACGCGTTCATGAACACGTGCTGGAGTCTGATGCAAAAACACGCGTTTGGCTGGCCCTTTGTCTTCATGTAGCCGACCACCCAGTGATCACAGTCCCTCTCATTGTTCCCTGCAGTCGACAAACTCATGAAATCGTCATCCACGCTTCCCCATCTCTGGGCTCAACTCCATCGCCGCGAGCGTCGCCGGCCTCCGAATTGGCAAAGCGCGCTTTTAGCCCAACCACCACAGCGATCTTCGCGTTCCGCGTCGAAGCTCGATCACACGTCGTTCATCTCGGATCTTGTTGCAACGGCCAAGGCCCAAGACGATTGAGTGCGATAATGCGCGCCGCGGCCAAGGGCGCTGCGACAGATTTCCGTACCTCCAACTTTGAGGTTCGTGCGTCTGGCTTCTTGCTTCCTGCTTCCCAGAGCGCATCGATAGAGCTATATCGCCGAGCGTGGCCACAATCAGTGCTCGATCAGTACACAGTGACCAGCGCCAGTCCGAGACGGGCTACATGGAAGCAGAGCCCGGACAGCTTCGCATGCACCTCGACACCTTCCGACAGTCCACGGCCGTTCCGAACGCTCTGTCGTATACGCACGTCGTCCGGGCCTGGCGCACTAAGCGCGCCAGGCCCTTACGCTGTTCTCCATGGCCATCTCCCGGGCCTTCTGCGCTCATCGCGCACCCCACGCGTTTCGCCGAACGTGCTTCCAGCGCAAAGTAGAACCATTGCCGATGTCGGTAGCAGACGTGCGACACTAATGCGGGTGCTAGAAATGCCCTCGTTGGAACGAAGTGGAAGAACGCGCGAGCGGCCTCGGTCGCCCAAAGGCCGCATTCGAGGGTCCCATCGGCGGAGAAATCCTGCCTACTGCGGTTGCTGTCCGCGCCGCGGGAGAAGGCCTCGTCGGGTACGCTGCACGCTGTACGCTGTCGCGGGATGTGCAGCGTGCAACGTTGGCGTCCATCGCCATATGCCACCCCGGTGCGTTCCGCCCACGCGAGCGCGCGTGTGCGGTGCTGCGTCGGATGTCGCATCTGCAGCGATCTGCGCGAGAATGGGGACTCAAGCCTCGACGAAGGCTTACGAGGCGCGGACAGGGTTCACTCGACCCCGCAGAGCCCTGAGCCGTCAAGCCGATCTTCACTTTCTGGAGGGTCTAGATCGAGAGCGATCACAGACATAGCATATCTGCGCACACAGGGAAGTGGAAGTCGGACGCGAACTCAGGCCGACGAAGATGGGGTGTGAAGTTTCCTGTGTACCGGTACGAGGCCCACTTTCAGAGAGAGATCCACCTCGAAATTTGCAGCCAGGACTCCGACCTTCGCGCGACGTGCTCTTTCTGGGGCTGGAGCTTGAGATTGAGATCAGAATGGGACGTGCTGCTCGTAGCCCGAGCACGCGAAGGCGAAGCGCACCGCGCAGTCGGGGCGCTCTTCAATAAATCCTGTTTTGTGATCTCCCTTGGGTTTCCCGCAAGGTCACCACAGCCGTGGGCTTCCCGATGCGCTATTGGCAGGAAGAACGGGAAGAAACCGGCACAAGTGCCCGAGGACAGCGAAATGAAGTGCAAGCCGTGCGTTCGCCCCATCGTTCTGATCTTTCGAAGCGCGTGAGCATGTGAATGTCTGGGTCAGCATAAGGCGAATGGCTCTACGACGACAGCTCGTGTGGTCTCGGTACTGGTCATCACGACCAGTCTTTGTGTGAATCATTCCTCTGCGCGTACGTACGCAGTGGCAGGCGCGGATTACTATCTGCCGTTGCGCAGCACGTGAGGAGAGGTTTCAAGATGTGGGTACTATAACTCAAATTGACGTCTTCGAGACCAGAGATGGTGGCGCATGGCAGAGTCGGGAATCGCAAGGGAATATTTGTGTTCCTCCATCGCCCAAGCCGCAATTGGAGTCTGCTGGAAGTTGGTGGTATCCAAATGAACGGCGCGACTTTGTGCTAGCATAGGCGCCCTTCCCCCCCGTTCAGAACAAGGATGTCGATCTTGAGAACATGTCCCAATTGCTGCGATCGCGTTTCCATACGAGTGTTAATGAGAGGCTGGTGCACCTAGCCATTTTCGTCAGGACAATTACCCCAAATGAACCGCGAGGAGCCGTGCTGACCCACGTTACATCTGCGCCGAACTAGAACGACGTCGCCGGCGATTGCGAGCGGTGAAGCCAGTTCATATTTGTGGAGGGAGCACACCACCGACGAGCCTGGCTGGCCTCCACGACATCGTGCATAATGCGGCCCCGCTCAACATTGTCAGCCCCGTGCATGCGAACGGCACTGTGCTATTCGGCTTGGAGTGAGCCCCAGAACCTCTGCGCAGGCCTCAGGAATCGAAGACGTCTCACTTCCTTGCTTGGACAGTCGTTCCTGTAAATTCTCCGACGTCACGCACTGCCACCGTCAATGGGCTGTGGCTGGTGCGCATGAACGATGAGGGCTGTCTGGCGGGGCGATTGAAGTGGTCCGTGGGCCACGATGTGTTGGCGATTCGCGCAGCATATGCTCGGGCTATGACCAGCGACTGCTCCACGAGGCACATGTGGCCCCATCGGGATGATTTTCATAGAACCGAGTGAAGATCTTGCTACATACGTCCAGGGACCACACCAGATCCAAGGAGTTCGGGGCTAACAGAAGCTGGGCCGCGCAAGTGCGTTCCACAGCGTGCGAGCAACCCCCACTGGCCAGCTCGATGCATCCGACGGCGACTTGGGATATAATGCGAGGGCGCACGCTGGGCTCGGCAATCTTGTGGAAGGCTGTTTGGAGAACCTCGTGGCATAGCTTCTAGAGAATTGGGACGGATGAGCCACTGATTGACGTCGAGGCGTCAGAGGGCGTCAGTGCATTGAGTTGCCTTCCGCGTATCGAACCCACTCCGCCGGGCAGTAGGCGGTCCCTGCCTACCGATTGCGGGCATCACCGGGTGGAGAGGGCGATGGCTGGCAAGATGAGCTATAAAGTTCTTCCGAACGGTTGGCCCTGTTTGTCTCACATACATCGCTAAATACTAAAGAAAGGGTCTCGGCGAAGACACCGCCCGGATAGGCAAAATCAATCCCAATGGACGCTCGAAGGACATTCTTGTTCCTTAAGTGCATCAGGCAGGAGACGACACCAGAACAGAAAGGATCTCGCCCATGCCACTGTTAGCGCGCGTTCCCAAGCCACTCTTTCACCCTTGGGACCGCGAAGGTGAACCGTACTCCTCGGGGATCGGGAGTCGCTACGCAGGCCGTCGGCTGGGTGTGGGTAGAGGAAACCCGGCAGAAGACAAAGGAAACCGGAAGCATATCTGTCGGAATCTGGACAAAGACAAAAACGAGAAAGATCGAAATGATAGCGTGGGCCCATCATATGACTGTTGAATTCGTCCAGAATCTAACCGGATTGTGCCCCGAGGCGCCGGCGCTAAGCCTCAACCCTGGACACCTTACTCTTGCCATTTCTCTTCACGTTCATATACGATGGGACCTACAAAGAGTCCGCCGTTTGAACTTTCCCCTTGCCCTCTCTCGGACACCTTTTCTCCTCGACTCACTCCCCCGCTCGGCGTTCAGCCACTTGCGACTCACATCTCGACGTTCTTGCATACTTACCTAATTCGCTCAGCGGCATGTCGGCCCAACCGCTCCCGCAGCTTTGCCAAGGCGCCCCCGACCTCGACGCGGACTCCGACTACTTGGGTACACCTGTCGACCCCCCTTCGTCTTGTCAACCATATGTAGCCGATTATGAGCCGGTCGTTGGATATTATCAGCGCCCGGAAGGCTACGAGAGTCCCGAGTATGCTGGTCACGTCGGGACTCCCTACGCACACCACGGAGACTCCAGGTACATTGGGACATCGGCGCAGTATGATCTGTCTCTGCAGCCTACGGTTCAAGTAAGTCTATTCGGTCTACCATCGTGAGACGCTTCGTCTTTGTTAATCATATCTGTTTTTCAGATATGCAACCAAGCCGATACCTCGATAGCCGTCTACCAGTACATGTCCTCCGGCCATCCGGAGACCTACCAGATGGACGATAGCATTCCCCCATATGCACCACGAGCTCAAGGCGTGTCGTGCAGCATTCCCACCTCAACTCTACCTCTGCCCAGAGGGGCGAGTGGCGTACCTTTACACTGCACTCCACGGTCCTTGCAGTATCCCGAGCACGAAGGTGGCCCAGATAGCAGTGACGAAGTCGGAGTCGTACCGCAGCTTTCCAAACCCAGGTTGCATCAGCCAGGTCTGACCTGTGACACGGTGCGTTGCACCATTAGCTCCACCGAGCCGCGCGGCTGATTATTGTCGCAGACAGTCGGTGACTCCCTAACGGACGCGCGTCCTTCATATCACAGCAACGGCTCTCCCTTATATGTAAACCAACCTGCCTACACTGCCAGGGGCTACTTCGACGAAGGCTATGCGGATTCACCCATCGATGAGGCTTATTGTGATCGGTTCCCAGATCAAGGTACGAGAGCGATTGTATACTACAATCATATCTAACGCTAATGCTAATGCTTCATGACTCGTAGGTGCTTTCTCGTACGAGCAACAAGCTGGGTATAATCACTTGGCGCACCCTGAGCCCCATCCCGACGCACGCTTCTCGCCTGGATCACTGCCTAGCCACAGCAACGTCCAGTTCTACCAACCACCATCGTGCCCTTACTCATATCCCCGTTTCGATCCACCTGACGATGGGTCAGGGTATGGCTCTAGTCCCGTCTCTGCCTCGTCTATTGGCTATGCGTACCCGGCCATTCACGCACCGCGGCCACAGCCTCTACATGGCATCCATACCCTGCACGCCCGCACGTGCTCCATGGACAACGGCTCCCAGTCAATGATGCCTTCTCATCATGTTCTCTCGATTCCGAGTATTCCGGCACCGCCGCCCATATCACGGCCATCCTCTTTGGTCGAGGATAGCCCCAAGAAGCCGTTGACCCTCGCCTGCTTCTTCTGCCGCAAGCGCAAGATTGCATGCCAGAGTCCGCCCGCCAGCTCGCGCGATCGTACGTGCAAGTAAGTGTCACGCGTGTCCATAAGATGAAAGGGCCGTGCTAACCATGTGCTCGCAGTCAATGCGCAAAGCGCAAGCTGAAGTGCGTGTACCCCTCGACTTCGAGGCGCGGCATTCGGCCACGGGTATACGATGTGATTGACGAGCCTTACCGTCGTCCGGCACTCCCTCTCTCGCACTGAACGTTTCTTGGTTTGCCTGCCGCATACCCCGCATTCACGTTGGGTCCGAGCCTTGCCGGACTGTCGGCTCCCCTGCCCACCCATTGCCCATCGTTACACCATCGCCTCATCATCTCCGGAACATCCGCTGAACCGCCGCCCCGGACTGTACATCCTCATCCACTGGTTTTCTCTTCTTACTTATTCAGGCTGTTGCCGTGATGGACACTAGCATCGTCTCACTGTTGTCGTTGTACATTTGATTGCTGTGGTGGCATCCCATCTTTACCGGGACATTGATTGGCCCCCTCTCCCATGTCGTGCCGAGTAGCTTACCTTTTTTGTGACATTCGCTGGTATGCAGTAGTACTTACATAGTATAGCAGGACACCGTTAGAGTTTCCACCGTATCGCTGGGCGTGTAATACCTCTCTTCAGTTCGACCCTGTAATTTCAGAGATCGCCAGGGGACTGTCGAGTCGTCGAAACTGAATGGGAGGAGCTGGTGTGATCTCATACTCGACATGTGTTTATTAAAAAGCACTATTCCTGTCTTGCGTCATCCCTGGCCGCGTGCAGTCTTGCAGCCGAAGGTTTGTGCCAAACCCGAGGCTATAGAAGCCTCCTGCGACATGCTTCGCGCTGCTTTCTGATAATGGACTGACTCCGAACTCGACACGTAAAAGAACCGAGCGTGGGCGCAGGCCGGAATAAGGAACCGCGAGCCCATACCGCCATTCTCCACGAGTTGCGAAAGCTATGTAGGGCCTGCCGAGGGATCTGCACTCGTGACTCCCTAGCCATATTCTCGCCTCCAGAGTAAGACTAATAGCCGTGTGTAACCGCGCGCCGTAGAAGATGCCCAGTGACGGGAACATGCGTCGACATCGACCGTCGTGAGAGTCGAGTGGTGAGTAGAAGACAAGCGAGCGCTAGCGCCCGAGGCTAGAGCGAGTCCGCCGGAAGGGGTTTCTGAGGATGGCCTCTCCCTAAAAGGGAAGTCGCCTGCGCGATCGCATCGGCCTCGAAATCAGAAACCCGTCGGGATATCTGCGCACACCCCATCCGTCCCCAGATACGCCTCTCCCACACCACCCCGAGCGTGGTTCGCACCTTACGTTCGCGGAACCAGATTTGCATTTGCACATACCGTATTCAGCCATGGCGTCTTCTTCCTTGTGGCACTTCGGGGTGCAGATTATTCAAACGCTACGGCATGGCACAGAAGAGGGACAGCTTGGGACGGAACACGGAACTTGTGGCAGATGTTCTCGACATCGACATCGAGCATGGCCGCAGAGGCCGTGGCCCTCGGGATTAGATCGCCTATTCTGTCGGACGAGGCCGACAAGGGGATGTTCTCGCATCTGACATCTTTCCATGAGGGGCTATTCACCAGCTGAATTCGCGCATGTGAAGGGGGAAATACAAATGCGCGAATTCCGCGGAGGAGAGGGAGACAGAGTGGCTACAACGCATAACGCACTCACGAATCACGGCGACGACGGTACACATACATATCGAAAAAGGAGATATCAGAACACAGACAGCGGAAGCGATGAAGAAACCATGCGCAAAAAGTAGGTGCAGTCCAAGTCCGTCGAGAGTAGTGTGTACAGCCTACTCCTGCATCTATACCACAAAATACCTATCACAAGCGTGCGCTATGGTAACGGAACGCGATATTGTAGCACGAGGTCCTGTCCTAGCCAGCCTACAGCACGTCCGATCGATCCCTCGAGTTCGAGCTAGGGACCAGCCTAATCCCGCCTCCTGGTAGATCGGCATCGCTCGAGGTCTCAGACGCGTCCAAGCTCTCTGTTGAGGGCCGGTTCCACAGACTGATGCTCTCCTCGCGGTCCTCCTCGCTTTCGCCCCGCGGGTAATGCCGCGAACTCGGGGAGCGCCCGAAGAAGGGCAGACGGGAAGATTTGGTCGGTGTTGTCGGGCCATGGCGACCGCCAGAAGAGTTCGTCGAGGAAGAAGTGGCGGAAGGGAAGGTCGCCAATGTGGCGGTGGAGGGAAGCCCGTCGAAGGGGCTGCTGGTGAGTGTTGGGCGGTCGAACGGATCAGCACTGTTTCCGCCAAATGCGGGAGGTGCGGTACGGGGTACGGAGCTATCGTTGAGCTCCTCCCTCGACTCGATGGGGGGAAGGTGGACGACTTGACGGCCGGTTGTCGGCGTCTGCTCGCCGTTAGTCCCGACTACGGCTTTAGAGGACCAGCCACCGCTACTGACCGAGTCGTCCTGGACGCTGCCGCTATTGTACCGCACGTTCCTGTGTTCGTGCGTCGCCGAGTCGTCTCCCGTACCGGGTATGTGGTACGAATGTACGACGTCTTGGTCGCCAAACTTGATAGTCTGCTTCCGTTGCGAGAACGGTGAGCCAAGTCCTGATGGATGGGTCATCATCGAGCCCCGATCTGATAGACCGTCGCCTCCCGCTTCCGGGGTAGCCGGCATGGGGTTGTCGAACAGCTGATGCCGCTTCAGACCCGCGAGTGGGTCGTTGTTCTGACCTGGGAGTGGCGGCTGAGCGCTGTACCGGGAGCGGATGGACGCGGAGGCGCGGCTGTTCATGCTCAACCGGCGTGCGCTGCGCGCTCGGATGATGCTGCCCATCGTGCCGAAGCTGCCTCGCAACGCATCGATGCCCGGGTCCTCGATGGCGGACAAGTCCTTCTCGTCTTCGCCGTCGGTGCTGGTTCTTGCCGCTTGTAGCAACATCGTAGAACGCCTGTCGAGCTTCTTTATCTGGTTAGGGTCGATCTTGGATAGTTGTAGCACCGTGATGCCGACGCAGATGACCAAGAAACCCATGACGAGGGTGATGATCTGGACAACCGGCGCTTGCAGTCCTTGGAACAACACGATGGTTGTTACCATTGAGAAAAATGTGACTACGAAAGGTGATTCCGTCAGCTATGCGACATCAGCGGGTGTGGAGTCGACCCACAGATCACATAATATGTTGGTGTGACTTATAGATCATGTCAGTTAAGCTGTAACGGCAGAAGATTGAGGGCACAAACCCATAGCTAGAGGCGCGCAGGCAATCGTTAGCAGAAGGCGCACTAGTGAGGTTAGATCCACTAACCAGTATTGAAGAGCGCCAGCGCCACATTGAGATAGTAAACCTCCGTGACTAGCGGCCGCCCGTGAGTACGACATCCTCACGTCGTATGTCAGGAGCTTACTTAATGTTACAGCGACGAATACCATTAGGAAGTAAATAAACCAGTGCTTGAACTGTTCGCGAGAAACTGTGAGAGACATACTACACATGTGGTCACTTCACTAACCTGGTTGTCGCCCATAGCGGTGGTCACTATTGCAGACCCCAAACCGGTAGTGACGCTGACGCTGATGCCACCTATCATACTGCACACCATGATGTACCATAGCATGCTCTTCTTGCCATATCTTCGATGTAATTAGTAGTAATCCCAGGATGACTGTTGGACAGCACACGCACTTTGGGGCGAAGTAGAAGATGATCACAAGAGCAGCAGTGATGAGAATGCCTCCATACACCAGGAACCCAGGAGACAAGAACAGCTTCTGGAACTGGGTTATCTGTCCTACGGATGCCTCCTGTGGTCCTGTGATTCGAAGGCGTCAGAGAACGCCGAAGTTTGAAATGGAAATATGCTATACCATTGAGCGCTATAATGACGGAACCAAGCTTCGCAGGAGATGGATGAGTGCGGGATACAGGCATGGACATACAGAGGACATACAACGCAGAGACCGCAACCAAGCCAGCCGAAGAAGCTCAATTTTTCCTTGAGGAACAAGGAAGACAAGATGGCGCAAATCACCACTGAGAGTGCACCCATAGGTGTCTAGGAGGCAAGAGCTGAGCTGCGCAGTGGAGCCACACTAATTGCTGACGTACGACGACGATGGCCTCGACGAAGGCATATGCTAAGGTCCCGCTTAGCCGTGTGCTTTCATGTTCCGATATGCTGGACAATGTGACGTACCGGCAAAGTTACAGAGTTCGCCGAGAATCATCACTGGAACCGGGTCAGCGCCTGCTTGTGATCTATCAAGCCGGAGACGTACTAGTCATTCCAGTCCACCATAGTGGCTTCGCAAGGATTAGATATGGCGAACACATAAGAAGGGGATTGTCCACATACCGACTTAAGGTACGCGACACCCTCACCCGCCACTAACCCCTTCTGAGAACGGAGGAGACCCTTCTTCTTGAAGACGAAACTGGAGCCAATGAGGAGACCGCTGGTAACAGCAAGGATGATGCCAACGATCTACGGGGAAGATATGAGAACGGTGAGGATGAGATGAGAGTGACTGCATGCCTTGAGATTTGCGGGGATGGAGATAGAGGCAGCCGCGGTCGAAGAAGCGGAGGCAGCAGCAGAGGTAGTTGACGTAGGGACCGAGGACGTAGACATGATTGAGAATTAGAAGGTCGTAACAGCGTATTTCACCGGTCCAGGAGAGAGAGAGAGCCCCTAGGGGGCGGTCAGGAATGTCGGTCAAAGGCAAGGGTGGGGAGTGAGCCAACAATACCAGGTATACACCGACGAGACTGCCCGTGAACCCGTTTCAGCCGGTTTCTGCGCTGCCACTCCCCATTCGGTAACCGCCCCCCGCCCCCGGCATTCTCAGCGGCCGCAGCGGCCGGGGTCGCCCTCTGATGCGGCCTGCGGCTGCCTGTTGTGGCCCCGAGATGCCGGCCAGTCCGATGATCTGAGATAACGAATCGTATTTGCCGGAGCTGTTGCCGCCGTATTCGCGTTAACAGTTCAACTGCTTCCTCTACTTATCCGAGTTGACTGCGACTGTTGGTTCGTTGCCACATCGACCGTCCCCCTCCCTGTCATTCTGTTCTACCTGATACGACACATCGCACTCTAGAGCGCATCTCGTCCGGTCTCGTTCGTCCTTGCATACTCCCAGCTGTTCACACGGATACTGGCCTTCATATTTGACACGGGCGTCGTGTTATCAACCGTGTAAACGGTCTCGGTCGCGATGCCATGGCTATCTGTTTTGAAAGTCTTGCTTGTCTGACTCCATACGCTATCTTTGCCGCTCCTGGTCTCATTGGCTCCCGTCCGGGTATGCTCACCTTCGATCTTCCGAGAAATGCGCGCGGCGCATGAACTCCGAAAGGTCCATTGCTCTCTTTCATCCCATAGCATTCAGTAAGTCAGGGTGGATGGTGGAGGGCATTGGTCTGCAGGCACGGTCGTAAGTCTTAGTACTGCCGTTGTCACACTTAAGAACCACGGACCGAAGCACTCAGAGCTCTGCGTGCCCCCTCCATGTTAGGGCCAAAGTCATCGTTGTGATGTGCAATTACCTCGCCTTCGCTGCGGTATCCCCACTCCGTTGTCCCGCGGCAGACCATATCCAGGTCTCGACCGAGTAGGAGACAGTTTCACGTTCCTCAAGTGCATCCCATATGAACGTCGGCAGGGCCTGGGTCACTAGGTGAGTCGAACCTTTCTTGCCCGCTCGTGACCGGATGGCAGAAGCACGCTCCAAGCAGTAGACAGACGCAATCGAGACTGGCTCAGGCGACGGCACGGTGCAACGCAGACTACAGGTGAGCCTGAGGCCATGTCGTTGACTCTTTGACTACTCACCTGAAGATCACTCGACGTCAAGCACGCTCATGGCTCCTTCGCGGTCGACCGCGTTTGTTGCTCCTGGCCAAACTTCAAACAATGCGCGTGCTGCGAATCACTGCGCCGCGGTGCCTTGAAAATACCAAACACCATCACCGCGCAGCGCGCAGAGAGCTCTGCAGCTACTTAGACCTGTGGCCTTCTACTCTTCGCGAGACGCAGTCCTCCGTCAGGTCCACTCCAACGGCGCTGATCACACACGCCGTCTCGCTGGAGACCTTCGTGCTCCACGCAACTCGTGCTCCTTGCCAGCACAACGTGCCTCGAATCCCTTTGTCCTATGGCCATCATACGGGCCTATTCCTGTTGGGCCGAAATGGAAGGTATGTAGCTGTTGACATCGAGTACTCGCCCCACATTCTCCACCGAGGCTAACGCAAGCCCGTACGCAGGGTGCCGCCGCTGCAACATAGCCACCATGCCTGCGCGAAAAGGAACGCTGTCACCTACCTCAGTGATGTTCCCACCTGTAACCTCTGCGGTCAAGACGTTGCGTACGAGATGTCATTCGAGGCGCGGAAAGCTCCCCAGTCCCGATCGCGATGTCACCTCGGATACCAGGGGATGCTCGCGATGAACGCAGCATATCAGCCCTGCTGAGACGCAGTCATCGATCGGTTATGCTATGCTCAAAGTTGAAACCGCGGGCAGGACATCTCGGGATGACGGGAGTGCGCTATTCCTGGTCTATGCATCCCGTCACAGCCCTGAACGTGTTCGACAGAAGACAAGAGATTTCGTTCTCGACATCAACGGAGATTGTCCATTTGATACAGCGTAGATCACATATGCGGCGACAACAATGCAAGGCTTGCCACGAAAGTTGAGATCAGGACGATATAGCGCCCCTCTGTTCTCTTCGAGTCGCACGCTACGATCTGCCTTACGGGATGCCGACATTCGGGGGCGTCTCGTATATCACGCCCAAGGCGCGAGGGAAACGGGACGTTCATGTTGAGCTTGGTCGTTCCTTGGTAGGGGCTGTTGTACTGCGTACACTGCCTTGATCTACTAACTTGTACGTTCTAGGACGTCACCATGTCGCGCGGACAACACAATCGGCGGATGGAAGACCTCGATAGAACAGTTTCTGCTGCGCATCGTTTGGGCGCTAGTGCGGCTACCAGCCTCTCCCGAGGATCTGTCCCCAGCCGCAGCGGAGCCCTCCCATTGGCAGGGCCAACGGGCGTGCGTGAATTTCGTGAAACGCTTCCCTCACTAGATCCTCCCACACAAAATGCGCTCTGCCCGTTTAGGTCCGCCAGAAGTGCAGTCTTGCCTTAGTTGGCCATCAAACTCACACCCAGGAGGCAACGCGCTGGACGCCCGGTGCAGGCGCAGCATCCGTCTGCTCCCATGCAGGGTTCGGTATATAACGATCCTGGGTACCGGGGTGGACCTTCGCTGTATTCCGCTCTTCCTGGCCGAAACCATGCGCTCGGTTCTGGCACTCGCAGTGATTCTCGGGTTCTCCTCTCTCATCGCTGCAAAAGATGGTGGCCGTGTAAGTCGCCCTCAGTGTTTGATCTCTGTGGATGACGATTGATGGAAGTCTGCTCGACGTAGGGGAAAGGCATCGACGATGGCAACAGCGACAACGACGACGACGGGTCCAGCTCCACGAGCTCCGCGGCAAGCTCGACGGTGACTGGCACTACTGTATCCGGGGCCGCCGCCGGCTCGAACTCAACGTCGGGCGTGACCACGGGCACGGTGTGCGAGGATTACATGTGCATTAGCGGGACGATCAATGGATCAACAACGACGTGTGAGTCCAGTAGATCGCGCCCTCGCTCATTGGACGTTCTCAACGCGCACTCCCGACAGACGTGATGCAAAGTACCGGGAAGGCGAAGTTGGGTTGGATGGCAGTGTGAGAGCCGCCGTGTCCTCGCGAGGCCATCTCACAACTCATTGAGCTCGTTTAGAGGCTTCGGGCAGACGATGGCCAACACCCCCATGGTCATCATGTGGCCCAACTCCGACGGGTCCATCACTGTGTCACAGCGGCAGGCGCCTTCAGAGGTCATGCCCACGCTCGTGTCGAACCCGCCGCGCGTCGCGACTGCCGATCAGTCCGGCAGCGATTTGACCGGGACACAGCCCAAACTGGCTTTTACCATCGAGGTATGCAGGCCGTTCTCCCGACCGCGCTCGGGGCGCTGTGGCTGTCGTAGCTTTCTTTCCATTCAAAGGCTGATGCTCCACCAACTCGTTATGCTCATACACGGTAGACTTCGGGCGGGACGTCACAGCCAATCATTTGGGCGTTCAGTGACACAAACCCCGACTCCTCTGCTCAGGATGCAACAATCGTACAGCACCTCGACTCCGGACCGACGACACTCGACATGTCCACGCCCGTGTCGAGCAGTAACACTTCAGATCCGGTTAGCGACCCCAACGCGAAGACAGGCGACAACTCGACGCCGATGTTACAGTACCAGAAGATGATCGTTGCGCACGCGCTGCTGTGCACGATCGGGTTCCTGATCCTGCTCCCAGCGGGCGCGCTCCTGGCGCGCTACACGCGCACTTTCCACAATGCCTGGTTCAGGGGCCACTGGGTGTTCCAGTTCGCTGTCGGTGAGTGTTGTACTGCCCCCTGCGGGCTTGTCGGACGTGGAGGCGCTAATCGTTTATTGTTCATGAATTGTTTCACAGCGGGTCCTGTCATCACCGCGGGCATTATATTGGGCATTGACGCTGTCGCGACACAGCCGTCGGCACAGTTGGCGGACACGCACAAGAAGCTCGGTCTCGCGCTTTGGATAATCTACTATTTCCAATGCGTGCTGGGTTTCGTCATCCATCGTTGGAAGCCGTTGTCTTGGACTGTCGACAAGAAACGTCCGGCACAGAACTACGGGCATGCAGTCCTTGGTCTTCTAATTGTTGCTCTTGCGTTCTATGAGGTGGGTCAGCAAAAGTCCCGCAGTCGGTCTGATTGTTGACAGCTTCCTCTAGGTACGCATTGGATTCCACCATGAGTGGGACACCCTCTCTGGAAGACCACCAATCGGCAAGGGTGCCGACATCGTTTGGTATATCTGGGTTGCGGTATGCTATGTCTTCATTGGTATCCGTAGTCTCGCGAACTCAGACGCGTTCACCTACAGCTCATTCCGATCGCATACTTGGCTGGACTCGCGCTCCTTCCCAAGCAGTTCCGGCAGGAACGTCCCAGCATGAAGGCCTCCCAGTCAGAGTATCCCCTGCAAGAAGGTTACACCGACGAGGGCCGCTATACCGACCGTTTCTGAAAATAATCGCCCTCTGACAGAGAAGCATCTTCGTTTCTTGTCAGTATGTCTTCGCATCTTCGCATGACGCTGAGTCTACGACTATGATACCAAGCGTGCGACATAGGAAGCTGCTCGGAAGCATTGCTCCGGCTCTGCCTTTGTTCTAGACTACAATATCTTGGATGGACGATTTATGAACTTGATGGCATGATAGTTGATGTCTGGCTAGACTCCTGCTGTAGAGCTCTCTGCGGACATTCGGTAGGCATTATTGTAGCGTATATAGTAGTAGTTCGAGGAAAACGGACATCCTAATAGATGCTCAGTATATTTGTTTTGCATCCGGTCACCTTCTAGTTTCGTTCTGCTTCTCAATCCGGTCCATTCCATTAGTAAGTCGCCGTGGACCATTCGAACTTATGCGACAGTTGCAAGCAATGATTGGAAGATGACGTTGCAGTGAGTATCTTTTCGCTCCATGCCGTGTGTAATTCTACTGACACGGGTGTACTCTGGCCAAGCTGCGCATTTTATACCTTCCATTGAATGTCCCTATCGATGGGCGAAGTTACTTGGGCAAGGTTAAGAGGTGACCTTCGCACTGAAGATCTGTGAATAAGAGATCTTGAATGTATGTTGAGCTCTCGTTCTTCTTTACTCGCCGGTTGAACGCAAGTGAGCATTTGACCCTTCTCACGCACGGAACGTCTTCTCACGCGAAGTTGGCCAACAGACTTTTGCTCGATGGCAAATGCTGACCACGACGTGAGAAGCTATGCGCAGCTTCCCACCTGCGGGACGGTGGGAGCAGCCCTGAGCGGGCGTGTCCAACACCTATATCGTTCGGGAATTTTGGAGTGGACAAATCCCACCACTGGGACTGGCTACCTTATAAACACCTCAGATGTGCGAGGACTTCATACAGAGCTGGTACGCCTTGACATCTATCCCCTGCTTGGCAGAGTGCTATACCTCGACATTAACGTGTACTCCGACAGACGTTCGCAGACGATAACACGTCCTCCCCACCGCCCTCGCCATCTTTATTGCACGCGCGTATCAGGGTGCCACCCGAGACTACGGACAGTCCTTCCATACCGTAAGGTCACTATCGCCTAGCGCCTGCCATGGCCCTCGATATCGTCATCCCGCTGCTCCCATTCGAGAAGTACATTATTGCGCATGCGATCCTCTGTGTGATCGGCTTCTTGGGGTTGCTGCCTCTCGGTGCTCTCGTCGCGCGCTACACGAGGACGTTCAGCCCGAGCTGGTTCACTGCGCACTGGATCATTCAGTTCGCCCTCGGTACGTCCATTCTTCTATCTTCGGTCGTGTGCCCCCGGCCCTGCTCGTGTCTGACGCAGTCGTGCGCGGACAGCGGGCCCTGTCATCATCGTTGGCGTGTCGATGGGCATCCACGCCGTCGTCCTTGCTGAGTCCGGCCCCATCAACGACGTGCACAAGCAATGGGGGATCGCGATCTTCGTGCTCTATCTCGCGCAGCTCGCGTTCGGGGCTTCCATCCACTACTTCAAGCCGAAGGCGTGGGCGAGGGGAACCGGCCGGCGCCCGTTCCAGAATTACTTCCATGCGGTGACGGGTCTGCTGCTCATCGCGTTCGCCATGTACCAGGTGCGTCCGACCGCAGCAGTGCTTCCCGCAGCAGCCAACTGACGAGGTGTGGTCGTACCTTCCGACACCCTTATTGGCTCCGTCCCGTTTCCATGTATCCACTTGGCAGGTCCGCACGGGGTTCCGCACGGAGTGGCCTCTGCAGACGGGGCGGGGGCCCATCTCGAACGGAGCGAACGTCTTCTGGTATGTTTGGATCGTGGTGAGTGTGCTGTGCCTTCCGTGCTGCGCGTCACAGACATTGATCGGCCCACTACCTGTTCCCTAGCTTCTGCCGGTCGTGTACTTCGCAGGGGTCATCTTCCTCATTCGACGTCAGTTCGCGCTAGAGAGGCAGGCGCGGATGGGGGACACTGGCTCAACGGAGCCCAACGAACCCATGGCTCACCAAGTGGAGCCCTCGACGGCGACATCAACAGGCAAAGCGCAGTGAGAGGCCAAGGTATTGATTCAATCGAGCTGTCAGTAGGACGACGGATCCTGACACCGTGCGAAGACGGAGCGTCTCCTGTAATAACGTGCTTACGACATGAAAGGATCATAGCAAGTAATACTTGTGGACGCTGTTGACTATTACTGTATCTTCCTATTTCTCTTGTACTACGAGTTACTTTGAAAGTTCCCGGCATCTTCGCCGCGAATGTGCTTGCTATCCCATGTCCGACAACTCGAAGACATTGGGTGCCCATTTGAGTGCCCGTTCAAAGGCAAATATTGGCATACGGCTGACCTAAAAGCACTAGTGGCACATATTGTAGGCGAAGAAGCCCATGTGCGTCGTAAAACCCGTAAGCGTTGTTCTCCGGTTCGGAGTACCTGTGAGTACGTAGTGCGACGCGTGAGGGGGGGACGCGATCAGGTGACGAGGGACGAGACACGGGCGCCTTTGTGATGGGTGGGCGCTGGTGTTGGAAATGGAATGCGGATGTTTCTGGCTGGGCGGCTCTTGCACATCGACGTTGCCCTCTCCAGTCTCCCTCTCCCGCCTTTCCCGCCTCTCCCGCCATGGCCTCTCCGCTGGACCTCTACGAGCCTCTTGATGTTGTCGGTAACGGCTCTTTTGGCATCATTCGCAAGGTACGACGGAAGGCGGACGGTCTCGTAAGTGTCGCTCCAGCAACTTCACCACATTTGTGGCAGACAAACGCCAGTAGTCTGAACCCGCGGGTGGCTGGCAGATCTTCGCGCGCAAGGAACTCAACTTCGAACGCATGACAGAGCGCGACCGCAAGCAGATTGTTGCTGAAGTGTGAGTGTCTCGCCGTCGTACCACCCGACCACCGCACCGACCTCCCCTTCTTCTAGTAACATCCTCAAGGATCTCCATCACGAACACATCGTACGCTATCACGACCGACACGTTGACCGCGATGCAGGCATCCTTTACATCCTCATGGAATTTTGCGGAGGCGGCGACCTCTCCACTGTCATCAAGCAAGCCCAGCGCCATAACCGACTCATCCCCGAAGACACCATCTGGAACTATTTTATGCAAATCCTCCTCGCGCTCAACTACTGTCACCACCCCAATAGCGGACACGGGAGGACAAGTAGTGTGGGGACGCCAGACAGCGACGGCAAAGAGAAGAGGGCACAGATTCTTCACCGTGACTTGAAGCCGGACAACGGTACGTAATCTTCTCTATCGTGCATAGTCGCCGTCTCTTGGGACGTACCTTTGCGTTACACGAAGAATAATTCTGAGTATGTCGCCTACAGTGTTCCTTGATGAAGGCAACCTTGTCAAGCTCGGTGACTTTGGTCTCTCGAAAGCCCTCCCACAAGCCAGCTTCGCCCAAACATACGTTGGGGTATGTATCATTCACTCATGGCACCACGAGGTCAGAGCACTCACCTGTTCTCCCAGACGCCATACTATATGTCCCCAGAACTCATGCAAGAAAAGGCGTACGACTCAAAATCAGACATCTGGTCATTAGGATGCTTGGTTTACGAGCTGTGCGCACTCAAACCACCATTCCATGAAGCGAAGACACACGCAGAACTCAGCATCCTTATCCGGTGCGGTTGCCCGCGTTCACTCGCTGTATGGTCCCTCCCTACTCACTCGTGAATCGTGTAGCAATGGTCGCATACCTCCATTACCGAAGGGCTACAGTCCAGCACTCACCGCCGTCATCAAGTCGATGCTCAACCTCAACGTAAGCTTCGCGTACTCTTACTGTACGTGGCGAAGCTGAGTCGCTTCTAGCCCGCCATGCGTCCGTCCGCTAGCCAACTCCTGCAACACGAGCGCATCGACCTCGCGTACAAGGTCTTCGAGACCCAGAAGATGTAAGTCAGACCTACCGCCTCCGGTCGGGCCTTCCGCTAACGCAGCAAGTCATGCAGGCTCAACACCGTCAAGTCGCATAAGAGCAGCCTCCTCGCAAAAGAACGCGACCTCGTCGCACGAGAAACGACCCTCGCCGAGCGCGAGGCGAAGCTCGCTGCGGTCGTCGCGCAGAAGGACGAGGAGCTCGCGTCGCTCCGCACCGTGCTCGCCACCGCGGAGTCCACACTGCAGCAGCGCGTCCGGCAGGCCGTCGCGCGGCGCGACGAGGAGCTGCGCGCGATGGTGCTCAAGCAGGAGCAGGAGGTCGCGGAGCGCATGACGCGCCGCGAGCAGGAGATCATGGACGCCGTCAGGCGGCGGGAGGAGGAGATGGCGCGGATGTGGGCTGAGTGGGAGCGCCAGACGAGGGAGGGCATGGGCCGCGCCGTCGAGGAGCGCATGCAGTGGGTCCAGCAGCGTGCGGAGGAGCTCGAGCGTGAGCGGCTGCAGCTCGACGGCGTGCGGCGCGAGCTCGACGCGAAGATGAAGGCGCTGGAGGCTGCGCCTGCGGTCACGGGGGTAGGGGAGAGGAGGACGAGGTCAAAGAACCCGCTGGAGGAGGTCAAGAACATCATGGCGCCCCTCAGCCGTCTGGCGGACTCGCCGGAGCCGATCAGGGCCGCGCCGTACAAGCTGCCCGAGTTCAAGACGCCGATGCCGACCAAGTCGGTGAACCTCGACCTCGAGATGGCGCCGCCGTCGGCGATGAAGGGCGTCATCCTCACCGCGACGGGCGAGCCCGTCGCCACCCCGACCCAGGCCGAGCTCGCGAAGCTGTTCGTGGAGACGCCCAGGGTCGGCCTGAACTTCGCGAAGATCTTCGACTTCGACGCGGAGGAGAGCGGCGAGAGCGAGGGCGAGCTCGACGAGGACGGGTACGAGACGGACAGCAGGCCGCGCGGGAGCAGGCGGGACAAGGACAAGGACGCGGAGGAGTCGGACGGCGAGAGCACGCCGACGCAGTCGACGGCGAGCAGCACCTCGAGCGCCGGAAACGCGACGCTGACGGCGGCGCCTGCGGTGAAGCCGACCCGGCTACGCCGCCCCTCCATTCGCGCTGCGTCTGCGTCTGCGGCAGTGCGCTCGGCGAGCGCCGCAGTGGAGGCGGGGAGCTCGTCGTCGAGTTCCGCGCGCAACAAGGTGAAGCGTGCAGCCTCGACGTCTGCCGTGACGTCTGCGTCTGCGTCTGTCGCCCCCGCCAAGACGGCCGCTGCGTCGGTCGCATCGCTCGCGCAGGCACCAGAGCCGAAGTACGATTCTAATGACGTGGAGAACCTGCCGAGCCCGTTCCTCAAGAAGGTGGAGGACCGCGCGGCGCCTGCACCAACCGCGAGCAAGCCCGCGACGGCGGCGAGAACGGGCCCGAGGAAAAGCGGGACGACGTTGCGCGCGATGGCGGCGATGAACGCGGCGAAGGCGAGCTCGCGCGCACCGTCGTCGAGCGCGAGCATGGGGAACCTAGCGGGCAATTCTGCGTCGACGGCGGTCCGGTCGTCCATCGCGAAGGCGCAGAGGGCGAACGAGGAGGCGCGGAAAGCGCTGGGAACGCGAGCGTGACGAACGTCCTCATGCGATGTGAAAGCGAGGCAGCTCGCTAGGACATGAACAGTTACGACTTGCGCGTGCAGAACTCTGTGCGCGCGACTTGAATGCTCTCCTGGGACACCCCTTACGCTGTCGACGGTGATGATGTTTCTCCACGAGTGCTGCTGTTGTTCGTTTGACGGCTGACCAGCTGTTGTTTGGGATACGCGCGATATACGTAATGTTATATACCTTTGGGTCTGTGCATATGATCACTGTACACTACTACTACACGATCTGCAATACTGTTTCGTGAGTAAGTAGAGGAGTCATTTGGCTCTGGGTGGTCGGACCGGAGGAAGGTGGGCCTGATCCCGATGAGTGGCGCAGGCCGCGGCGGCTGCGCGAGCACACAGCTCTTCGCTCTATCCCGCGACTGGATTGGATGTCGATTTGCTCAGGACGAGGCTGGCACATGGCATCTCTGGGCACGTTGCTCTCGACGCGCCAACCCCGCCGGTCAGGGCACCGTTCTAAGCTCTGGTGCCGCGCGAGCACGCTGGGGACGATCGATATGCGCACGAAGGCTATCGAAGAAGGCCAGGGAGGCATATGGAGACTTGGGTTCCAGAACCGAGCAGCCGCGCCGTATGCGCCCCAGTGCGCGTGCTATCATCCGGCCACCGAGGGCGACATAAGGTTGTCGTCGATCGCGGACGCCCCGACCTAATTATCTGCGCCCTGCAGCCCTCCCCGTCCTCCCCTCTTCATCCGCTGTCGCGACGCCCTCGAGCTCGCTGTCCTCGCTAGCCCAGCTGCTCGTCCAGTTCCCTGTCCCGCCACCCGAAAGCTAATCAGCCATGCGTACGACCGCCTCCTCGCGGCTCATCAAGCGACCGTACTGATTGGCATCCATTGGGCAGGTCTCATCATCCGCGACGACCCTGCCGCTGTCGGCGAGTACATCGGGAACTACATCGCCAAGCGGTATGTGGCCATATGTATCCGTGTTGGTCCGCCGTGCAAGCTCGCGAGGCTGATCGGCCCCGGGCAGCATAAACGCGTTCAACCCGACGCCCGAGAAGCCGTTCGTCCTCGGCCTCCCGACGGGCTCGTCCCCCATCCCGACGTACAAGCACCTCATCGGGCTCGTCAAGGCGGGCAAGCTCTCGTAAGTGTTTTTTTTTCACCCCTCGCCCTCCACGCACAGCACGCGCGCGGCCCTGCTGACGGGACGACGGGCGGACGGGCAGGTTCAAGAACGTCGTGACGTTCAACATGGACGAGTACGTCGGCCTCCCGGAGGACCACCCCGAGTCCTACCACACCTTCATGTTCCGCGAATTCTTCTCGCACAGTGCGTAGCCCCCCACCTCTCTTTCTCATCCGCCCCCGCTTCGCGCGCGCTCCGACGTTGACTGCGAGCCCCCTCCTTCCCTCCCCCGCGTGCGCGCAGTCGACATCCCGCCATCCCAGGTGAACATCCTGAACGGGAACGCAAAGGATCTCATCAAGGAGTGCAGGGAGTACGAGGAGAAGATCAAGAAGCACGGCGGCATCGAGCTCTTCCTCGGCGGCATCGGCGAGGACGGGCACATCGCGTTCAACGAGCCCGGTAAGTCACCCCTTCTCCGCCTCCCCCTGCTGCTGCTGCACCCGAACCTCACACCCACGCGCACCGCCGCGCCAGGCTCCTCCCTCGCCTCGCGCACGCGCATCAAGACGCTCGCGTACGACACCATCCTCGCCAACGCGCGCTTCTTCAACAACGACGTCGCCGCGGTCCCGCGCATGGCGCTCACCGTCGGCGTCGCGACCGTGCTCGACTCGCGCGAGGTCGTCGTCGTCGTCACCGGCCAGCGCAAGGCCCTCGCGCTCTCCAAGGCCATCGAGGAGGGCGTCAACCACCTCTGGACGCTCTCCGCGCTCCAGCTGCACCCCTGGGCGCTCATCGTCGTCGACGAGGACGCCACCGCCGAGCTCCATGTCAAGACCGTCAAGTACTTCAAGTCCATCGAGCGCGTGCAGGACGAGGTTGAGGCTACCCACGCAGCGCTGGCGAAGCAGGGCGTCGACGAGCCCGTCGGCAGCATGGAGTGAGTATCTTCACTCTCGTAGATATCGTCGTTTACAGTATATACTGGGACTACAAGGGGCTAGGAAGAAGTGAGGAAGTCAGCCTGTAATATCCAATGGACGTACCTATCTCTTGGCGGACTGCAATCGTCACCGCATGTAACACAAACACGTTTGTCCGTCAATATCGCATGCAGAGGCTACCGGTGCATGATAGTCGGACAGAAGACAAGAATCAAGTGAAAAAGCATGTCGTGTTGGTCATACGCTGTACATAGTTTTGCGTCAATAAAAAGGCGTGAGGATGGGCATGTCAACATGGACATGGACTCCAGAGTACAACACAGCATTGCTGAACAGCGACCAGTAGTGGCGACACCAGAAGACTAGCAGTCCCTAAGACGTTTATTCCCAACCACCAGTACCCGCAGGCTCCGCACCCCATCCGGTAGCAGCAGGCTCTGCTGACCAGTCAGTGGGACCAGCGGCAGCGGGCTCCGCAGACCAATCGAGGCCACCTTCGTGTCAACCCCGTCAGTACCATCTTGAAACAAGTCTACAAGGATATACTCACCCTCGCCGGCAACCAAACCGGGGTTAATACCACCCGCTTGAGGAGCAGAGGTGACGTCCCAGTCGGTGATGGGCGCCTCAACCTGCTCGCCGGCAGTGGCCGCAGCCTTCGCGGCGGCCTCCTCCTGTTGCTGCTTCTCAACCTCCTCGGGGTCCCGATAGAAGAACATGTCGACCATGACGTTCCAGCCATCGGACGTGCGGGGGATGGTACCGCGAAGACGGAGGACCTCACGGGCAAGGAGCCACCAAGCAAGACCGACAGAGTGACGAGACTTGTTGTTGATGGGGATCGCGACGTCAACGAACTTCAGGGGAGCGTCAGTGTCGCAGAACGCGATGACGGGGATGTTGACGTAAGAGGCCTCGCGGATAGCCTGGTGGTCAACGCGGGGGTCGGTGACGACGATGAGACGGGGCTCCTTGAACGAGCGGGTGATATAATTGGTAAAGCTACCGGGGGTGAAACGGCCAGCAATCGCCTGCGCGCCGGTGTTCGCGGCAAACTTGAGGACGGCACGGTGACCGTATGGGCGGGCAGAAATTACACAGACATCGTTCGGGTTTTCGATGGCAGCGATGACACGAGCGGCGAAAACAAGCTTCTCCCAGGTCTTTCCGATATTGATGATGTGAGGGCCTGAACATCGCGACGTAATTGCGTTTGAGCCATGCTGCCCGCAGAGGGCATTCAGATTTCACTGACCGTCAGACCTCCGCTTCCAAACGTAAGGAAGCATCTGCTTGTCGCAGTTCTTGCTGCCAATGTGCGACTGAGCCGCGAGGAGAAGCTGGATCTCCTCATCGGTGGCACTGAGGACGGAGGGGAGTTTTGACGACATGGCGGACCTGGGGGAAGGAGGCTATCAACATCTAAACCTCGCACCTGCCATCCAGCCCAATCCCATTGGCCATTCCTCCCGTACTTCCGCCACACCAACATGAAGGTAACACTCACCGCTGTGGGTTTGTTTTGAGGACGTCGGCGCGGGCGACGGGCAGTCTTTCGGGCGACTCTTGTGCGTTGCGGTACACGGCGACCAGATAGTCTGCCCGCACACTCGTCGAGCCCCCGGCAATGGCCGGAGGCGGCTCCGGGGTCCCGCGCAACGAAGTGCCTATTTGGTATATACTCCCTTCCGGCGCTTCCTCACTTCGCTGAAGCCTGCGCTGGACAGGACACTACCCTCCGACAGCGGCATGATTCCTCAACTGTATTGCAATGTACTATCTTGAATACAGCTCTCATCATGCAAACTGATACATTCTTATGCTGCTACTCGAATTGGTTGCGCAACTCGTTCCTCAGCTCTGATATCTCGTCAGGTCCAGTCTTGCAGCATCCTCCTACAGCGATTCCTCCCCATACTCCGTCCCGAGCGTTGTCCATCACCGCAGCGCATAGGTGCGTCGCCCATCCAGACACGCCCTCCCTCTGCCCCAGCCAAGAATGCGTCTCTGGGTTGTAAACGTCGCCGCCGTTCGGATACAAAACCAGCCATGGTTTCACTCCGTGCAACTCCCAGGACCGCCTCGCCACGTCTCGTGCCTCCTGTAGCAGCGGCGGTAGAAATTCTGGACTGGTGCAGTTGATTCCGAACCCCCACGGGACACTTAGCCGCTCGTCCTCACCGAGCAAGGCAGCTTCCGCGACCTCGGCAACGGTCGCCTGTCCTCCCCCAGGTTTCATTTCTGGATAACGTCCGTCGGGGTATACGGTGCTGATCCACCATCGCTTCATCGTGTTCACTTCAGACGCGCCGGATCGTGCCACTTGCTCCAGCCCTTTCGTCTTCTGTAGTTTGGCTACCGCTCGCCTTATTCCTGTGATCTCCCTGCGTAGGGGTACCGTCTCGAAGGCGACGAAATCTATCTCATCCCACACCTCCCTGTTTTCGGCGAATACTTCCAGCCGTTCGTAGTGGAACTCTTCCAGGGCTTCTATCGCCATGCTCAGCTGCTTTAGCCCTTCCTCGGTGTCGCTGAATACGTTCGACTCGAAGGCGCCCGAAGAAGCTGGTCCGAAAGGCGGAGGATAGAATCCGTTGAACTCTTGTGCCGGAGAGAGAGTGCCTCCATACGGACCCAGGGATAGAGCAATCTTCACCCTCCGCGATGGCTCCGCGTCGGTCCCACCGTTTTGTCCTATCTCCTGGAGGTACCGCCGCTTGGCCTCGATTGCTAATTTGACTGCTTCAAGCATGAGGCGTTTCGCGTCTTCGCGCGAGTATCCTGCTATCTCGTACGTGCGATATGCTGCTTGATACCTATTGCGGTGTTATTTTCTTTTCTGTTTGTCTCCTGAATGAGAGAGGTCGAACCCACGTGGATGTGGTGATGACATCCACCCCCGCGCGCAGGAATGCTAGATGCGCGGAGATGATTGCCTCGGGGTCTTTGTCAACTGGAGTAGCAGACCATAACGGATAACCGAGCTTCTGGCGGAAAACATCTTCGAGCGTCGTGCCCTGGACGGACAGTGATGTCATGTCAAGAGCGAGCATAACGAGTTTCTCTCATTTACCAGACCGCCATCTAAGAGGAGGAGTGGGGGCGCGGGGAGCGTTGCCATAGCTGAGGCTGAGTAAGGACAAGGAGGAGCAAGAGGCACAACGAAGTCTACAGCGGTTGAGGTTATCGTGTCTCGCGCGCACAGGCATACCGCCAGTGGTGTAATCGATCGCGTAATCGTGATGACGATCCCTGCTACAAGGCTGAACTCTACCACATATAAGCAAGTACTACTTTCCCGACGAATATCTTCGAGCGTACAAGCCCTGCTTACGAATTCGAATGTTTCACCCCTGCAATTACAGGACTGCATATTTGTATCGTAACTGCAAAAGCGAGCACGCAACTGCCTGCGTGCGTGGCTACGTAGCATGTTACGCCCAGTTGCAAACCTCTCTGATCAGGCCAATGCACCCGCGAGACCGTGCCCCGTGCCCCGTGCCCCTCCGGCCACCCATATATAACTCACCTTTCAGGAAGATCCTAAGGTCTCCTTAGTCACCCTTAGCGATCGCTATCAGTACAACATGTCCCTGCATCCAGAATTTGCAGCAGCTTTCGCAGAGCTCCAGGCGCATGCAGCTGCGGCTCAGGCAAACAACTCAACGGCAGCAGAGCCTGACTTGCTATCGGAGCGAGCGCGGCTGGCACAGGCGGCTCGCCACCTCCAGGCGGTCTACGCAGGGGATCTGCCTCCGGGTGAGTCTTACCCCGTTTCCACTTGCTTTCGGCTGCGACTTGACAAATATTCCTCATGCTTGATACTTCGTCTAGAGTCCACCTACACGTTTGAAGATCATAAGGTACTAGTCGAGAATGGCGAGATTAACGTGCGCGTTGTCGTGCCGACCTCCGAAGACAAGGAGAAGACGTTCCCCGTGTTAGTCTGGTTCCATGGTGGAGGTAAAGTGATTGGCACATCTTCTTGGACTATGGCCTCATCCTGTGTGTCCGTCTACAGGTTGGGTTGCCGGAGATGTGTCGTTCGATGACTATCAGCTTCGAACCTTGTCGGTCGAGCTCCAGGTCGTCACAGTCAATGTTGAATACCGGTTGAGTCGATATCCTGGATCCCTAGAAAAGCTCGTCTAGGACTGACGTCTAACCTCTTGTTTGCAGACTGGCTCCCGAGCATCCGTTCCCTGTATCCCTCAATGATTGCCTGGCAGCCCTCAAGTGGGTGGGTATTGGAGTTGCCCTAGTCGCCAGTAGTGATTGCGCCACCGACTAACCGTCGAGGACAGACTGTGGAGAACGCCGCCTCCATCCACGTCGACCCGTCCAAGGGCTTCATCATCGGCGGCGACTCCGCAGGGGGCAACTTGACAGTGACTCTCGCTCACGTCGTTCGGGATCACCCGTTCTTCAAGGACCACCCGCTCACAGGTCAAGTTCCCCGTGAGCCGATGATCATCCATCCGGATACGTACCCAGAAGAGTAAGCACCAACGTCTCCGTCAATAGATCATCGCATCATCAGTCTCCCTGCCTGTACTCTATGCTGAACCTACTCTACATCGACAGGATCAAGGCAGAGCTCTGCGCCATGGAGGAGAATCGTGCTAACCCGACTCTGACCAAAGATCAGATGCTGTTCTACGCATGTGCGCCTCCTTCGTTTTCCTTCCAGATTCCGCTCTCATCTAGCTGACTACGATCGTGCTTCACCATCTTCTAGCCCTATACAACCCCCCTCGTTTCGACGACCCACGCGCCATGCCCTACTTTTTCCCCTCGCACGCCGGCGTCGCCCCCGCGTACATTCAGTACAACGAGCGCGATCCCCTCCGGGACGACGCAGTCGTCCTCGAGAAGCTTCTCAAGCAGGCCGGTGTCAAGGTCAAGATCACGATGTACGTCCAGCCCGTCTCCTTCCGCTTCCCTGACTGCACCTGCAGGCTCCTAGTGCTCGCAGGCTTGCTCACCACGCTTGCAGGTACCCAGACCTCCCGCATGCTTTCCACTACTTCGCGCCTCACCTCTTCATCTCGAAGCAGGTATTCCGGGACACGATCGAGGGCGTCAAGTGGCTCTTGGCTGGTGCCCTCTGAGAAGTCCTCTGAAGCGTCCTGTCGGAAATACTTATATGAACCATTGGCCCGCGTGGTGTTGACTGTCTACACAATCAAGAAGGACGAAAATGAATCAGGAAACTGTACAAGTAGATAACGACATTGTGATTTGTTTCCAAGTGGTGTACACGATATTTGAACATGTCTGGTATCGTTTACATGGACTCGTAATTATTGCAGAAGACACTCGGTCACTTCACCGTGACCAGGAATGGTGATATGTCCTGACACTGTAAGCCCTCACGTCTGCGTCATTGTGCGCCGCTTCTATCAGCGAAAAATATCCAGGGGCAGTAGCATCGGTCACACGTACTAGCCATTGCCAGAAGCGCTCGATCCAATTGCGTGGTTTGGGCTCTTCGTAGCTGTAATGAGGATATGTAAGTAAGCGCCTTGGCAATCGTTCCAAGCCACGTACGACGCGTCCAATACTTCTTGAAGCCCTGACTTGAAGTCCATCTCGGCATACGGCATGAAGGGTATGCGCGTCCACAGCTTTGCGCCGGCATATAGCACGCAGAACGCAGCAATTGGGAAGTAGTTTGTCACAAACGTGTCGGTGCGCCAATGTCCCTTGAGAAAGACAGACCATCCACTGAACTGAATTTGATAACGATTGGCGCAGAACATGAATAGCCTGAACCGCCATAAGGGAATAAGGGAATTGGGCATGATGCACTTACTAAGATGACCACAGCACAACCGACGGCAGCGTACCATGCGGTAAACGGTTGGAAAGGCGAGCGGTAGGGTAGTCTCTTCCGGTCAATGCCTCGAACCAGAAGACCGCGGTAAAATCGCAGATAGGTGATCGCAATTCCGAGCCAACTGGAGAGGCCTGCCACAGCGCACCTGAGGGAAGGATCAGCTTATATGCGCACCAATATCTCGCGACTCCTCACATGTTCGCAAACCAGCCGAAAACCTTCCCACTACCGCTTTGGATACCCATGTACGCCAGCAAAGCGAAGGAGGCGGACGTACACAATGCTACCCACGGTAGGCCGTAATGAGTAACCTTCAAGAAGATTTTTGGGGCATTGCCGTTCAACGCCAGACCGTCTAAATTCCGTAATGCTAGTCGGCGATGCGCTCGTACATAGACGGGGAAACCTACTCACAGAGTGCACGGGAACTGACGTATAGCTGACTGTTTCCTGCAGACCATGCCGACGTGAGGATGACCGCGTTGATAATCTGTAAGCAACCCGTGCATCAGCAAGGCAAACTGATGGTGTCAGCGGAAAGGTCAAATCGCACTGAGGGAAGAACCTTGATTCCAGCGTTGTTTATGGCAATTACAAATGGTGAAGCGGCCGCTGTTCCGTCGGCGATGTTCAGCCTCTCGTCGGTTGATGGAACCAATAGGCCGATGATAGCAACACCGCCGACATAGAACAAGAGCAGCCTGATGTAGACATTGCGAATGGCTTTTGGAATGCTTCTCAGTGGGTTCTTGACCTCTGCCCCAGCGATCTTCGGATAGCGAGTTTGATTAGTGCATGCTGGCTAGGTATCGCTGAAGCTTACCGCCACGACCTCCGTTCCTATGAACGAGAACGCTGCTTGCAACATGACAGCAACGAATCCAAGGGACTGTCCTTTGATCCCCGAAATGCCATCGAACTGCACGAACGGCCCAGGATTTCTCCAGTACCGGAAGCCAATGCGGTCGTGACTGGGGCCACCACCCAAGTCGAGGACAATACCGAGGATGATCAACCCAGTGATGGTGATGACCTTTATGGATGCGAAGATGAACTCGGCCTCCCCGTATACACCTGATGTGTATATTGATGTTTCGAGCAGCAGAGGAAGTACGACGTGGGCCTACCGACGCCGAAGACGTTGATCAATAGCACGACTATGAGGCACATCGTAATCCAGACGGCAGGATTCACTGTCTTGTTCCTGAAAAAGGGTGTCTTTGCACAATGGGCTTGGCGAATTCTAGAGATGCAGCATACCAGTAACTGATTACGACAGATGCAGCGCTTAGCTCCGCCGGGAGGATAATCGTCCAGTTGTACCCTACGTACCCATGTATAGGAAGTCACCGCTTGAAAAATGACACAAGACGTACAGTATAGCCAGCCCAGAGAGAATGACAGGGCCGGGTCCACGAATCGTTCCGCGAATGTGAGGTGTCCTCCAGGTACAGGCAGGAACGCTGCCATCTCTCCCAGAGAAACCTATTGACATGGCCTTAGCGGGCTGCTATGCTGGATATTTGACTGCTCACCATGACTGTGTAGCATAAAGACCCGACGACAATGTATCCAAGCAGCATGCCGACAGGCCCACCACTTTGCAACGCACTTGCCGTGCCGAGGAATAGACCAGTGCCAATGATGCCTATTGTGGTGTCATGGGTGAGCTGGAGATACTATAAAGAAAACAACGCTCTTACCTCCAATGCTGGGGAATAATCGAACCGATGAGTATATGCACCGTAATGGTATGTGGCTCTACTTGCCTGATCATGGCAATATGTCGGTTTTTCATCTTTCGGCGGAGGACATTTTGACCTGCTTCCCCTTCAAAGTCTGACGAAACGGACTCTGGGGCCTTCCTGACGGTGAGCGACCCTTCTTTCTCGTTTTCGACGGACATGGTTGCGGTAGCCTCAGAGGGGAAGATTGTGGCGGAGAGACGACAAGATTCCGGCGCCGAGCAGACGAGTAGCACGTCGAGAGCTGCTCTCACCACAACGTCGCTCACAAGACCGTTGTATATTCAGGTCATATCATTCATACCGCGCGCTAGACTAAGCCCCGAACATGATGCTTTCCCTCGACACATACGCGCCCCCACACACAGAAGATCAGGCGAAAAATCTCGGTTGCCTATGGGCGTGCCGTGTCCGGTGCTGTCGGGTAACTTGAGCCTTGACTGGCGCCATGGCCCGCGAAGCACAAAGCCCTGTACACGCGGAAAGTCCAGCTACGACTATGATGAGTTCGTTTGCGTTTTGGATGGGGCAACTTACTTAGTTACCGAGTAGCAAACTTGCCAGTGGCTATTCTTGCCACTCTCTCGCGCATAGTCAATTCTCTAGCCTCGAATGTTCGCGCTGCATCCGTTACTGCACCCGAAGAGCGGGCAACGAGACTAGTGATAGATATGGAGCTTGCACTAGCGCAGAGCCTGAGCGTCTAGCTGTGGGAGTCGAGCAAAGCGGACTGTACACGCGCTACGTCGCCAGCAGTACGGCTATTTGCAGTGGTAAGAGGTATGTCTGAGGATGAGACACGAGACTTTCGTAACACAATGTGTGGGCGATACGCTGCTGGGAGCTATCAATAGCACCGCAATTAGACGTTGATAGGCGTGTTCAATTCTTGTCGCTCGCTCATTTCCTCGTGCGCCTACCGGGCGTCTGCCTACCTGGATTCAAGGTCAGATCAAGCGCCTGTACTATGTAGCACAGCGAGCAGAGGTGTGCAGGCAGCGGGTGCAACACGACCGCATCAGGGTCGCGAGCTGGGACTGAGGAGCGACGCGAAAGCTTAACAATTCGAAAGATAGAGAGCTCCATGACTCGAGACGCGGAGTCGTCCCGCAAGGCTTACAGTGGCAACCCCAGGTGGCCAGTGAACCGTGTCGTGCCGGATCTGGTTCCGATTTGGGCGCATTGTGTACAATTATTCTCGGTCAACAAGTCTATAACGATCTGCCGACGTCTCCATCCACTTTCTGGACAGATTTTCTGGGTATAACAAATCTAGCATAGGACGGAAACGTCGATCTCGCTGCACCCGCTGCCTGCGCACCTCTGCTCGCTGTGCTA